GATGGATGAATGGAAGTCTTGTGAAATTTGATCATGGAACTGTAATTATTACTCTAATGTTTAACAGAATGATAAAATTTTGATTAACTCAATATTATTTTTAAAAATTGTAAAATTTTATTATATATTTTTTATTATTTTAATAATAAAATTAAAAACAAATTCGTCTGGATTTGAATAATTTAATAATAAGGATAAGAATTTTTTATAAGTGTATCCAGAAGAAATAAAATAAATGAAGGTAATACAATGTTGGCCACAAGTGGGAAGTAGAGGGTTTTGAAGGGGAACATTATTCATTACTCGGTTTGGAAATTTGGAAGTAAAATTTTTTATTAAAGTAGGAATTTCTGGAAGCAATAATGAATCAAAAATAAGTATCTTCTCAGGGTTTATTATGAAAAATGCAATCCAATGTGATCCGTTTTGAGAAGATTTTTCAAGGTTGACGACCATTGAACAGGGATATCTTTGAATTTCTTGTGGGATTTTGTCTGCGGCAAAGCATCCAATAAAATATCTTCTAGTAATTCTGTTGTTTATTAAAATTTTCTCGATTTGTATAGTGTCCATTTTCGTTGGAAAGGAGATGTTTATAACACTCTTTGTACTTCTCCAAGTTCAACGTCCTTGCTGTTGTTTTTAATTTTTATAAACTTTCTTAGTTGATAAGTTAAGGCACTAGCTAACAATAAAAGCCAGAGTATAATCAATAAAACGCAGTAAATAGTTTGAGCGATTGATGTTCCTGAAGATGGAAATTCCTTGCAAAGTGAAGGAAATTGTACATTATTCACATGTTCCATTGATGAAAAATTCAAAATGTTAATATAGGTTTCAAGATTAAGATTAGAAGCTGCTCCGCTGGTATTTTTAACTCTTTCAGTAATTATTGGGATTTTTGTTGAGGACGAATTTATAAGTTCAATTGATTTAGGAGGTATTGTATTTGCGTAATAGCCTATACGTTCTCTTAATATTTCTCTATATTCAAGATTATCATTTTCATTAGTCTTAGAATATTGTAGTGATAATTTATACAGAAAGAAAAATAAAATAATAAAAACAAAGCTAAATTCAATTTTAATAGTAATATGGAACATTTTTGAATGAAATGGGATAATAAAAATTAGGAAAATTGGGGGTATTTATACTGAAATATCTGTGGAAATAGTTCTGTTCCTATCTAACATTAGCAGCGAATCGATTTCACCCATTGCTACAAGTACAATCCCACCACTTGGAACCGGTTCGTTGAAGGTCATCCTTATACTTGTTGTACCATTCTTTATTAAATCAAACATCTCTGGCCCATTATCTTCCTGACTATTTGTGAGGTTAAATACGAAGAAGCAATATCCTGCGTATGCATACCGAAACATTGATATACCGTTACTTTCTAGCGATCCCGCGTACCCAATTGCTTCTTGCATGTCATGATAAATTCTAGCGTAGTTTCCTTTCGGAAAATCAAGGGAATAAGGGGCTGCTGGAAAAGTTACTCCCCCGGCAGTTATTGAAATATCTCTCAAATTAAAATGTTGAAAATAAAAAGGAGTTGTTCTTTGCCGTCCCACAAAATCTTTATTATCAACCATTCCCAATATAATTCTTCTAGGCACCTGATCCATCCATAGATTAGCGTTAAATTCTGTTCTATTTTCACTGATGAATAAGGATTTGAGAGATGTTTTTCTTAATGGGTATCGTGCGGGCTTTATTTCAAGTTTTTTCGCGATATCAAAGGCTAGACTGTCCATTAGCTCAATCTTCTTTACATATAATTTACATGCCAAAATTTCTAAATGGTATTTTGGAGCTGTGTCCCAGGGAGCACTAAGTAGGAAACTTGATTCATTTGGCAGTAGTTCAATATCAACTTCGCATTGGTTTACTAAATATCTTGGTTGATTACAAATATCAACATCCAATTTTGCCATAAATTGTGCACTACGCGGGTTTCCATCTTCGTCTAAGAATAATCTTTTCCTTGATTTAACTCCATATCCATTAGAATCAACTCCTGGGTATGTTTGTGTGGCTCCATCATCATAATATCCTGCCACAGAAAGGTATGAGTTCTTCACACTTTGTGGGTAGGTTAGTTCGTAGTCAAAAATACTTTTGTAAGCCATGAGGGAATTCCCTTCAAAAACCTGTGTTCCATTAATATGCATGCGACAATTTTTCCATATTGTATGTCCTATAAGCTGCACGCTTGCCACATTATCATCTTTTCCTATGTCAACAAGTTTCCCATCCTTGTCTTCTTTTTTAATCCTAAGTTCAGTAAAAACATAAGTTTTGGCCAAATCAATATAATTTGTGCTTGCGTGGATTTTGAAATGAAAAGGGGTGATATTTACTGGGTTAAGTGTGAGTAATTCAATAAATGATGAGTTGCTAATACTAACATTTGTATGAGGAGTTTCGAAAAATGATAAAGCATTTGTTATTGCGTTGCCAGAATCGCGATCAATTTTTTGATGAGTAGACATTTTTATTTAATAAAGACCGAATGTATCTATTTTTTGACGTTTCTTTTTTAAGCTATTAGATGGTTTATTACCAATAATTATTTGATGACTTTTTTCTTTTGAAAATGTTGAATGAGGTCTACGTTTTCTTTTGAGTCCTTTTATACTATTTCTCGCTTGCAATCCGGTTCCAAATTGTTTTGGCATTCCACCCTTTTCAAGTAATCTGTCTAATCCGCGTTTTCCCTCACTAATCACTGTTTGTTTAAAATTTGGTTTAATTGCTTCCTGGTCATATTCTGGATTTCCCACACTTTCTAAAATTCTTCCGCCTGTATCCAAAGCTTCTTTTGCTACAGCTGTTCCCGCACGTTTTGCATAAGGTAAAAGGAATCGCCAAAAATTTCTAAGTACATCTCCAACTCCTCCACCTGTTTGTCTTCCGTATCCACGCTGATAAGGATTGAGTCCACGAAAATAGTAATAATTTTCATCAGTCCCTCCTCCTATTTGACTGATAGCTGTATGATGATCATCGTATCCGATTGTTCGCGGATCAAAGGGAATATGAACCATATTTAGTTTAAATAAATTTAAGTTTATTTAATGAAAATGCGAAATTAAGCTGCGTAAATTTATAGAATAAAATTTTAAGTAGAAAAATTTGGGATAAATTGTAAAATAAAATAATTTAAATTATTTAATGGTGTTCAAATTTTGATTGACAATGAGTGTTTATTAATTTAATATTAATTAAAGGTTTTTATTAATGGAATTAGACACAAAAATTGACATTTCGAAGTGTGGCATTTTGTCGTTTTGAAATTTGACATTTTTAAATAATTGCTTAATCCCCTTACTTTTTGAACTTCCACCCTTTTTTGCAAATCATTTTAAATTTTTTGTGAATTTTTGACAAATTATTTCTTCCACTTTTTTTCATTAATTAATCTAAATTTTATTTACATTTAATATTTTTTAAATTTTTTTTTGATTTTGAAATCCCCGCTAATTTTTAAAATTTGAATCCCCGCCAATTTTTAAAATTTGAATTCCCGCCAACTTTTTAAACTTTAAATTCCCGCCAAATTTTGAAATTTGGCATTTTGATTAAATCCCCTTACATTTGAACTTCCGCCCTTTTTTTAAAATCATTTTATTTTTTTGTAAAAATTTCAAAATTTTATTTCTTCCTCCATTTTTATTTAATTATTAGTTAAATTTTATTTAAATTTAATATTTTTTTAAATTTTAATTGCGAAATTTCGAAATTTTAAATCCTCCACCCCTCCCCCAAAATACACAGAGATATTAATATAAATAAAAAATCAAATTATTTGATTAAACTTATGTAAACTCTATGTCCGAATGGATAAGATTCCCGCATACGAAAAAATACGAAGGTGAAGGTTCGATTCCGCTCGGGGTTTTTATTTTTTAAAATGTTATAAAGGGCTTATATTATTAAACAAAAATACACCCATTAAACCTTTTCATATTTTAATTATAACTTCCCACCCCTATCACTTATCAATCACACTCTTATACTCATCACTGTACCTAATCTTCTCTCAATCAATCAAAACATTTCTGTAAATATTTCCCTTACCTCTGCCCAATAGATACTTGAAAAACCAAAAAAATTCGTTTCTTTATGATTTTACCGCATTTTCACCCATCCAAAACCTTCTGACTCTCTTCTAGTATTTTACCGCAATTCCAAATATTGCTTTGAATTTTTTTACCCTCCAAATGTTGCAACAGACCACCCAGACACCACAAACATCAAACCTGTCAATTCCCACAAAAAATCAACCAAAAAGCAATTAATCATCAATGATTAATTACCCTAATTAATCATGATTAATTACCCTCAAACCCTTCCAAAAACAAAGGGTTTGCGGCAAAGATCAAAGGAAAAACACCCCCTATAGCCTCAGGTTTGATTGACAGGTGATCAAATGGGGTGTAACGTTTGTAACGTTTGGGGTGGGTTTACTACTAAATTGGGGTAGGTGAGTGTGGGAGAAATTTACCCATAAAATATTTTACTTCACAACTGGGATATGTTGTGGGACATCTTGGAAACTTAATTCTCAACTGGGACAGTTGGGTGTCGGACAATTCACCAAATAAAATTATCAGCTGAGACAAGTTAAAAATTTACTTATCAATTGGGGCATGGTGGTGGTAAGGTAAATACCCGTACAAATTGTCACACTTCACAACTGGGACAAAAGGGTGGTGCGGGAAAATTAAGTGAGACAAAAGGGTGAGACAAAAGGGTGGCCTTTGATTTGCCGACACATCCCTCAATACAAAAGGGGGATTACTACTAGATTGGGGTAGTTGAGTGTAGGGGAAATACAACCAATAAAATTTTGCACCTTATAATCGGGACACATTGGAAAGTTACTTCTCAAATGGGACAGATGGTTGTGGGGAGAAATACACCCATAAAATTTCCACCTCACAACTGGGACAAAAGGGTGGGGGTTACTACTAATTAACTCCTTTTCAAAGCTTTGAGAAAGATGAAAAACCAGATTTATCTCATTGCCTTTTGCATCAAAAACTTCAAATGATTCAACACTGCATTTTTGTGAAAAGAAGTCGGCATTCTGATTTTGATTTTAAACAATCAAGTGGACAGTCAAATGAAGGTGACGTCACAGTTTCGTTAATTATTCATTCTTGGGCCATTTTTAGACGATGATGAATTCTTCGATGCACCCGATGATTTTAACAGTGAAGCACCAATTAGTAAATCTGATGTTCCCCGTGGCCGAAGTGCACTTTTAGAACCGCCACAATTTCTTAAGAATAACCCGAAAGAAAGAATTTATATTCCTTTAACTTTGGTGAATTTTTTAAATTTTTCAATAGAAAATTTTTTTCATTAGAACAAAGGCCCAATGACGGAGGATCAATTAAACAAGCACGAATCATTTTTACTTGAATTGGAAGACTCTGATCTTCGAAATCGGGCACAATCTGATTTGCTGTTTTCTGACATGCAGGCATTCAAGGCTGCAAATCCTGGAGCTGTTTTGGAAGATTTTTTGTGTTGGCACTCTCCGAGGGATTTTGTTGATGGTTTTCAAGCCTATTTTAATGATTTAAAAAAAATTTTTCAGGTGAACTTTCTGAACGCATGAAATTGCCTGGAAATTTATGGCAAGAAAATTGGCGTATGGTACGGCCAATTCCGGCCTCAAAACAAAATCGTCTTTTTAATGAAACTAAGGAAGTTGAACAGGTTTATATTTGAATTAAAGACAGGATGGGGAGTAACCGGGGTTTTTGATAGAAATATCGTTTCGAACTGATCGGTCCTTTCTCTGATATTTAATTTTTTTATAGATTTTGCAATATTTTTCAACCATCAAACTCAAAGATTTAATTGATTTACTCCTTCCTGTTGTAATTGTTCAAACAATTGAAGTATTAATTCGAGAATGTAAAATTTAAATTTTGATCAATTTTTGAGCTCTTATATTTCTTTTTTAAGCATCAGAATGTACATATTCAATAAAAGAAAAATTAGAAGGTGTATTGAGTGAATTTCTTTATGCCTCAAAATCTGATAATTATGATATGGATGTTTTTTATGTAAGCTTATTATTAGAGGGCGAAAATTTAGAAAACCTTGGTCTTGATTTTTGGTGACGACCCTGAACAGATTATTGACCTTGAGTCAAGGAAAACCCAAGGAACACTGGTAATTGACTTGATCTTGATTCTAGATCGAGGAAATATCAGGGATCAGTGATGTCATAGGTTGAGAAAAAAGTGGGGGTTGGGTCATCCCTGGTCTGGATCCAGGCCCATCTCTAGTTATTTTTTAAACTTTTAATTATTTTTTCTAATTTCAAAGGATTTAACTTCATCACTTCGTTCAATAGAAGAATTCCTCTTAAAATATTCATCAATAGTTAATTTACTTGTAGAACAGGTTTTTATAAAAATTTAAATTTTTAATTTTTTCATTTCTATAAAGGCAATAACAACAAACATATCAATGGAATTAAATTCTTGTGTTTCTTCTTTGGTAAATAATCTTTGTCGTCCAATTCCAAAAACATGTAAAGATGAACTTTCACTTAAAAATGAATTAAATAATGTTTTGATACCTGATTTGAATGAATGTCGTGTCTTGGAGGTTTTAAAAAGCTTTTTTGACAATGATGTTTGGAAAGAACCAAAAAGGTTTGAATTCTGTTAAATTTTTAATTTGAGTTGATTTTTGTTTCGTTTATTTAGAAAACAAATTATTCTTCGCACTATGGTTCCACGTCCCGGTTCAGGATCAAGACCGATGCCTCAAAGAATGTTTGTGTATTTTTTTTCAATTTTTCTACTTAAAATCGTTCAATTTTTATCCATTTCTAGGTACATATCTCATCAAGATGATGAATTTATTTTGCGTGGTTCTTTCACTTCTGATCTCACGTATGCATAATAATGAATATTGAAAAGATTTGATTTTATTAAAAATTTATTTATTTTTAAAAAATTTTTTTGTAGATTAGATGTTCTAAAAAATAAATTTTTTTTTTGAATTTTTTCAATGAAATTTTTAATGACTTTAACGTTTCACGAGATGATAGCGTTATTGATAAAACGCTGCTGTCATAAAAATCGATTGATATGAGGGCATTAGGACTTTTTTACATTATTAATGAATTGAATTTGCTTTTGGACAAAAGATTTATTTAAATGAATACTTGCAATTTGAATTGCAATGGTGGTGGCAATATTCTTCTCAAAAATATCTCACAAATTGTTCAAATTGTTGATGATGATAAATGTGTTTTACTTGGAGATGACATGAAAAAGATCAAAGCAAGTTTTTAAAATCTCAAAAAATTTTTTCAAAAAAAATTTTTTTTTTCTTTAAGGTGTTGGAAGATAAAAATTCAAATTTGTCAATTTTTTGTGAAGATGGAAAGATTAATAAAATTTTTCTTGGTGAAAAGGTTTTTTATATTAATTATAATTTAAATTCTATTATTAATTGTTTTGTTTTAAGACTGCTAATTGTACGAAAATTATTCAAGAGAAACTTAGGAATTGCCAAATTGTTGATTGTCATGGTGGATGTGTACTTCCAGGCTTTGTTGATGCCCATACACATCCTGTATTTGCTGGCGATAGAGTTGATGAATTTGCAATGAAATTGGATGGAGCTACTTATATGGAGGTAATATTTTTTGAGAAAGAGAAAATTGTAAAAAAAATTTAAGGTTCAAGCTGCTGGTGGTGGTATACATTTTACAACAGAAAAAACTAAAGAGGCTAGTGAAGATGAATTGCTGTCTAGTTTTTTGGAGGTTATTTTTATTAAAGAGATTTTTTAAAAAAATTTGTTAAGATTGCCAAAGAAATGTCAAAATGTGGAACAACATTAATTGAAGCAAAAAGTGGTTATGGATTAACTACAGAAAGTGAAATAAAAATTTTGCAAGTTTTTGAAAATGCTCTGAATTGTCAAAATTTTCCTTTGGAAATTTCTTCAACATTTTGTGGAGCCCATGCAATTCCAAAAAATAAGACAGAAGAGGAACAAACAAAAATAATTATTAATGAAATGATTCCAGTATTAATTAAATTGAAAGAAAGTGGAAAACTTGAATGTCTTGAAAATGTTGATGTTTTTTGTGAAAAGAATGTTTTTGAATTGGAAAGCAGGTTTAATTTTTTAAAAATTAATTTTTAATTTTAAATGACGGGATTTCGACCCTTGAGCTTTATTTCGATTTTTGGTAGTGAATTTGACGGTTCCTTCTTTTTTCAAAAATCTTCGGATATTCTTAACTTTTCTTGATTTCCTCGGGGTTTGACTCTTTTTCGAACCGACAACCCTATATGGGAGTATTTCTGAAATTTTTCTGTCCTAAAAATTCTTTAAATTTTTTTGAAAATATTTTTTTAAGTCGACAAATTTTGGAAGCGGCCAGCAATAGCATTGGATTACGCCCTAATTTTCATGCTGATGAACTTTTTCCGTTGGGTGGTGCTGAAATGGGAGCAGAAATTAAGGTGAGGTTTTACAACAAATTTTTTTAAAATTTAAACGAGAAAAGAGTATAAATTAGATTAGAGTTTATATAGGTTAGAGAGTTTATTTCCTCTTTTTTGTTTCCGCTGCATGATTCCAAACATGTCCAGTTTCTGGATCAACATCAAAAATACACTAGAAAAATATTTTTTTGAAAAATTTTTGGAAAAAATTTTTTTTCTAACCGTAAAAGTAATTCCACAAAGTGGATGATAAGGAATGCATTTTTTGTAGAGAGTATTATAACGAGGAATTGGATTAGCTCCATAAGCACAATAAATAACTGGGGTTCCTGGTGCAAAATCAAAATTATATAAATATGGTTGTTTATGCATTCGTTGTGCTAAAGCATGATCATATACAGGTTGTGAGGGTGGTGTTGGGAAAAATGAAGGCATCATAGTTGCAAATGTTGGAGGATGTGGGGGAAGAGTTAATGGGGGAAATGTTGTGTAAGAATAAAATTGTTGTTGATTATTGTTGCTTCCTACTTGACTATTTACTCCCCCTCCCTTATCCGATGGTAATTGTTGACCAGCTTCCCTAAATTGTGTTAATTGTTGGTGTACTGCTCCACCTTGTTGTTGCCCAAATTGGTTGATTGATTGTTGTTGAAATTGACTGTCAGTACCTATAGCATTGATGCTATTCCCATATTGACCACCGGCCCCTTGTGCTGCTTGTAGTTGAGGTACTCCATGGGCATGTGAAGCAAATGAAGTGGAAGAGGAGGGAGAATAAGAATAGAATTGTTGTTGTTGTTGATTGACATTTTGTTGAGGATTGTATTGTTGAGGAAAATAATTTTCTTGTTGTTGCTGTTGAGGAAAATAGTACCATTGTGTGGATCGTCCATTGTCGTTTATCCCATTATCATAGCTGTAGTATTTGGGTTGTTGCTGTTGATATTGCTGCTGATTCTGCTGGTACTGTTGTTGGAATTGTTGTTGTTGTTGAAAACGCTGTTGAGGTTGTTGCTGTATGAAGGTACTTTTACTGTTTCCACCCCCATCTACTCGTTGCTTTTGCGTTAATCCGAGGTCGGAAAGGTTGAGAAAAATTAACAAGATAAATATTAATGAATATTGCCTTTGCATATTAAAGATTGAGTGTTTTAATGCTATTCTAAAAATTTTTTTCTTCGAGGAAAATATAGTTACCTGAAAGTTTGGATTTTCGATTCTTTTCCTTTTTTTAATTCTTCAATGGATTAAGAAAAAAATATATCTTGGAAGCGAATTTAAGAAGAAAGTGAAGAAAGCTAATGACCGGGAAGAAAATTACGAGAAAATGACAGATTAGAAGAAAGGGCACAATGAATGAATGAAGAACAGCAATCCACAGCCACCATCTTTTTTTGGATACTAAAATTGTGGTCATTTTTTTCGTAGTTCATGCTCCCTTTATTTTAGCTGGAAACATGTATAGGAGGGAAAATCATCCTTCCTCCCGCTGCCATTTTTTACAGAAGAAAAGTACGTCGGACGTTGATGTGCCTTTTCAATTTTTCTTGTTTTTGAAAAAAAGATGATCAGAATTGACCCCCCTTGTTATTAATTGGAGTGTAAAAAGGAGATGAGCATTAAACCGAGAGAAAAAGAATCTAGAACGAGTTCTGCGGCGGGAAACAATAAAAGAATTGAGGGATTAAAAAATAAGAAAAATTCTAATTTTTTTACAAAGGCCACTGCTGTCAGTCATTTGGAAGAAATTAGTGAGAAAGGGATAGATGCACTTGCTAAATCTGGAACTGTTGCTGTGCTCCTTCCATCTACTGCCTATGTCCTCAAACTAAAAAATCCTCCAGTAAGAAAAATGATTAAATCTGGTGTTTGTGTAGCTCTTGGATCAGATTTCAATCCCAATGCTTATTGCTATTCAATGCCTACAATAATGAATTTGGCTTGTGTTAACTTTGGAATGTCTATGCCGGAGGCATTGGTGGCAGCAACTTTACATGCAGCACACAGCTTGGGACGTGGAAAAACACATGGTGCAATTTCGGTAAATTTTTTGTTTATTTTTTTTAATTATTCGACTTTCCGTATTTTTAAAGGAGGGTCGAGTAGCTGATTTAATTGTTTTGAACACAAATAAATGGGAACACATAATTTACCGATTGTCGGCACATCAATCAGTTATAGAAAAAGTAATTAAATTCGGAAAAGTAGTTTATAGTAAAACATAAAAAACCAAAAAATATTTTTACTAATAATATTTATGTAAGGAAATGCCAAGAAAATATAACACTAAAATATAATACATGAATTTGAATTAGAGAAAAACATTTTTTGATTGAAAATCTAGCAGGTAGAGCTAGTAGGGAAACATATTGGGACAGACATATCCGGATTGCGGTGACCAAAATACCCTTGTGCGTATTTAAGTTGATGCTAGAATCTAGTTTTCTTAAATAAGGAAATGTATTTTCTGAAAACAAATATCCCGATATGTCCTGCTTTCTTAGAGCTTTCCTTTCTTTTTCACAATTTTTTAATTTGAAATTTGCTTCAGTTTTAAAAAGGAGCCAATAAATAGGGTTTTAGTAATAAAGGAATTTTTTAAAGGAAAGGGTCAAAAATTAAGATTTGGGAAAAGTTTTCTTAATGAGAGCAGAACAGAAAAGGTGTTTAATCACCATAAAATTTATACCAAAAAATATATGCTTTTTTAATGAATTCTCTTCTCCCAATAAAATAATAATAATAGAAAAAAACATAAAAATCACTCAAAAGAATAAACCAGAAACGCCACCCATTTCTTGCTGTTCTTTCACAAATATTTCGAAATACTGGGAAAAATATAAAAATTATTTATTCAGTCATTTTTTAAAAGAAAACCTGATAAATAATGGTGACCGCAAGTAAAATTCCAGTTCCACTTCCAATAGCTCCTAGAGAAAAAAATTTTTTAAACCCCCAAAAAATTAGAAAAAAGCAAACCCATAAAGTCAGCAGTAACAGAAAGTGCTCCAATACATAACCCACCAAAAGCAGCAGCGGTAGGAATATAACGATTTAATTCGTGAATCATTGATTTTTCCCGATGTCCTCTCATTATCATTTGTTGCTCTTTTAATTGTTTTGCAACATCTTTAGCACTTGAACCGCTAACATCAATCCAGGTTTTTGAGAAAAATGCACAGGAACCAAGCATAAAGACAATGTAGGTAAAACAATGAATTGGGTCTTCAACTACATGAGACAATGATTCTGGTGGTGATAGGTAGTAGCAAATGCCTCCTAGAAATAAAATGTTTTTGATAATTTTTTGGATATAGGGGCGGAATAGCCAAAAAGTATCGGACTTCTATAAAAAATTTCCAAAAAATCTTACCTGTTGGATAACTCCTATAAGTTCCTGAAGAGTCAGACCATGTACCAAGTATATTAACAAGAATATTTCCTCCAAATTTGGCTGCCAACATTTGAGAAATAACGTATAAATTGGAGACCAAAGCAGATTGAAGAATTATGGGTATATTACTTGTATAAAACAATTTGATTGGATATGAACTATGTTGGCCACGATAACGAGAACTTTTAATTGGCAAATCAACACGGAAGCCCTATAAAAAATAGAAAGTTTGGGGTTATTAAGAGAGCAGAAAGAAACCTGAAAGTATATAACAACCGCAAAAACGAGCACAGTAGCCAATAAATTCATCAAATTTGGCAAATTTTGACGGTAAAAAGCTTCTCTAAGTGCGCGAACTTTGTCATTACGGGTTGCCAACAAATGGAACAAAGCAATAATTGCGCCTTCAAATTCGGTTCCTCTTCCTTAAATTTATAGGGGTTAAAGAAGTCTAAGGAAAATAAGATTCTGACCTGTATTCATTGTCGCAGGCGAAAATGCTTTCCAAACAATAGTTTCGCAAATGTTTGTAGCAATAAAAAGGGAAATTCCTGAACCGAGTCCATAGCCTTTCTAAACGATTTTTGAGTAGGAGTGAAAATTTTAAGAGAAAAACCTGAAGTAATTCGTCTAGTAAAAGAACAATTAATCCAGCAACAACTAATTGAATAACAATTAAAAGACAAATTCCAGCACCAATTTCATGAGGATTTCCATACATTCCAGAGGCAACATAAACAATAGCTTGACCGATAGTTATGACCATTCCGAACACTTAAAAGTTTATTGACGTGTCTCTTTAAGAAAAAGAAGCGCTTACATTTTTGAGCACCATTAAAAAGAGCTCTTTCCTTCGGAGTATCCCCAACTTCAATAATTTTTGCACCCGCCAAAAGTTGCATAATAAGACCAGAAGTTACAATTGGAGAGATTCCCAATTCCATAAGCGTTCCTCTATTAGATGCCATAATAACTCGAAGCCAATAAAGAGTCAGTGGACATGATACTGTCAGTGGACATGATACCTTAAATAAGAAAAATACCCTTGAAAGATGGGACATGTTTTTTGTGATAAAATTTTGACTAGGGGTCGATAAAAGTGCATCTCCAGGATCACGTAACGGGATTTTTTTTGCAAAAGTCGAATGGGACAGGATCCCGCGGGAATAATCGGGTAATCACGATAACACGCTCGTCGATTAAAACCTCGGGATTTCAGGTCAGATTCCAGTAAAATCCAGTATGGGATCGTGCCTAGTTTGCCTATGTTAAAAAATTTAATTCCTTCCTATCTTTATAAAAATTAACAAAAAATAAACAACAAACCAAAAAGTGGAATCTGACAGCAAACAAGAAAAACAAAAAGAGTTATCGCAGTCCAAAGCATCTTTTCCCTGAATTGAATTTTCCTTTCAGGTTTAGAAACCTCTGGCACAAAACCACAAAAAGGTTTAACAAATTCCAGGAATTTAACTAGAAAAATTAATATTTTATTTTTAAAGTTGAGATAGAAAAGACTTACTTCCCATTTTCTTTTTGAATTTTGTTAAATTTTTTAATAGTCAAAATTTCTAAAAAAAAAGGAAGAAAAATTAAATTAAAATATTCAATTATTTAATTTATAACTGGGTAAAATATTATAAAAGATGGCGTTTTTCGTTTAAAAGTAAGCGTAAATTATAAAAGTGGGGGTTTAAAGCTGCAAAGACTGCAAATCTTTTTTAAAAAAAATTTTTTGAAACGATTTTTAATAAACTTTAGAGAAATAGTGAAGTGAGACGATAAAGAAATAAAACAATGGGAAATAGCGTTGGATAAGAAGAGATCGAGACATAAAAATTAAGCTTTATAATATTTTACAAATACATATTTTGCCAATAAGGCTAAAAATGAACATTTTGTCAACAAGATGTGTTGGCAAAACGAGAATTTTTACCCTAGTTGGTAAAATATGTTTTTGGTCAAATAAGGGAACACTAAAAATTTTTCTGTAACTTTACTTATTTCTTCCGGAAGGTTTTTAAGGCTTTACTAATTCATTTTCATACTTTTTGAAAGTATTTTCGGTCATTTTTTTTTAAATTTTAGTGCAAAATGTCGTTAATCGTGCCGGAGAAGTTTCAACATATTCATCGTGTTATGAACACGAATATTGACGGTAACCGAAAAGTTCCGTATGCTTTGACTGCGATAAAGGTTTAAATTTTCTTAAATTAATCTCAACTAAATTTTAAGGGTGTTGGACGTCGTTATGCTTTTCTTGTTTGCCGTAAAGCCGATGTTGATATTCACAGACGCGCTGGTGAACTTTCTGAAGAAGAAATGGAAAAGCTTAACACTGTTATGCTTAATCCACAGCAATACAAAATTCCTGCGTGGTTTTTGAACCGTCAAAAGGATATTCGTGATGGGAAGAATTCTCAGGTTTTTTGTGACTATTTTTGGATTTTTGGTCAATTTTTCTTTTACAGCTCTTGTCGACCAACTTGGAGAGTAAATACCGAGAGGATTTTGAGCGCATGAAGAAAATTCGTCTTCATCGTGGTCTTCGTCATTATTGGGGTCTTCGTGTACGTGGACAACATACAAAGACTACTGGTCGTAAAGGACGCACTGTTGGAGTATCGAAAAAGAAAGGAGGTTAAAAATGAAGATAATGATTTGGAAGATATCATAGAAGATATGTTTGAGTTACTGTTGTTATGTTATAATATTTGAAAGTTAAAAACATTCTGTTTCGGTATTTTGGAATTCTTTTGGGTAACACGTTATAATGACGTAGTGTTATTTTATTTTTTGTCTATCTTGTACTATTTTCTCACGAGGTGGATTTTTTGCGTCGATTTTTTCTTTTTTAAATTTTTGGCTGTACTTTAGTACGTGGGTCCCGGAGTTAATATACAAATGTTATACCATTCGAAAGAGCTAGTCGAGCTGAGTCGAATGCCACCAAAATTAGCTCTAGGAAAAATTTTTGAACCGAGATATAGGCCCCTGAAGTTTGAAAAACCATAGGGGGGACCAAGCACTTTTTTGGGGTGAAAAATTCGAAAATGCAAATTATACATCATTCGAAAGAGCTCCTCGAGCTGAGTCGAATGACATCAAAATCAACGAAATCCGACTTGATTGGACCGAGATATAGGCCCCTAAAAACCGAAAATCCAAAGGGTCGATTTTTGGAATAAAAATTTTTTTACAAAAATAATACCTCATTCGAAAGAGCTCGACGAGCTGAGTCGAATGACACCAAAATCACCGTGATTGAACAAGATTAGACAAAGTTATGACACAAAAAACCTAAACCTATGGAGCGTCGGCGAGGCGCTTGTGCAAAACCCCGCGCTTCGCGCGGGGTTTTGCGGCACGCGCCTCGCGGGGAATCTACGGGCGATGGGTCTGGGCTCGTAACATAAACCTATTCCTATCTCCCTTGCTCTGGACGTATTTGGGGCCTCCGTAGCAGCAAAAATCTCCACAGATGCCATAGGTAAGGAGCTAAAAGACAAGATCATAACTTTGTCTATTCAAGTCGGATTTCGTTGATTTTGGTGTCATTCGACTCAGCTCGAGGAGCTCTTTCGAATGATGTATAATTTGCATTTTCGAATTTTTCACCCCAAAAAAGTGCTTGGTCCCCCCTATGGTTTTTCAAACTTCAGGGGCCTATATCTCGGTTCAAAAATTTTTCCTAGAGCTAATTTTGGTGGCATTCGACTCAGCTCGACTAGCTCTTTCGAATGTTATAACATTTGTATATTAACTCCGGGACCCACGTACTAAAGTGACCCCAAATTTTTACGTGTTCTTTGACAGATTAAATTTATTTAAAAACAATCAAAATGCTTCCTCATTTTGGTGCACCACCGGTTCCCTATCATCCAGCACCGCTCGCTTCTACAACTCCAGGAATTCCGCCACTTCGTCAAGTTGGAGCAGGAGGACCAATGCGTCCATTTCCGCAACCTTTGGGCGCTCCAGTTCCTTTATCTTTTGCTGGTAATGCATTTCCACCTCAAGGACCAGCAAATATTTATCCATTCAAACCACCAACTTTTGATTCTTATTTGTGCGAAAGTTTCTTTCCAAGAACTACAACTGAGGCTGAAGATACTGCTTTAACACAGGTTCTTTTTATTTTGGTCTTATTTTTGACTTTCTCTTTTTTTTTAAAGTTTCTTCTTGTTCGTCACAATGACATAATGCCTACAGCTGCCGAACAATCTGCTGTCTCTGCATTGGTTGGAAAAGTGAAGCAAAGTATTGATAAAATCATTGTAGCACCGGATACTTTCCCAACTGTGGTAAAACTTAAAAATAAGATTTCTTAAAAAATTTCCAATTTAAGGCAATTGAAGAAGTTAGAGAAGTTGGGTCTTTTAAGAAGGGTACAATGATTAGTAAGCATAATATTGCTGATTTGGTTATTGTGTTAAAAACACTTCCAGTTAGTAAGTTGATTTCATTTTTAAATTATTAGAATCTAAAAATTATTTTCTAGTTGAGTCAATAAATTCTTTGGGTCAGAAAATTGTTCAGGATCTCAAGGCAGAACATCATTCTGAAAGTAAATTTTTTACCTAAAATTTAAATAAATTTCTAAAAATATTTTTTTATAGTTTTTGGATGTGTAATACGCGATTTTGGTTGTGAAATTGCTGGAACTCATGCTGTTGTTCGTGTGTTGGTGACAATTTTGCCACAAAACATTAATCAATTGGATGCTGATTTGCATTGTATTTTATAAAAATTTTCATAATTTTATCTAATTTTTAAAGTGCCTCAAAAAATTCTTCTCAAAAATATGGCAGCACTTCGACATTCCAAATGGTTTGAAGAAAATGCTTCTCATTCTGTTGTTAAGGCTTTAATTCGACTTTTGAAGCATTTAAGAAATAAGCACGAAGGATTATTTCCATTAAATATTTGGTGTATTGAATTATTGGTTAGTTGAAAATTATTCTAATTAAATTAGTGGGAGGTGGGATCCTCCTGACATGAAGCCAAAATATTTTTTTATGTGTCTTGATTTTAAAATAATTTTCTTTAAACTATCCTCCATCTTTTTCAAGGCTCATTATTGTGTTATGAATACTCCAATGAGAACTCCATTACCACTAGCTTTGGCTTTTCGGCGATTTTTTCAAATCATTTCAACTGGAATGTTATTGCCAAGTTCTCCAGCATTTGTTGATCCTTGTGAACCAAATTCTCGAATTCATTTTAGTTTAACTCTGGAAGAAATGGTAAACAAGAAGAGAAATTTTTATTATTAAAATGCTCCTTTTCCAGGATTTAATTTGTAGTACTGCCCAAACAATGCTTCGAATAATTGTTCATGGAGGAACTGAACAACTTTTTGCTGGGGAAGGACTTTCAAGTTTATTTTTTTTTCTTTTTTAGAATTTAATTTTATTTTAAAAGATGTAACAGCAGAAATGAGTATTTGGGAAAATGTTGTGGTAACTCCATTGGAGAAGGCTTATTGTAAAGAAGATATGGAGCCATATTATGGAGATCAAACAAATAATGAAAATAAAAATGATGTATTAGCTACTGCTGCTGAAGCTGCTGTTTAAGGGAAGAAAAAAGAGTTGTTTTTTTGGATTATTTTGGGGAGAAAAATTTTTTGTTTGGGGGAAAATTTTTTTGGGAAAATTTTTGATAAATTATAATTTCATTTTTATATAATTTTTGGATTGTTTAAGTTTTAGAATGAAAATATTTTCTTTCTATTTTGAATTTTTATATAAATTTTTTTAAATGTTTAAATCATAATATTACTTAAATCAAAAAATTTAATAATTTTATTTGGTACTTTTTGGATATCCAGCCCTTCTTGTTTGAGTTTCTGAGTTTTCCTTACGATATAATTGGTATCTCATTTGAATGAGCCACAAGGAAATGGAGTGAGGAAGTAACTAAGGAAGTCTGACCATTATGTACATTTTAGGAAAAACTCTGAAACTTTAAGTAAAGGGCGGGATATCCAAAAAGTACCACTCTATTCTTTAATTAATCAAAAACAGTTATGAAATAGAGGATAAAGTGGATGCTTGTGGTTCCACTAAAGAAGGAGGAGGTTCTAGATTTTGTGAAGAACTTATTCTCTGCATATTCTCTACCAAAGGTACTTGTCGATTATCTTGATGTTGACGCAAATTACCAATTAATGGAACAATTGCATTTTGATTTTGAAATAACTTAAAAGGAAGAACAGACCGACGAACTAAACTTGAAGTTAGCAAGATGCCATAAGGAGAATTCATGTCATAAAAATCAATGATCAAGTAGAGGCTCCATTCTGCGAAGAAACTTGATTGCGAATAGAAACGTGAGATTATTTCCCTTAAATTTTATAATTAAACATAGTTTTTCGGGAAAAATCCTAGAGGCCAATGCCCTATTGTTCAACTGACCATAGATTGTTTAACTGACCATAGTGGACCCTGAAGGACACCTCCAAATATTAGCGGATAAAGGGATTTTTGTGAGGATTAAAGGGGATATCGGTGGAATTTGTGCGGATTAAGAAGGTTTCTCGAGGACTAAGGGGGATATCGGTGGTTTTGGCGTATTAAGATGGATTTGTTTGAATCAAGGTGTGTTGACCTCTAGGGAATTGACCTCTAGAGATCGAGACATTTTTTCAGAAAAACAAACAAACCAAAAAATAAAATATCCAATGTATAATAAATTAGCAATAAGCATCAAAATTAATGCAAACAACATTTTTACTTCTACAGCTAAAACTTTGTCCTTCAAGTTTAATTGTCTAACACGTGCAAAACACAATGGATAACCAATTAAACAACATAAAAGTAAAAGAAGCACAAAAAATTTGGTTATTCCATAGTAAATGTTCTTCAAAAATGGTTATTATTTCAATACCTTTTGGTTAATAATAGAGCTTGATTCTTTCAATTTGGGGTTCGGTATTCGGGTTTTTTCTTTCAAGCTGACCCGGTCCAGTTGTTCTGTGTTAGAACCCTGAAAATTAAAACCCACAACAATCTGGAAACCCCTAAAAATCGGCTTTTATCAAAATACTCAGCTTACGATCTACTGGATCGGGAAATCCATGTCCTGTTATAGGCCCGGGTTCGAACTCTAGTTAATATTAAAAACAAACCAAATCGTTCTGATTAACAAAAACGGGTCCAGTAAGCTTTACAAATGAACTATTTTCATCATTTTCAGTATTATTCAATACAATATTTGTTCTAAAACAAACTGGCATTTGCAAAATTGGAATTACAATTGAAACAGAAATTAAAAATATTGGCCAATGAATGAAACGAAAAAATTGTTTAGTATATTCGTGACGGAATACTTGAGGTAATAAAATTGAAATAAAACGATTTAATGATAAAGCAATGTTTAGTTGATATTGGGCAAATGATAAAGCCCATACTGAAATGTAGAGTAATTGTGCGGGTTTGTTTGGGGTATCTGGAGGAAGGAAAAATGGAAGTACCTGAAAAAGGGGTTGAATTATTAAAAATTAAAATTTTTTGGTACGTGTGGGCTTTTCCAAACCAGATTTTCAGACGTCTAAAGGTATCATAATGGTCAGATAAAAGGCTCATAATGGTCAGCTATCACTTCCTCGAATACATTGAATAGAGAATGGGAGATATTCGATGCTCTGACCATTATGAGACCAGTATGATTAGTTTGGATGGATAACTTGCAAGCAAGGGGTATAATTCACAATTACCAAAAAATTTTTAAATTAAAAAAAAATTAAATTTTCAGCTTACCCATCCCCAATAAGAACATTTTTTCAACAAATATAAAGAATATTTTGTAATATCAACAATTCCAAGAGCAAAGAATAGGCGATAAAAAGAAGAATTAAAAGGATTTAAATGTCGGCGTTTATATAAAAAATATAGCAAGGAAAAATAAATTGGAAATGTAATAATTAAATTAAATAATGAACATAATTTGGTTAACCAAGAGAAGAAGTCAACAATTATATAAATTGAGGAGGAAGAAGAATTGTTGTTTTTGGTGTTGGTGGTGTTGTCCATGCTTTTCTAGATTCTATAAAGGTAAGGAAAAAAATATTTTTTTTGGTTAGAGTATCGTTCTTGAACACCTAAGGTTTTCAATTTTTAGGGTCTGAAAATCGGTGGGAAAATGTCTTAATCCAGGTTGGTCCTCCGGGTTTTGAGTACTTTGATAGTGATGTTTTCTGACATTTTTAATTTCGAAACACAAGAAAAGCTTAATTTCCAATGTGTTCATGAACGATACTCTTACCAGTTTTTTTTTTGAAAAATTTAATTTAAATAAGAATTAAAAAGGCTAATTTGTTAATGAATAAGTTATGAATAAAAAAATTTTTTTGAATTAAAAATGGGTCAACAATACTTGAACTCGTTTAGTTTTATTCAAGTCATGAGATAGTGCCAATATATTATGTACATATATAGCAGTAATAAAATTAATTTTTATTTGCCTATATGTGTATATAATTTTCTTTTTTATTTTTTTATTTTCACCTGTTTTGTTTCTGATCTTTTATTAATTGTAAGTAAGCAAAGATTTTTTTAGCTCGTTATATCATTAAAGCGCTTAGGCAGGGGGTTCATGATCTTTGAAATAGAGATTTTGTTAATACTTCCGATGGCGTAGTTGGTAAGCGCCCCGGCTTATTTTAATAACAGGCAAGGTTCGATGCCTGTATGGGGTCACGCTTTTTTCTCGATTCTCATTTTAGTTGTAAAGTATAGATTTAAGCAGCTTTTTTTATAAAAAAATTTTTTTATAAATAAAAAAAAAACTTTTTTAAATAAGAAAAAATAGGCTAAAAGAGTATAAGCCTTAGACACGTTAAAATACAAAAATGATTACGTGATGAAATAATTATTTATTTTAACGGCTTTATTCTATAAAAGAATTTTTTTACTTTAAAAATACATTTTTAAAGCTTTTTTTGTTACTTATTTTTGTTACATTTTAATGAGAAAAATTTATGAAAATGAGAAAAATTTATTTAAAAATTAAATAAAAATACACGAACCACCAGCTTTTTTTAAGTATTTTTAACATAAACTATAAGGGAAAATATCAAAAAAAGAAATTTTTTGTTATTTAAAATGAGTAAAAATTTAATTAAAAAAAGTTTTTTAATTTTTAATGTTGCCCACATTTTGTGTCAAAAAAAGAACCTTTTTTTATTAATTCTAATAATGCTAAACAAATAAAAAATTAAATTAGTTAGAGAATGTTTCAAAAAAGTAGAGGAAAGTAAAAAAAGAAACTTTATTTGCATATATTTATTTGCTTAATTTAATTTTAAGAAAATAACAATTATATGTATTTCTTAAAATAACCTCTTATAATTAAATCAGGGAGAAATTTACTGTTTTTTGAATTTTATATTAAAAAATTGCAAATTTAATTTTATAAAAACGGAAATAAAATTAAAAATAATTATTGGAATTTAAAAAATATTTTTTACAGGTAAATATACTCATGGACTTCGCAAAAAACTCTAGAAACAACCATTTACTACCGACAGGCATCGAACTCAGGTCACATCAAAGTGAGAAGTCTATAGATTTAACCACTACACCAAACAAACAAATTTTCTAAATTTCAAAATGTCCATTTTACAAAATGTCCCTGAAAGGTAAAATTTTTTTATTTTCTCTAACAACAATCCTCTCTATTAAAAATCCTCTACCACCAATTAAATAAAAAGAATGTTAATAAAGGATTAAGCCAAGTACACGGTATGTGGGAGGATATTGAAAATTAATATATAAATACATTTTTTGTCTTTAATATTAATTTTTAAATACTACATTTCTGAAAGTAGGTATTTAATAATGCTAAAAGCTTTTTTAAAAATTTAACATTACTATAATTTTTAAATAAAATGTATACTTTTTATTTAATTAAAAAAGGCATTATTAATTATTAATTTTCTTGTGACTTTTGAATTTTTATTATTAAGGGTAAATTAATTTTTGGTAAACTATTTAAAGATTATATTTTTCGATAAATCATCTGCCATAAATTCCCTAATTGAACCACACTCCATAATATAAACACACCTTCCGTGGGGATCGAGAAATAGAGGCAAATGTGGTACTGAACTAAAAAATTCTCAAAATTGGGGATCTATTAGAAACCACTCTAAAAAATGTATATCCCAAAGTTTCAGAGACTTTAGGGATCTGTAAAAAATTCCTTAGCTATTTTTGTAAAACTACATTTTTTAGGAAACGACTAAAAATTAAATTTAAAGAAGCATGAAAAGCAACCACAAAAACAACAACAACATTTCTTTATTTTCTGATTATTATGATATTTATTATGATGAAAATAATAATATTGAGAATGAAAGTTTACAAAATTTGATCAATTCTGAATTTATTAATATAGAAAATATTGAAGTTATTGGAAAATTTGAACAAATTATGCTTTTGTGTTATTTTATTCCGTTATTCTTTATTGGATTATTTGGTAAATTTATTTTAATTTATAGGTTTGGGCACACCTTCTTAACAGTGGGTATGCCGAGACAAATTTTTCTCGAATAATTACCACCTTTATCGAGAGGTCGAAACAATAATTACCCAGGATAATTATTCGAGTATTATACATATGTCATTTGGGATTTTAAAAATATTTTTTTTTGATTTTTAAAAATTTTACGGTTTTTAGGTATTTTACCCTCTATTTTTTTATTTTCGGTTCAAACTACTTTTAATTCTCCAATAAAATTTTAATTTTAGGTAATATTTGGTTAATTGGATCAATTCTAAAATTAATTTTTAAACATTATATTCCTGCAATTATGTTGAGGCAAATGTCAATTTATATTTTAATGCTTGCTTTTGTTGATTTAATGGTTATTCTCAGCTTAATTAAAAAATATTTTTTCTAATTTTTAAAGGTGATTTTAACTATACCTCTACATCTTCCTTATATGATTACTGGCCAATGGAACTTGGGAATTTTTTGTTGTAAATTGTTGGTAGCTGTTGAAAATATTAATAAATTATTTTCTGTGATGGTGAGATTGTATATCTATTTTTTAATTTTTTATGAGAGATTTTACGGGTAAATTTTTCGGTTTTGGCCTGCAATGCCTAATCTTAAAAATTTTAAGGCGTTATTAGTTTGATTTAGTTGTATGTTGGCAAGAGCTATTTGTGGTGTAGTGGTAATATTCTTGAATTGCCCCACTTTCCATGAAGGTTCGACTCCTATGGTTTTGCAGAATCCATCTTAAGACAGGGTTTTATAAAAAAATTTCATTTTTCCTCATGTATATAAAATAAAAAATTTTTTTTTCTAGATATTAACTTGTATGTCTATTGAACGTTTTATTGTTGTTTGCCGACCATTTGAATATTGGGGTATTTCTGGATTAATTAATCGAAAACGCCAAATTTGTGATTCCTTCATTTTATTAACAATTTTATTAATTACTGTTGGAATATTTTGTTCACCATTTATTTATTATGCCAACGTTAGCCGTGAAATTTTTATTTTTTCTGATGGAAATGTGCACAAAGGAAATACTTTTTGTAGTTCTCATTTGCCTGAAAGATTAATGGCAAGTTTTTGGGGGTGATTTTAAAAATTAAAAAAATTTTCAGATGGTTTTTATTAGCTATATGGTATTTTTTGGATTTTTAGTGCCTTTTCCTGTTATTATATTTTGTTATGCTGGAATAATTCACCATTTGAGGAGAAAACCGAATGGTTAGTTTAAAGTTTATTTATTCCTAGTAATTCCCTTGAGTAGACAATTAATTTTATTTGTGTTCTTTTGTAAATGATTTGGTGTAGTGGTAGTGTTCCTGACTTTCCCTCTTTTCGACCTGGGTTCGAGTCCTATCAGTTTAAATTTCATTCTTTTTTCCTATTTTTTTTGAGTTTTTTTTTATTTTACTAGTCTATTTTTTCATTAAAAATTTTTTTATAGGCAATTTTTAGAGACAATTTTTCTAAATTTTTTTTTCAATTTTTTAAAGGATTTATTTCAACTCATTCAAAACCTGCCGTTCGCTCAATTCTTCGAGTTGTTATTTTTCATTTTCTTTGTTGGACACCATTTTGGATTTTTGTTTCTTTACCTTTACTTTCACATTTTAAATGGGTTAATATTGAACCTTTATTTGAATTTTTGCCTTTTATTAAACAAATTAAAATTATTGCAAAGTATGTTTTTTATAAATTTATTATAAATTTAATAAGAAATTTTTAAGTGTTTTGCCATGTGTTAACAGTGCATTTAATTGGATATTTTATGGGTATATTTATTTTATAATTTAATATTTATTTTTTAAATAATTTCGCCTATTTTTTATTATTTTTCGGTATAACCCAAAAGATCACCACTGTTTAGGTTCTTATAACAGTGGTGATATTATGGGTGATATTACTATATTTTTAACTAAAATCCTTAAAAATTTTTTTTCTAAATTAGTATGATGAATAGCCAACTCCGAGATTCAAATAATTCAATTGGAGGAGGTAGACACCCTTATATGTCTATAGCTATGTTGCCTAGAACTGCTTCATTTTCTAACAAAAGGCGTTCAACATCAAGATCAACACGTTCATTATTGGCAACTAGTCGATTATAAACAATTTGAAGATGGTTAATTGAAGGGAAAATGTGTAAAAAAGAGGTTTTAAAAAATTGAACTTTGATTATTTATTTATTTTTTAACACTTTAATTAAACAAATTTAAACAAAGAACGGATAAAAAGCATTTTAACGCTTTATGGCAACTTTTAAGACTTACCCCAAAAGATCACCACTAATAAAATTAGAGGGACAATGGTGACATTTTTTGAGAAGTATCATTTGTTTGATTTTGGCTTAAATTTGGTAACAAAAGAATGGAAAAAAGTGAGAGAAGTGTCAAAAAGGTTGTAGAAAAACTAGAAAAGAGAAAATTTAAAAAAATATATCAAAGGTTTTTTTAAATATTTTTTTAAATTTTTTAACAAAAAAATTCTCCAATGAACCATGTCCCCTCAAAAAGAAATTTTTTTATCTGATAGGGTTTAAATAAAAATAATATTTTAATATTTCCGATTAACAAAAATAAGCTTATTAAGTACAATATAGGAAAATACAAAAACTAGTTTATTTAAAAAATCCTTTTAAATAATAGAACTTTTATTTTTTCTATTGAAACATTTTCTGATTTAAAAATAAGGTACCAAAATATTAAAATGTTGTTTATACATTTTATTATTTTTTTAGGATCCTCAAAAATTTTTAAATTTATCATTTTCTAATTTTTTTGACAATTTTAGCTTAGTTTTTAATAAAAATCCAGTCAAAATCTGCAATTTTTTGAATCCAATATCGGCAATAGCCAATGTCCTCCTCTTCCCAGAGCAGCGAAACGGAGGAAGAAAAGGTTCAGGAAAAACCAAAAGTTCAACAAAAACAAGTTCAAAAATCTCCGCAAACAGAACGTCCTCCTTGGAAGCACAGGAAGAAGTCTCAAAAGGAAAGTCTAGAAGAGAAAAAGGTTGCTTTGGAAGAAAAATTGGCTAAAGAAAAACGAGAAGGATTAGCAGGATCTAGATTTAAGGTAAGGGACATTTTTGATGGGAGATTTTGTGGCAATTTTGTACTGAACTATTTTGTCCTTGTACCATTTTGCCATTTTGTCCAGGGAATTTTTTGTTTTACTACTGAGGTGGGTTCTTAATTTTGTGGGTACTAATCCGATGTTTTTATCAATAAAATTTATTTTTGAGATTAAACGTTCAAGCATTGATTTGGGTCGACGTCATGTTTCAACATCTAGCCAAAAAGATCACCCATCTAAAATTGATGAACAAGTTTCTCAAGGTAGCGAAAGTGCTGCTACTGTTGTGGAAAGATCACCACAAGTACAATTGCCTGGGCAGATTCAATCACCCACAGATGGGCGTGGAATGAGTATAAAGGAATGGAGACGTTTTTCTAAAGGGTATATTTTTTCGAATTTTGAGTTTTTCTAAATTTTGAATTGTGACGAAATTTCGTAAAATTTCTCAAGTTTCGAAAAATTAGAAACTTTTCGAAATTTCAGTGGTAGCAGTCTCGAGTATCCTCCAAATATCGAATTTTATCGAAATACATTGGAAAAATTGGAAAGTGGTTTAATTTCTGATGGACGTTTACCACCAACACGTCCTTCAATGATGGATTTAGTAGAAGGATTAAAAAATCAGCAAAAAGAAGAAGCAACACATCGTGACAGTCTTTTTAGTCTACAACTATTTAAAGAGCAAAATACTGAAATTATTGAAGGACAACAAAGAATTTTGGGTAAATTTAGAAGTCAACCTAGACGTTCGGAAAGTGGTTATTCAAAGGTTTTTTTGTCTTATAAATTTATATTTTTGAAATTTTTTTCAAAAAAGAAATCAATGTCCATTCAAAAACAACGTGAAATAACTACATCAGGTCCGGCAACATCAACAGGTAAAACTGTAACTAAATTTGGATGGATTGAAGGAGTTTTGATTCGTTGTATGGCTTCGATTTTTGGTTAGTCTTTAATTTTTTTATTTTTTTAAAAAATAATTTTTAAAGGTGTGATGCTTTATTTGCGTTTAAGTTGGGTTGCTGGACAAGCTGGGATTTGTAAGTTTTTATTTTTTGCGAAAATTGAAGAAGAAAATTTCCTTCAGTATTTGGCTCTTTTGTCGTTCTGCTTGGAACATTAATAACAGTAATCACAACTCTCTCAACTTCTGCAATTTGCACAAATGGACTAGTAAAAGGCGGTGGAGCTTATTTTTTGGTTTATTTTTAATTAAAAAACTTTTCTAAAATTTTTAAAAAAAGATAAGTCGTTCACTTGGCCCTGAATTTGGAGGGTCAATTGGAGTTATTTTCTCTATTGCTAATGCTGTGGGTGCCGCAATGTATTTGGTTGGGTTTGCTGAAACAATTAGAGACTTACTTAAATCACATGATATATCTTTGGTTTATTTTAATTTTTTTTGAAAAATTTCAAAATTTTTTTGATATTCTTCTGCATTATTGGTCCCTAGAAAAAAATGAGCAAGAAGAACCATTTAATTTAACTCGAAAAGGCGTTCCATCTTTTTGGCCCTAAAATTTTAATTACAAGTTCTATACAGGGATTCGACTTGGTTGAATGTCAAATCCGGGTCAGGGATTCGACCTGGTCATATTCGATTCCGGAATTCTAAAATAACATTTGAACTCATATTCGGACCCGGCATATTCGATTAGCTTTAGGCAAACCTCAAAAACAGGGAAGAGCACTTCTTGTTCATATTCTCTCTAGAGGCAAATGAAGCTGAAGATTACCAAAAATTTTTTAAAAAATTCTTTTTTCTAGTTGGACGGTGAAATAAACGATATTCGTATAATTGCATTAATTGCTTGTGCTTTAATTATTGTTGTTATTCTTGTTGGATTAAGCTTTGAAAGTAAAATGCAAATTATTTTGATGGTTTTATTGTGGCTTTCAATTTTTGATTATTGGATTGGAACTTTTTTGCCTCCTTCAGAAGATCAACAGAAAAAAGGAATTGTTGGGTATAAAAGTTAGTTTATTTATTAAAAAAGAGTATAGGGGATAATTTATTTTCTAGACAAATAATCCTCCGGAAATGTGTTTTTGTGAGATTTTCAATTATTTCCGAAAGGTTTCTTGTCTGGACGGTAAAATGTCCCGAATAAAATTTCAATTAATTAAAAAATTTATTAGTTGATACAATAAAAGAAAACTTTATGCCTTCTTTTCGTGATGGATACGATTTCTTCTCCGTTTTTGCTGTTTATTTCCCTGCTGCAACAGGAATAATGGCTGGGGCAAATATTTCTGGAGATTTAAAAGATCCACAAAAAGCAATTCCTCTTGGAACTCTTGTTGCTATAGGTTAAAATTTTGAAGGGTTTTTACTTGAAATTAGAATTTTAAAGGAATTACTACATGTGTTTATTTAATAATGGTTTGGATGACGGGAGCAACTACTTTAAGAGATGCTGATGGAATTCATTTACCTCATTTGTTAACACAAACATTTAATGCTAGTAAAAAGGTTTTGAATTTTTTTTAAATTTTTAACTCAAAATGTGGATGGATTTAAAATGTGACTTCCTAATTAATGGGGGTAACTTCCTTAATTTTCGAAATTGACATTTTCTGATTAACAGGGAATTTTTTTCTCTTTCCCCAAATCCCATAGAACTGATCTTTTGAGAACGGCGAATTTCTCGGAGGCTACCAATAGGACCGTTTATAAATTTGCTTGATATGGGGTTGGTCATTAACCTAACAAATTATTAAAAAAATTTTTTTATTCAACTAGTTATTTGAAACAACATCACTTTCTTCTATTGCTGCAACTAATGTTACAGAAAGCAACCACCTTTTCTCTTCAACACATTATTATGCTCCTCCCCAATGTTATTTAAAACATAATTGTTCTTATGGTCTTTTTAATTATTTTCAGGTTTTCTTTTAAATTTTGAAATTTTTTTAAAATTTTTTTCAAATAGATTGTCGAATTGGGATCAGCATTGGGTCCATTGGTCACTATAGGTATCATTGCCTCTACACTTTCTTCAGCTTTGGTTTCAATGGTTGGAGCACCTAAAATATTTCAAGTTAATTTTAAATTTTTTTAAATTATTAAAAAAATATTTTTTTCTGGCCGTCTGTCGAGATCGTTTATTTCCTTATATAAATCGTTTTGGACGTGGACATGGACCTAATGATGAACCAAGACAAGCATTGTTTCTGGCTGGACTTATTGCTGTTTCTGTTATTTTGATAGGTGAGGGAGATATTTGTTGGTAATTTTCTGGTTGTAAAAAATAATTAAAGTTCTGATACATAAGACAAAATTAGGTATTTTTTAACATTCTGATATGTGGGATCAACCCTTCAACACCCAAAAGGTTAACTGACCCAAAAGTTCTATCACAAATATTTGAGCGGATAGTGAAGGGTTTCTGAGTATTAAGAGGTTATCAATGGATTTGGGCGAGTTGAGATGAATTTGTTGGAAGTAAGGTGTATAAAACGGTAGTTCACTCGTGCCATTGTCAAAAATGACTTTTTCTTATTATTTTTCCAGGTGATTTAAATATGATTGCTCCTCTCATTTCCAACTTTTTTCTTTGTTCTTATGCTCTAATTAACTATGCCTGTTTTGATAACAGTTTTGCTCATTCACCAGGATTTAGACCTTCCTTCAAATTTTATAATAAATGGGTTTCATTAGCTGGTTCTTTAATGTGTGTTTTCTGCATGTTTATAATTTCTTGGTGGACAGCTTTACTTACATTTTTCTTTTTTGTTGCAATTTATATTTATGTTGCCCATAGAAAACCTGGTATTTTTTGATTAAAAATAATTTTTTTAATTTTTTAAAGACGTAAATTGGGGTTCATCTGCACAAGGTTAGTTTTTTAATATTGAAAATAATTAGAGTTCGAACCCGGACTGGAGCCGGAGGTTTTCGAGCCCGGAACCGAGTAACCAGGTATTTTATAAAAAATCCGATTGGGTTCTATTCCGGAAACCCCGGGCCGGGGCAGCTTGAAAGGAAAAGTCGGGTAACAAGTCAATAATTTGAAAAGGTCGAACTCTGAATTATCAAAAAAATATTTTTTAAATAGCTCATTCTTATCGAAATGCTTTACAATATGTCTCAAAGTTGGAACGGACAGAGGAACACGTAAAGAATTATCGACCACAAATTCTTGTAAAATATTTAATTTTGTTTAGAATTTTTTTGTTAAATTTTAGGTTTTAAGTGGTAATCCAGCATCTAGAGCAGGACTTGTTGATTTTGCCTATTCAATAACTAAAGGAAATAGTCTTTTAATGTGTGGATATATAATTCCAGTTTATTTTTAATTTTTCTTTAAAATTTTTTAAAATTATTCCAGTATAAGCCTTGCAATACAGTCTTTACAATGTTACAAACCTTCAACCAACAACTGCGCGATTGGTTTGTTTCTCGCCACCTTAAAGGGACATTTGCTGTTACTGTGGCTAATCCAAATTTGCGAGCTGGTGCTCAAACTCTGTTACAAGTTTTTTTTTGAAATTTTCGAGGAATTTTCCTCTTCCAAATTTAGATTGCTGGACTAGGTAAACTCCGCACCAACATTATTCTAATGGGTTTTAAACAAAACTGGGCACAAAATCGTTCACCTGAGGGAATAAATGAAATGATTGATTATTTTGGATTGATACAGTTTGAATTTCTTTTAATTTTTTAAAAAAATTGAAAAATAATCTTATAGGGACGCTTTCGATTTGAATATGAGCGTGGGTGTTTTGCGCAACTCAAACAGAGGATTTGACATTTCTGAGCTTATTTTAGAGACTGCAGAGGAACTGAGGCTTCATTTAAAACAGCGTGGTGATACTTTAAGTACAAGGTATAAAATAATTTTAAGCTAGAGTTTTGGCTCTGGACTAGTTCATGTGTCCAATGAACCTTTATGATTGTAAAGGAGGGCAATTCCAAAATTATTATCCCTCCTCTGTATAACCCATAAAAATACAAACCTCCTCTGTAGGATTCATAAATTTTCATGGACCAGAAAAGTTCATTGGACCGTAAAGATTCATTACTCTTAAAGTTTCGTTAGACGCATAAATCAGACTAGAGCCATATTTTTTCAGAAGTTATCCTTTGGAAAGTCACCCGCATCAACGTCAAAGTATTAATCAACAACAATTTAAACCTTCTGTCCATAATACTTGTTCTTCTCCACAACTTGGAATTTCTTCAAATTTTTCTATTAATCCACGTCAAAAAGCTCGAGATTTATTTTTACGTTCATTAAGTCATAAAGGAGGAGAACAACAACAAGAAAGAACTTTTGATGGTAAAAGTGCACAAAGTGGAGATACAATGCAAACAACTTTAGGAGGAGGAGGAGGTGATACAACAACTAATTATTCACCTTTTACAATAACACCAGTTAGTAGTTGCTCTGCAACTTTAAAAAGTAAAAAATTTGGTGGAGGAAAATTGAGAAAATTGTTGGGGGCTTCAAAATTAAATTTAAATGGAGAAGATATTGAACAATCAAAGTAAGAAAAATTTTTGAAAATTTCTTTAGAAAAATATTTTATTTCAGGGAAGATGGAGATCAATCTTTAGGCAGTGCATTTCAAACCCTTCCACTCCCTTCTGATACTTTTCGTTTTCAAACACGTGTTAAACAAGGAACAATTGATGTTTGGTGGCTTTATGATGATGGAGGATTGACTTTATTAATTCCATATTTGTTAACCAAAAAGGTTTCTTTTTTTATTTTTTAGGAGAGAGGGAGATCAACTAGAAGATCGGCCTGGATCCAGATCTTGGTTTTCCCTGGATGCAGAGTCAAGATCATGGCATTTTCCAGTGTTCCTTGATTTTTTCTTAACTCAAGGCCAAAAATCTGGTTAAAATCCACAACCAAACCCAAGAATCAAGTGTTTTTTAATTTTTCGATCTCCGGAGTCATCCAAGAAATTATTTCCAAAAAATTTTTTTCCTTTAGGGCAGCTATTTGGAAGGTGCCAAATTGCGTGTATTTACATTAGCTGGTGTTGGAAAAAATCTTCAACAAGAACAACAAAGTCTGGCTACAATGTTACGTAAATTCCGAATTAGTGCTGATCAGGTCAATGTAATCCCGGACTTTACTAGCAAAAAACCTGATCAAAAAAAGTTTGTGAAGTTTTATAATTATAAGATTTTTTAATTTTTTAGCCTTGCCAAATTTGAAAAATTGATAGAACCACTTGTATTGCGTACTAGTAAAAGTGAGGAATTTGCTACAAGCTCTTCTGTAACAGTATCTTTAGGAGGAGATGGAGAAGAAGATAGAATACAACAAGAAGAATTTGAAGATGAACAACAACAATATAAAGGTTTAATAACTGAAACAGAATTGGATGCACAAAGAGAACGTACTTGGCGTCAATTACGAATTGCTGAACTTTTAAAACGTTATAGTTCTGGTTCTGATTTAATTGTTGTGTAAGTTTTTATGAATATTTTTAAGAAAACACCACTGAACCCCTACACCCTGAAGACAAACTCTTAAATGCTTATTGACCCTGAAGACCTACAATTTGTGGGTACTCTTGTGTTATACATCTCCATTTTTATAGCTCCATTTCCTATTTTACAAATTGTAAAAACTTTTCCGGAATTTAATAATATATTTTACAAATTGTAAAAACTTTTCCGGAATTTAATAAAATATTTACAAATTGTCAAAACTTTTCCGGAATTTAATAATATATTTTACAAATTGTAAAAACTTTTCCGGAATTTAATAAAACATTTTACAAATTGTAAAAACTTTTCCGGAATTTAACAAAACATTTTACAAATTGTCAAAACTTTTCCGGAATTTAATAATATATTTTACAAATTGTAAAAACTTTTCCGGAATTTAATAAAACATTTTACAAATTGTAAAAACTTTTCCGGAATTTAATAAAATATTTACAAATTGTCAAAACTTTTCCGGAATTTAATAATATATTTTACAAATTGTAAAAACTTTTCCGGAATTTAATAAAATATTTACAAATTGTCAAAACTTTTCCGGAATTTAATAATATATTTTACAAATTGTAAAAACTTTTCCGGAATTTAATAAAACATTTTACAAATTGTAAAAACTTTTCCGGAATTTAATAAAATATTTACAAATTGTCAAAACTTTTCCGGAATTTAATAATATATTTTACAAATTGTAAAAACTTTTCCGGAATTTAATAAAACATTTTACAAATTGTAAAAACTTTTCCGGAATTTAATAAAATATTTACAAATTGTCAAAACTTTTCCGGAATTTAATAATATATTTTACAAATTGTAAAAACTTTTCCGGAATTTAATAAAACATTTTACAAATTGTAAAAACTTTTCCGGAATTTAACAAAACATTTTACAAATTGTAAAAACTTTTCCGGAATTTAATAATATATTTTACAAATTGTAAAAACTTTTCCGGAATTTAATAAAATATTTACAAATTGTCAAAACTTTTCCGGAATTTAATAATATATTTTACAAATTGTAAAAACTTTTCCGGAATTTAATAAAACATTTTACAAATTGTAAAAACTTTTCCGGAATTTAACAAAACATTTTACAAATTGTAAAAACTTTTCCGGAATTTAATAAAATATTTACAAATTGTCAAAACTTTTCCGGAATTTAATAATATATTTTACAAATTGTAAAAACTTTTCCGGAATTTAATAAAACATTTTACAAATTGTAAAAACTTTTCCGGAATTTAATAAAATATTTACAAATTGTCAAAACTTTTCCGGAATTTAATAATATATTTTACAAATTGTAAAAACTTTTCCGGAATTTAATAAAATATTTACAAATTGTCAAAACTTTTCCGGAATTTAATAATATATTTTACAAATTGTAAAAACTTTTCCGGAATTTAATAAAACATTTTACAAATTGTAAAAACTTTTCCGGAATTTAATAAAATATTTACAAATTGTCAAAACTTTTCCGGAATTTAATAATATATTTTACAAATTGTAAAAACTTTTCCGGAATTTAATAAAACATTTTACAAATTGTAAAAACTTTTCCGGAATTTAATAAAATATTTACAAATTGTCAAAACTTTTCCGGAATTTAATAATATATTTTACAAATTGTAAAAACTTTTCCGGAATTTAATAAAACATTTTACAAATTGTAAAAACTTTTCCGGAATTTAACAAAACATTTTACAAATTGTCAAAACTTTTCCGGAATTTAATAATATATTTTACAAATTGTAAAAACTTTTCCGGAATTTAATAAAACATTTTACAAATTGTAAAAACTTTTCCGGAATTTAATAAAATATTTACAAATTGTCAAAACTTTTCCGGAATTTAATAATATATTTTACAAATTGTAAAAACTTTTCCGGAATTTAATAAAATATTTACAAATTGTCAAAACTTTTCCGGAATTTAATAATATATTTTACAAATTGTAAAAACTTTTCCGGAATTTAATAAAACATTTTACAAATTGTAAAAACTTTTCCGGAATTTAATAAAATATTTACAAATTGTCAAAACTTTTCCGGAATTTAATAATATATTTTACAAATTGTAAAAACTTTTCCGGAATTTAATAAAACATTTTACAAATTGTAAAAACTTTTCCGGAATTTAATAAAATATTTACAAATTGTCAAAACTTTTCCGGAATTTAATAATATATTTTACAAATTGTAAAAACTTTTCCGGAATTTAATAAAACATTTTACAAATTGTAAAAACTTTTCCGGAATTTAACAAAACATTTTACAAATTGTAAAAACTTTTCCGGAATTTAATAATATATTTTACAAATTGTAAAAACTTTTCCGGAATTTAATAAAATATTTACAAATTGTCAAAACTTTTCCGGAATTTAATAATATATTTTACAAATTGTAAAAACTTTTCCGGAATTTAATAAAACATTTTACAAATTGTAAAAACTTTTCCGGAATTTAACAAAACATTTTACAAATTGTAAAAACTTTTCCGGAATTTAATAAAATATTTACAAATTGTCAAAACTTTTCCGGAATTTAATAATATATTTTACAAATTGTAAAAACTTTTCCGGAATTTAATAAAACATTTTACAAATTGTAAAAACTTTTCCGGAATTTAATAAAATATTTACAAATTGTCAAAACTTTTCCGGAATTTAATAATATATTTTACAAATTGTAAAAACTTTTCCGGAATTTAATAAAATATTTACAAATTGTCAAAACTTTTCCGGAATTTAATAATATATTTTACAAATTGTAAAAACTTTTCCGGAATTTAATAAAACATTTTACAAATTGTAAAAACTTTTCCGGAATTTAATAAAATATTTACAAATTGTCAAAACTTTTCCGGAATTTAATAATATATTTTACAAATTGTAAAAACTTTTCCGGAATTTAATAAAACATTTTACAAATTGTAAAAACTTTTCCGGAATTTAATAAAATATTTACAAATTGTCAAAACTTTTCCGGAATTTAATAATATATTTTACAAATTGTAAAAACTTTTCCGGAATTTAATAAAACATTTTACAAATTGTAAAAACTTTTCCGGAATTTAATAAAACATTTTACAAATTGTAAAAACTTTTCCGGAATTTAATAAAATATTTTACAAATTGTAAAAACTTTTCCGGAATTTAATAAAACATTTTACAAATTGTAAAAACTTTTCCGGAATTTAATAAAATATTTACAAATTGTCAAAACTTTTCCGGAATTTAATAATATATTTTACAAATTGTAAAAACTTTTCCGGAATTTAATAAAACATTTTACAAATTGTAAAAACTTTTCCGGAATTTAATAAAACATTTTACAAATTGTAAAAACTTTTCCGGAATTTAATAAAACATTTTACAAATTGTAAAAACTTTTCCGGAATTTAATAAAATATTTACAAATTGTCAAAACTTTTCCGGAATTTAATAATATATTTTACAAATTGTAAAAACTTTTCCGGAATTTAATAAAACATTTTACAAATTGTAAAAACTTTTCCGGAATTTAATAAAACATTTTACAAATTGTAAAAACTTTTCCGGAATTTAATAAAACATTTTACAAATTGTAAAAACTTTTCCGGAATTTAATAAAATATTTACAAATTGTCAAAACTTTTCCGGAATTTAATAATATATTTTACAAATTGTAAAAACTTTTCCGGAATTTAATAAAACATTTTACAAATTGTAAAAACTTTTCCGGAATTTAATAAAATATTTACAAATTGTCAAAACTTTTCCGGAATTTAATAATATATTTTACAAATTGTAAAAACTTTTCCGGAATTTAATAAAACATTTTACAAATTGTAAAAACTTTTCCGGAATTTAATAAAACATTTTACAAATTGTAAAAACTTTTCCGGAATTTAATAAAACATTTTACAAATTGTAAAAACTTTTCCGGAATTTAATAAAATATTTACAAATTGTCAAAACTTTTCCGGAATTTAATAATATATTTTACAAATTGTAAAAACTTTTCCGGAATTTAATAAAACATTTTACAAATTGTAAAAACTTTTCCGGAATTTAATAAAATATTTACAAATTGTCAAAACTTTTCCGGAATTTAATAATATATTTTACAAATTGTAAAAACTTTTCCGGAATTTAATAAAACATTTTACAAATTGTAAAAACTTTTCCGGAATTTAACAAAACATTTTACAAATTGTAAAAACTTTTCCGGAATTTAATAATATATTTTACAAATTGTAAAAACTTTTCCGGAATTTAATAAAATATTTACAAATTGTCAAAACTTTTCCGGAATTTAATAATATATTTTACAAATTGTAAAAACTTTTCCGGAATTTAATAAAACATTTTACAAATTGTAAAAACTTTTCCGGAATTTAACAAAACATTTTACAAATTGTAAAAACTTTTCCGGAATTTAATAAAATATTTACAAATTGTCAAAACTTTTCCGGAATTTAATAATATATTTTACAAATTGTAAAAACTTTTCCGGAATTTAATAAAACATTTTACAAATTGTAAAAACTTTTCCGGAATTTAATAAAATATTTACAAATTGTCAAAACTTTTCCGGAATTTAATAATATATTTTACAAATTGTAAAAACTTTTCCGGAATTTAATAAAATATTTACAAATTGTCAAAACTTTTCCGGAATTTAATAATATATTTTACAAATTGTAAAAACTTTTCCGGAATTTAATAAAACATTTTACAAATTGTAAAAACTTTTCCGGAATTTAATAAAATATTTACAAATTGTCAAAACTTTTCCGGAATTTAATAATATATTTTACAAATTGTAAAAACTTTTCCGGAATTTAATAAAACATTTTACAAATTGTAAAAACTTTTCCGGAATTTAATAAAATATTTACAAATTGTCAAAACTTTTCCGGAATTTAATAATATATTTTACAAATTGTAAAAACTTTTCCGGAATTTAATAAAACATTTTACAAATTGTAAAAACTTTTCCGGAATTTAACAAAACATTTTACAAATTGTCAAAACTTTTCCGGAATTTAATAATATATTTTACAAATTGTAAAAACTTTTCCGGAATTTAATAAAACATTTTACAAATTGTAAAAACTTTTCCGGAATTTAATAAAATATTTACAAATTGTCAAAACTTTTCCGGAATTTAATAATATATTTTACAAATTGTAAAAACTTTTCCGGAATTTAATAAAATATTTACAAATTGTCAAAACTTTTCCGGAATTTAATAATATATTTTACAAATTGTAAAAACTTTTCCGGAATTTAATAAAACATTTTACAAATTGTAAAAACTTTTCCGGAATTTAATAAAATATTTACAAATTGTCAAAACTTTTCCGGAATTTAATAATATATTTTACAAATTGTAAAAACTTTTCCGGAATTTAATAAAACATTTTACAAATTGTAAAAACTTTTCCGGAATTTAATAAAATATTTACAAATTGTCAAAACTTTTCCGGAATTTAATAATATATTTTACAAATTGTAAAAACTTTTCCGGAATTTAATAAAACATTTTACAAATTGTAAAAACTTTTCCGGAATTTAACAAAACATTTTACAAATTGTAAAAACTTTTCCGGAATTTAATAATATATTTTACAAATTGTAAAAACTTTTCCGGAATTTAATAAAATATTTACAAATTGTCAAAACTTTTCCGGAATTTAATAATATATTTTACAAATTGTAAAAACTTTTCCGGAATTTAATAAAACATTTTACAAATTGTAAAAACTTTTCCGGAATTTAACAAAACATTTTACAAATTGTAAAAACTTTTCCGGAATTTAATAAAATATTTACAAATTGTCAAAACTTTTCCGGAATTTAATAATATATTTTACAAATTGTAAAAACTTTTCCGGAATTTAATAAAACATTTTACAAATTGTAAAAACTTTTCCGGAATTTAATAAAATATTTACAAATTGTCAAAACTTTTCCGGAATTTAATAATATATTTTACAAATTGTAAAAACTTTTCCGGAATTTAATAAAATATTTACAAATTGTCAAAACTTTTCCGGAATTTAATAATATATTTTACAAATTGTAAAAACTTTTCCGGAATTTAATAAAACATTTTACAAATTGTAAAAACTTTTCCGGAATTTAATAAAATATTTACAAATTGTCAAAACTTTTCCGGAATTTAATAATATATTTTACAAATTGTAAAAACTTTTCCGGAATTTAATAAAACATTTTACAAATTGTAAAAACTTTTCCGGAATTTAATAAAATATTTACAAATTGTCAAAACTTTTCCGGAATTTAATAATATATTTTACAAATTGTAAAAACTTTTCCGGAATTTAATAAAACATTTTACAAATTGTAAAAACTTTTCCGGAATTTAACAAAACATTTTACAAATTGTAAAAACTTTTCCGGAATTTAATAATATATTTTACAAATTGTAAAAACTTTTCCGGAATTTAATAAAATATTTACAAATTGTCAAAACTTTTCCGGAATTTAATAATATATTTTACAAATTGTAAAAACTTTTCCGGAATTTAATAAAACATTTTACAAATTGTAAAAACTTTTCCGGAATTTAACAAAACATTTTACAAATTGTCAAAACTTTTCCGGAATTTAATAATATATTTTACAAATTGTAAAAACTTTTCCGGAATTTAATAAAACATTTTACAAATTGTAAAAACTTTTCCGGAATTTAATAAAACATTTTACAAATTGTAAAAACTTTTCCGGAATTTAACAAAACATTTTACAAATTGTAAAAACTTTTCCGGAATTTAATAAAACATTTTACAAATTGTAAAAACTTTTCCGGAATTTAACAAAACATTTTACAAATTGTAAAAACTTTTCCGGAATTTAATAAAACATTTTACAAATTGTAAAAACTTTTCCGGAATTTAATAAAATATTTACAAATTGTCAAAACTTTTCCGGAATTTAATAATATATTTTACAAATTGTAAAAACTTTTCCGGAATTTAATAATATATTTTACAAATTGTAAAAACTTTTCCGGAATTTAATAAAATATTTACAAATTGTCAAAACTTTTCCGGAATTTAATAATATATTTTACAAATTGTAAAAACTTTTCCGGAATTTAATAAAACATTTTACAAATTGTAAAAACTTTTCCGGAATTTAATAAAATATTTACAAATTGTCAAAACTTTTCCGGAATTTAATAATATATTTTACAAATTGTAAAAACTTTTCCGGAATTTAATAAAACATTTTACAAATTGTAAAAACTTTTCCGGAATTTAATAAAATATTTACAAATTGTCAAAACTTTTCCGGAATTTAATAATATATTTTACAAATTGTAAAAACTTTTCCGGAATTTAATAAAACATTTTACAAATTGTAAAAACTTTTCCGGAATTTAATAAAACATTTTACAAATTGTAAAAACTTTTCCGGAATTTAACAAAACATTTTACAAATTGTAAAAACTTTTCCGGAATTTAATAAAACATTTTACAAATTGTAAAAACTTTTCCGGAATTTAATAAAATATTTACAAATTGTCAAAACTTTTCCGGAATTTAATAATATATTTTACAAATTGTAAAAACTTTTCCGGAATTTAATAATATATTTTACAAATTGTAAAAACTTTTCCGGAATTTAATAAAATATTTACAAATTGTCAAAACTTTTCCGGAATTTAACAAAACATTTTACAAATTGTAAAAACTTTTCCGGAATTTAATAAAACATTTTACAAATTGTAAAAACTTTTCCGGAATTTAATAAAACATTTTACAAATTGTAAAAACTTTTCCGGAATTTAACAAAACATTTTACAAATTGTAAAAACTTTTCCGGAATTTAATAAAACATTTTACAAATTGTAAAAACTTTTCCGGAATTTAACAAAACATTTTACAAATTGTAAAAACTTTTCCGGAATTTAATAAAACATTTTACAAATTGTAAAAACTTTTCCGGAATTTAACAAAACATTTTACAAATTGTAAAAACTTTTCCGGAATTTAATAAAACATTTTACAAATTGTAAAAACTTTTCCGGAATTTAATAAAATATTTTACAAATTGTAAAAAAAAAGTTTTTTTAACGTAACTCCACCCAGAGTTATGTTACACACGCACAATACCGGACAATAGTTAGAACTGTGAATAAATATTCCCTTTCTAAAGTTGTAGGCCTTTAGGGTGTATGTCTTCACCTTCTTTTTTTACATATTTTTAAAATCTATTTTCTTTTATTTTTAGCACATTACCAGTCCCAAGACGTGGTTTAATAAGTCCAGCATTGTATTTGGCTTGGTTGGAAATGATGAGTTCTGATTTGCCACCAACTTTGCTTCTTAGAGGAAATCAACAATCTGTGCTAACATTTTATTCATAAAATTTTTGAAACAAATTTAATAAAAATTTTTTAAATTCTGCATAAAATACTTTATTTGGTTGTACCGTAGATAAAGTTTAATCATTCAATATTTTGAAAAATTTTCTTATCTGTTCCATCTATTTTTCAGTTGAAAATTTTGATTTTTTGGTATCGGTACTCAACTGACCCAATCTCGTCCGGGACTCAACTGACTTGCCCTCGTACGGGACTCGACTGACTTACCCTCATCCGGACTCAACTGACCTACTCTCGTCCGGGACTCAACTGACATTCAGGATTTTTCCGTTGGGAGAGACAAGTTTATAGAAAAAAAGTAAAAATCGATACCTTCAAAATGTAAACTTCAACAAATCTAAATTCGAAGTGTCAAACTTCGAAATACAAATTGTCAAGTTTTCCGACTGTCATTAATGTTTTTTTCGAGTTGAATCTGTCAGCTAAACTAATTTTTTTACATTTTTCAGGGATTTTATTTTTGCAACTTCATTATGGTTGTGACTTCGTGTATTTGGAACACTTTTTCCTTCTTTATAGAAATGAAACCAAAGTCGGAATTTGCTTCACTTTTTATTTCCTGTCCCAAATATTCTGAAGAAGTTGAAGCTGAGCCTTATGGATTAATTAAATTGGAGGAACAAATGCTTGAATTGACTAATAATTTGCAAAAAGGTTCTAGTTAGTTTATTTTTTTAATTATTGGAGCCCTCTTTTTTAGATTCAAAAGACGAACAACTCCCCCTTTCCACAAAAAGAATGGGCACCAAATTTGGCGATATTTTATTAAACCCACCAACATTATGTCTAATTTCTTGGGCTGATAATCAACATGATTTGTTAATGTGCAAGGTTAAGGCTGATGTTGATTGCGTTAATTTGTGTAAGTTGTTCTATAAACTTTATAATTTTGTTGTTTTTATAGGTCAAAAATCAGTCAAAATGTTGGAAGAAGAATTATCCCAAAATTGTAACTTGCGCGATTATTTGGACCGAGTTGAGAGAAGTAAAACTTTTAGTGTTGTTTGCAGGCAATGTGATTGCATATTACACACTCATTCAAAAAAGTATTTTTTTCAATTAATTTGGGTACCTTATTAATATCCCCTCTGTATTTGAGTCTCGGATTAATCTTTTTATTCCTTTCTGGCGCGGAACGTTAAAATTTCCTTTTTTCAAATGAGGCTTCTTCCTTTAGGTTTCCTGATTTTTGTACACTTATTTACCTTTTACCTAAAATGTTTGAGGGAGATAAGCCTCAAATATGAAGGGGGCGTGATATTAATATAGATCCTTACTTTGTTTTTAAAATTTAATATTTTCTTTAAGCGATTATGAATTTGGAATTTTGCCTTGTGATGACTGGTTAGATTTATCACCACAAATGGATTATTTTTGTGCTTTTTCTGGTAATGAATGTTGTACTAAACATTTTGAGAACAACAAAACAAATACTAAAGAAGGACTTTTAAGATTTTCTGGAAATTTTGGTTCTGAATTGACAAGACATTTGCCTACTGAAAGTAGAATAGTTTTGAGTAATATGTTTATATTTTTTCAAAAGGTTTTCTTTATTTTATTTTTTTTAATTTTCATTGTATTTTTATAGAATACATTGGACAAAACAACAAAAGAACATGAATTAGATGATTCTCGTGAAAAAATTATTTTGTGTAAAAATTGTAATGTACAGCTTGGGACTTCACTAAAAAGTAAAAATTTTGTTACTTTTTTGTTATCCTTACAGACTTTGTCGGATTTTCATTGCGGACATATTTATTTTATGAAAAAATTCTGACATGAGAACGGGTACTTATCGTTATAGAGTTGATGAAATCATGCTTGCATGGTGGAAATATTAGTTATGGATAAATGTGTCCGCAAAAGAATTCCGCAAAAAGCCTGCAAGGATAGCGGAAAATTACCACAAAATTTTTTTTATTTAAATTTAATCTTTTCTCAAATTCAGATCAATCTGACATCCTCAGACTTCATTTATCCACCTTACATGTATATGGAGATAATAAATTGAAGACTAGTTATATTCCTACTCGATTTTATTCAAGTGAATGTTTTTTAGCCTGGATGATTTTAAATAAGTGTGAAATATATTCTTCGATGAAATTGTTGTTTCGATCATTGGATAAAATGCCTCAAATTTTGGTTTTTGTTTTTAAAAGTTTACTAATAAAATTATTTTTAAAGATTTGGTTAATTGAACCCTATGTTGTACTTACTAGAGGTGTTTTGAAGGAACTCCCAGAAGATGCCGAAAATTCTTCCTCTAATTCATTTCCAACTTCAATTTCTTTCCCAGCACTTAAAGTTATCTATAAACTTTTTGATAGTGATTCGTGTCATCAGTTAGTTTTTCTTTTTTAGTTATTTAATGACAAATCATAATTATAGAGATCCTAGAGCAAATGGAAGTGATTCAAGTGTTGGCATTTTGGATGTTCCGCTTGGTTGTTGTATTCAATTAGCTGAACTTTTGCTGAACAGTTCTTTGTCGTTGCCAATTCCTTTGAGAGCATTAGGACAATTTTATGTTAGTTTTCTGTTTTTCTTTCAAACAACACATAAGCTAGTAGGATTTTGTGTTTAATCCGAAAATTAATAATACTTAACAATTTCAGGTTGGATTCATTCGCTTGAAGGATCGCATTGATTGATTTATTCACTCTACTTATAATTAGCCTTATTAGTTTTAATTTCTACTTAAACTCTCTATTTCTGTATATTTTAAACTTCATTCTTTAGTTGACAACGAATCTTCCTAAAAAATGCTTAATATTTTATAAACTTTTTAATTTTTAAAATAAAATTATTTTATAATTTTCTTAAATTTTTATCACCTCATGTGTAAATTATTCACTAATTTTCCTTTATTATACAATATTTACACTTTGCCTAGTTTTAGAATGAGTGAAAAATCTACCGATAACAAGGAGGAAATTTCTCCAGATTCCAACGAGGAGAAAAAGGAAGACCATCCTTCTGAAACTGCCACAAGTGAAAACTCTTCGGGAAATTCGTGGATTCCAGGTTTGGCTGCTTCTTGGGTTAATACTGCTAAAGAAAAGGTTTGGCGTTTTTGTAAATTTAGTAAGAAAATTGTTTAGACAATTTCAACATTTGAAATGATGAAGAAAGATATCCATGAGTTTTCGGATACTCTTCAACAAGGAGCGAATACTTTGGCTGGAGCTACTGTCAAACAAGCTCACCATATTCAAAATTTGATTGCGCCAGTTCCTGATAATGTTGCTAATGAAGAAGAAAAAAAGGTTTTTTGAGGGATTTTTTGAGTTTTTTAAATTAAATTGTTTTTAGACTGAAGAAGAAGGAACTTCAAAACAATCATCTGAAGAAACCAACAAAACTTGTAAGGATAAATCTGGACTGTTTAATTTTGGTTGGATGAAACAAGTTGTTGACACTGTTCACAAATATGCTACTGAAGATACAGTGGAAGATGAATGTACCGAAGAACTTTTTATTGGAACAGGCGGACGAAAAACAATTCTTGACCAGGTTTCTTGTCTAAATTTTGTAATAAATAGGATTCTTTATTGTCTAGTTCACATTACTTCAAATGCAAAATGATCCCCGTACTTTCACTCAAGCTCCCCAACAAAATGTTGATTTATACAAGGAATGGCTTAATGATTTTAAAATTTCTGAATATAATGGCGAAATAAATTTACTTTTGAGCAACAATCCTCGACTTAGAGAAATTTATGCAGAATTGGTATTTGATTTTTAAACTTGGTTTTGAAACATTTTCGAATTTAGGTACCTTCCCAAGTTGATAATAATGCCTTTTGGAATCGTTATTTTTTCAAAGTTCATTTAAAGGAATTGGATAAACAAATTGCTATGGTTGAAAACCCTTCTATTAATTTAACAAAAACAGGTTTCTTTTCTTTCTATTTTTGTCTTATTATTTTAGACACCACCGTCCCAAAAGAAGGCCATAGCCCAGCTCCTAGTAATGGAGTAGATGACTGGAGTATGTGTAGCAGTGGACCCGCTCCCGAGGTTTTTAGGCTGCTTTCAAGCCATACTTAAAAAATTTTTAGGAATTGGACGAAGAAAATGGACGTGAACAAGAAACTTCTACCCCTAGACCTCAAAAAGATGATGAAGTTGATGATTGGGAGGAATGTGTAGATGATACTAATGGTAATAATAAAAATGAAATTTCTACAAAAAACAAGGATTAGAAGGTTTAAAAATAAAAAAAAAGTTTTTATAATATAATTTATATTTAAATGGGAATGTAAAATGAATTTAATTTTTTAAGAATTGATTTGTGTGGCCCCTTCCTTACAATTAAATTTGCTTAAGAAAATATTCATTAGTTGAGTCATTTAACTTGATCCTTAGTTGAAATAACTCAACTATTGAAAACATTTTTTTCGGTTTACTTAAATCACCAGATTGATTTGTGGTCCATCCTTAGGTGGATGGATGACATCCTGTGTTCCTTCATTTTTTAAACCTGTTTAAAAAATATTTTCCAAAAAGATTTTTATTGGGCGCTATCCTTTAACTTTAAATATACATATATATTTTCTTCTGCTCATAATTTTTGGAATGTATATATTAATAATTGTGATAAAATGACTGAAAACTACCTAATAATTATTTATGAGGGGCCCGCTTTTGAATAAATTTCTCTTAGAAATTCTGAAAAAACACTTGGAAGTAAATCAATGATCTAACAAAAAAATTCAAAAACAATTCCATTACTTTTATTTAAATAAAAATTTTTTGTCAAAAAAAAAGTTTTGTGCAAAAACACAAGAAAGAAAACAAAACCTGAAGTGATTTAATAAAATAAATAAATTTTTTTAATTGTTATAAAAAAAGAGGTAAAAACAGAAATAAAAGAGAATGGCAAGAAGAAATGAAGAAAAGGAAAGTCTTGATTGGCGTGAAAACTCAAGAATATAAATGAATGATAGGAAAGGTTTTTTTGAATTTTTAATGGGTTATGCTTAATTTATATAAATTTTAGGAAAAAAGAGGAGGAAGAAGGCTCTAATGTAAATAGTGATATGGATGTCTTACGTGGATATTTTGGATGGTATTAAATGTTGATATGAATGTCTATAATTGTGCAAAGGAATAATTTTAGGTAATTTTGGATGTTTATAATTTAAATAAGGTCAAAAAACTAACTCTCCCCGCAAAACAAAAAGCTGGTGGTGGTCCCGTATGAGATCTAGTGTCAGTCGTTTACATATTTATTCCTCAATTTTAGCTCGTTCCTCAAAATATTCAAGCAGTTCTTCTTTATAAAGGGTCTTCACTTGTTTATAACTCATAAATTGAACATCATCCCCTCTAAAATTTTATAAAATTAGGAAAAGTATGATTTAAGTAAGCATACATTTCAACAGCAAATCTAGTCTTTTGTAAAGCGAGTTGACTGTTAGGGCTAGTTTCTTGTTTTTCCCCAGAAGCTGTTTCTTTATTACTGACAAGCGGTCCCAAAATTTTGATTTGCTTCTTAAATTGTAAAAAAAAATTTAAAAAAATTAATAAGAAAAAATACAAAACCTTGCCACGTTTTTCATATAAATCGATCATCTCATCAGGAATGTTGCTTGCAAGTTCATAACTTTCGCTTAAAAAATTATCTTTAGAATCTCCGACTCTAATGGGGTTGTTTATTTTTTTGTCTACCACCTACAAGACTAACACAAAATTTGCCAAAAACTTAATTAGCCCCTGATAAGCCTGTTTAGAATTGAACAAACCTCCATCGAACTTTATACATTTTTCTTTTTTTGCCTCCAACCATTTCTATTTTTGGACCATCAACAACATCCTCTATTGACCAAACAGTATTTTCATGTTGTGTTTGTAATTGGCGTTGTTTTGATGTATGATTTTGTGATTTTGTTTTGTTTGATTTTTTGTTACCATTTTCTGACATCCTTTAAAAATTTAGAGCGGTTTTATACAGAAATTTAAAATATAATGGCTTTTAAGTTTAAACACAGATTTTTATATTAAAAATGTGAGAACATGCGCGATAGAACAGCTAAAAAAATTTTTCTTTTAATGAAAGTCAAATGTCTCTCTGTATAACTATAACACATTTTCTTCTTTTTTGCTTCCTTCAATTCTCAGTAATATCTCTTTTTAATCCTCCTCTTCTCACTTATACATTTAAAAGCTTTAACAAAAACCAAAGCCAATTTATGATTTTTGGCGGGAGAAGAGGTTCAGCCTTTAGGTGACGTCATTTTAAGGACATTACAGTCCCGTTTAACACGTGTCATTTTAGTTTCAGATAGATTTTTTTGTTCATTTCTACTTCTAACAATGAATTTCCTCACAAAATTTGAGCATTAATTTTATTCGTAAGTAAGAAAATGAGGTTAAAAATAAATAAAAAGAAATAAAAATAAACCTTTCTTAAATACTTTTTTAGGAAATTGTTCATTTTTCGATTTAAACGTCAGTTTCAGCTAAACAAAAAATATTTAAATCTCATCTTTATTTTAGCCGTTTGTATGAGAACATTTGAACATCACATTTTGTTGCCAATGTTTCCTGAAAAAAATTAAGAATAGGAAAAAACCTGAAATTTAACTAACCAAAGCTTTTATCTGCCCTTCTTGGTAAACCAAACCTCCAGCCTTTTGGCTATATTCTGTATTCATTCTTTCAGGATCACCAGGCACTAAAACAGGCTTTTCTTCAGAAATCTACAAAAAAAATTATTTTTCTCGTCCCTTTCCTTTTATCTACCGGTTTCAAATTCCGCGTTTGGTCCAAAAATTGTTGTAAACGAGGAGCAAATCCTGGAGCAAAACATTCTGGATCAATAGCAACAAAACATTGGCCCTTTTAAATTTTCTAATTAGTACATTAAGTGATTTTAAAAATTACATTGTCAGCAGCTTTGTGTGATTGTCCCCACAGTCGAACATTTTTGCCAAAACTTGACCCTGCCAAAATTCCACAAAACAATTCACCCATCATTGAGAGACCCGTTCCCTTGTAAGATCCCGTCTCTTCTATACCGCCTAAAGGCAAAAGTCCGCCACCATGTAAAACAACTTGTGTGTCTGTTGATGGAATGCCTTTAGAATCAGCACCCCATGCGGAAGGAATTTGTGGTTTACCGCGACAATTTGCCAGCTCCACCTGAAGAATTCAAAATTTTTCGAGGACTCGCGTATTTCTTACCTTTCCGAGAGCAACAGTTGTGGTAGCCATGTCTAACAAAAAACTGTCTCCAGTCTTTTCTGAGTTGGCACAGCAAGAAAGAGGGTTTGTGCCGAGTCCAATCTCAGAAGACCGGCAGGGGAACATGAGAGGCGATGTATTTGTAAAAGACATTCCCTGAATATTTGATGGATTAATCCTTTAAAAAAATAATGATTACTTACCACCATTCCTGCATTTGCAATTTTCTTAGTATAATGTTGACAAGCTCCATAATGATTAGAATTTTTCGTTACCACCCAAGCAACACCAAATTCTTTAGCCAATTTTATAGCCAAATCGGTACAAAAGTTTCCAACAACTGCACCCAAAAGATTTTCTCCATCAACCCAAGCGGTGCCTCCTTTTTGTTTTAACACTTTTGGAACTCCTTGGAATAAAAATGAGTTCAAAAACGAGTTCTCAATTTTCACCATTTCCTTTAACTCCGTTCTTGACATCATCCACATAAATATGAAGTCGATTTAGACCATGACTAGAAAACATTGTTTTAGAAGGATTAACAAAAACCAACCTGTAATGCCCAACAAGATCAGCATCCAATAAGAGATCTGCTAATTGACCAGCATGGTCAGGTGATGTTCCAACTGTTTGCATACATTTTATGACGAATTCGCGAGCCTTAAAAAATTAAATTACTGAGAATTTAATAGGGAAAAAACATCTTTTGGAGACACAACAAATTCTGGGGCATCCTTTGAATAATTCATTTTCGCACAAAATTTTTCTTAGCACCAAAATAATAATTTAAATATCTAAATTAAAAGAAATGAATGAAACGATATGAGAGAAAATTTATTTGAAAGGCAAGTCGCCAAATGAAAGGGGTCTATTTATAAATAAAATGAGAGGAGGGAAAAAGAGCTCATTTTATCTGTTAAAAATTTTGATGGTTCATCAGTTTTTTGTGGGCCAAGTACTCTAATTCCTCTAATTCTTTTTTATAAACAATTAATGTGTTCCCTTTTCTCACTATCATCTGATAAACAGAAATCACTTTCTCCTACAAAGTACGATTTTTAAATAATTTATGATTGTAAAGTAATAAACGGCGGATTATCAAGAATAATGATTGCGATAACTTACCGGAACAGAGGAATGACCAGATAAAATGAGCAAATGTAGGATCGTCAAAAGTCCCTGGATTATGTCACTGGCATTTTTAAGTAGTGAACGACATATCGACTTTTTCTTAAGGAAAAAAAGTCGTTTTAAAAAAATCTACAATTATTCGCGAACGACTTTTTTTTAAACACACAATGCCAGAACTACGTAAATATCGATGTTTTGCGCCAAACGATTGCGAATCGACTTTTTTGTGTCTCTTTTTCTCTAATTTCACGTTATATTTCCTTTCTCTTTTTCTATTAATTTTCGTTCGTGTAGTCTCTCCTTTGGAATTTGCAATTTTCCATTTTTATAAATGTTCAGTCCCTTTTCTGTAATTTTTAGGGATTTTTCCACATATTTATATTCTTACTATATGGAGAGGAGAAGTAAGAGGAGATGATGCCAAAAGTGGATTGAAAGCCTTTAACAGGAAGATGAGTGAAATTTTCATTGAAAATCCGGAAAGTCTTTCCATCATCAGATGTGCTGCTTACCTTGATCCTGCCGTTTGTTTCCCCACCTCCCCTAAAACAGATCTCAAATTAAAAATCAAGACAAACTTTTTTGTGAAATTAATTTATGTATCCGTGATTCAAAAACAAAGTAAATAATTATAAGGACGACAAAACAAAATAAATTTAAAGAAAAACAAAGTCAACGAGGAGATCAATCCATCAAAACCTTTTACATTAATTTAATCAACTTCCTCCATACGCGAAGCGTCCTCCTCTGCACCGGCAATCTTTTCGACAGGTTCCCCAGAAGTGCAGGGTTGTGGATCTTCAAGAGAGAAGCCAGAAGTCAACAAAGTCATCTTGGTCGGAGTCATCTTGGCCAAAATATCCTAACACTAAAAATAAAACAAATATTCCAAAATTCTTTAAACAAAATCTTAAATACCTTAATAACTTTGCAAAGTTTCTCAAATTTAACTTTATCTTCTTCAAACTTCTTCTTTTCCTCTTCACTTTCTGGCAACTCCAAACCTTCTTTAGTCACGCTAACCAACTTCTTTCCATCAAATTCTTTCAATTGTTGAATGCAATATTCATCAATTGGATCAACCATATAAATAACTTCAAAACCTCGCTTCTTAACACGTTCAACAAAAGCTGAGTTTTGAACAACTTCTTTAGACTCGCCAGTAATATAATAAATGCAAGTCTGATTCTCCTTCATTCGTCCAACATAATCCTTCAAGCTAACAAGTTCATCGCCAGAAGAGGAAGTGTTGTAACGGAGATATTCGGCAAGCTTTTTACGGTTGACAGAATCTTCGTGAATACCCAACTAAAGAACAAATAATTTTCAAAAAAACATTTAAAAAACCTTAAGATTCTTGCTGAATTGTTCATAAAATTTCTTAAAGTTGTCCTTGTCTTCAGCAATTTCATCAAAAAGTTCGATACACTTCTTGACCAAATTCTTTCGGATCACTTTAAGAATTTTGGATTGTTGGAGCATTTCACGAGAAATGTTAAGAGGAAAGTCCAATGGAGAGAATTCCAATGGAGAGACAACGACATAGAAAATTAATAGAAAAAGAGAAAGGAAATATAATGTGAAATTAGAGAAAAAGAGACACAAAAAAGTCGATTCGCAATCGTTTGGCGCAAAACATCGATATTAACGTAGTTCTGGCGTTGTGTGTTTAAAAAAAAGTCGTTCGCGAATAAAAGTAGTTATTCGCCGCGAATCGACGAAAACGTAGATATGTCGTTCACTATTTTTAAGTAATTCAAATTGTCAGTTTGGCATTTTGTAAATATCCCTTATGTACGTTAGGTCTTTTGTACAATTTTAGTTAGTTGACATTATGAAATTTTTTTGGGCTTAGATTTTTTGAAATGTATTTACTTTAGTTGACATTTTGAAGGTTTTCGAAGCTTTAGTTTCGTTATGTCTAAATTTCGATCTGAAAAAATGAAAATTTTCATTTACTCAAAATAATTTTTTGTCATTAACTTTTTGTTAATTAAACTTCATTTTTCGAATTTTACTAAATTTTTATTTTTTTAGATGTTAAAATACTTATTCAATAGACACTTTTAAAACATGAATTCTGGTTCACAAAGAAGTAAAAATAATAAGGAATTTAAGGAGAGCACGCCCAGCAAGGAAGCAAATAAATCAAAAGAACAAAAAAAGAAGGCTGGAAAAGAAAGCGGGTCTGTCAAGAAACAACGGGTTATTTTTATTGTTTTAAAGCGCTTTTTTAATGATTATTTTATTCACTTTTAAGGTTTTTATTAATAGAGGTGCAACATCAAATACTCCAACATGTAATATTAAATTATTGCAACAACCACAAATTTCTCAGATGCCTCCACAACAACAAGCAAATTATTTTGGTCCTCAAATCCCTTCAGATGTAATGGAAAATATTTTGTTTCGGTTTCTTTATAATATTCCTGAAAATGAGGTTTGAAATGAGTTAAATTGTGTTAAATTTGAATTTTAGAAAAACGACCAAATTCGTGTTTGCTTTCACATTGAGCTTGCTCATTGGTTTTATTTAGATATTTATTGCCCTGATAATGCTGAACCACCCGCTGAAAATTGTAAAAAGGTCGGATTTCATCAATTTGTTAGACAAGTTTTTTATAAATGCGATTATTTGGATAAATGGCGAACGTCTATTGACATGGTTTAATTTTGTGTTTAAAAACTGAACTTTTTGTTCTTTAAAGATTATTGATGCATTTCGACAATATAAATCTAGTGTGCCTACTTATGGTGTTATAATGCTTGATCCAACACTTAATTATGTCCTTCTTGTCCAAGGATATTATGCTTCGACAAATTCTTGGGGGTTTCCGAAAGGAAAGGTAAAAGCATTTTTTAATTTTTAATGAGTGGAATTCCTTAAATTATATTTTTAAGATAAATGAAGGAGAATTGCCAGTTGAATGTGCTGTTCGTGAAGCCTTTGAAGAAGTCGGTTTTGATTCAAAAGAATACCTTTTGGACAAAGTACGCCCACTTCAAAGTTTTGTTGGCGAAACTTTAGTGAGACTTTACATAGCGACTGATGTTCCTATGGATTTTCACTTCAAACCACATCTGAGGAAAGAAATAAGGTTTACTTTTTATTTTTTGAGGAACATGGTAATTGTCAATTTTCAGGAAAATTTCTTGGTTTTCTGTTTGGGATCTTCCAAAAAGCAGAAACGATGACACGGGATTATCACAGCTTGGACTTTACTCAAATAACTTTTATTCTGTTTTGCCTTTTATTAATGGAATTTGCGAATTTATTTCACGAGAGCGGGCCGTGCTGAAACCAAAATGTTCTATTCTTAAGCATGAGGGAAAATCTGAAAATAGTGCCTTTCAGCCAGTTATTCCAAAAGGTTTATTAAATTTTATCTTTCAAATTTCTTTGATTTTTTTAGCGTCTTCTGATCAAAAATTATCTGTTATTAGTCCAAATCCGTCTTCTCAAAATATTCATCAAACAACTTCCCAACCAAGCACATCAAAACAATTTGATTTAAACAATTTATTTAAACCTTTAAAAATTGAACCTGATAATCCACCTCCTCCAACACCATCGGCACAACAGTCATTTACTGGCCAATCATTTTTGGAACAATTTATGAAAGGAGGAGGTGTTGCCGGTCAAGAAATTTCAAATTTTTTGGGAATTGTAACGGATAATCCTCAAGGTTTGTGTTTAAAATTTATAGAAACGAATTTATTTTTAGTTCCACGAAATCCAGCAGGCGTTATTGGTGCTGAATCACGTAATCGTCATAAAGAAATTAAGCAACCAAAACCTTTACATCCTTCCAATTTAATGTTAAATGTTTATGAGGCTCCGCCAGAACAATTTACTCCTCAACAAGAACAACAATCATTAATTCCTTCTTTATTTTCACATTCTGAAAGTCCACAGAAAAAATGTTTTTCAACAACATCAACTCTTTTATCAATGGAAACTCCAAAAAAGGGAAAAACTTTTCGTAATGTTTGTTTATTTTTAAATTTTATTTTTGAAGATTTTCCTCGTTAATAGGATAAACCCATGCCGTTAAAAATGGTTGATACTTCCAAGTCGGTTCTGAAAGATGATATTCCAACGCCAACATCAACAACAATTGCTGGATCTGAAACAAGTGGAAATGAAATTGTTAATATGCTACGTTCTTCTATAGGCAAAAAGGAAACAAAAAAAGTAATTACTGCTGAATTAGTTCCAATGCAAGTACAATTGTGTGAAGCGTGGAAGAAGTTTAAGGTTAATTTTTATTTTTTGTGGGGTTTTATGTTTTTTTTTAATTTTTTGGAGTAATAATAAACTACGAAATTTTCGATTTTTGTTCTTTTTTGTATCTAAACCAGACCCTTAGTAAAACCTTTATAATTTTTATTAACGACATTATTTCTTTTAAATGCCTTTAAAAACTTAAATATTGTTTTTTTAATATTTTTGCTTAACAAACTAATAAAAAAAGATAATATTTCTTTATTATTTTTTTCAGTTTGATCAATCTCTTCATCAAAAACTTGGTGAATTGAAATGTAGACAAAAAGTATAAAGATGATTAAATAATAAAGATGTGTGTGCAAACTTTAAAAAACTTACATTCAACTTTGTAGTACAATTTTAATATTTCTCTATTAACTTTTCCAAAATTGAACTTGGTCTTAATGTGAATGTATGGTATTTTTTATTTTTAATATTTAAGGGTTGGGATCCTTCCCTCCGGATAATCGAAGATTTCCCAGGTTCCCATTGATTAAGAAATTTTATAAGAGAAATATAAATTTTTCGATTTTGACCGCTTTTTTCTATGAGGTTACGCATGTACTATTTTGTTTTTTAAGAATAATTTTTCAAAAAAAAAATTAAAGAAATTGTCATTAAAAAATTTTTTTTAATAGTCATGCGTTATCTCCCGTAATTTTTTAATTCTTTTAGGATCTATTTAAATATACAACCTTATCTTTTTTCCACTTTCGATTATGTACTATTTCAAACACAATTTAAAGTCAAAAAATAAATAATAATAAAACAACACAAACATTTTACTTTGAATAAATATAAAATATTCAAATTTACCAGAAAAAAATATTTTTATGTTTACTAAAGAAAAATGTTTTTTTTTCGAGAAAAATGATTTTCTTCCTTATATTTTAGAGGAGTTTTAGAATTGGAAAAAATTTTTAGAAAAACTTTTTTTCCATTTAAACATTAATTTTAACATTAAATTTTTTCCATTTAAACATTAAGGGGGTTATTCAATTTATTCTAAAAAATTTTTAGGGGGTGAAGCAGGGTTTTTTTTGAAGTTTTTGTTGATGTTCGCGTGCCTATCAACATCCTTCTTTCTTTTTTTCTCTTTTTCCTTTAACATAAAGCTATTTTAATAGCTTTAAATAGATTTTTTGATTTTTCCTAGGCCATTTTAATAGATTTTCTCGCTATTCACATCCCCTTCCCTCTCTTCATTTTTAATTTTTACTTCATAACGGGCCCTTTCCCTCTCTCCTCATTTACATTTACATGTGCCCCCATCCTCCTCCCCTTAAAAAAATTTTTTTTTGAGGGTTTTGGGCAGCGAATCAATTCAGGCGCTTTTCTCGCCGCTCGTTTCCCACCACCCTTTAAATAATTTTTTGTTGCGTTCAGCTGCGGGTCTAGGCCCTTATTTGAGGTCCTCGCCCATCCTCACCCATCTATCTCTCCCTCCTCATTTTTAATTTTATCTCTCTATCAACTCTTTTATTTACTCTTTTCTGCCCAAATATGACGACTCACTCAATTTATTAATCGGGCACCTATATTGCAAAGCTATCGCTTATGAAACATTGCTCCCACCATTTATCCTTCATCCTCTCTCCTGCCTTTAACATTCCAACTTGCCAACTTGGCCATTTTTTAGAGATTCCGCTTTGTTGCTAATTAAATTACCCAAATTAATTATCGGTAATTTATTAAATAAAATTTGAAACTTTTTGAGAATTAAACAAGGTATTGTTGTGTTTTTAATTTTAGATTTCCCCTCAATCTCGCACCTTCACTCACCTAAGGAATGTTTTTGTTAATCTTAAATTTTTTTGATTTTTTTAAAAGCAATTAAAGAGAATGGAAGCTCCCCCAGTTTTTATGAAAGATTTTCAAGATGCCCACCAATTTTATTGTCCAACAGATGCTCATTTATCAGACATTTCCGCAACAACAATGATTCCGTTTATGGCGGCAGGTTTTGAACAACACCAACAACAACCATCATTACAATTAAATCAAGATAATCAACAAATTAATATTAATTCTTCCCAACTTTTTACAAATTATTCAGATATTTATTCTCTTTGTACAACAATGAATCAAGAAGCTAAAGAAAATGAAAATTCATCATCTTTGAAGGGTCGAGAAATTAAAGCTGAATACAACAACAACAACAATATTAACAACAATACAACAACTTCACTTTCTGAATTAATGATGAAAGAGGTTGATCAACAACAAAAACAGCAACAACAACAATTATTACAAGAACAAATTGAATTTAATAATAGTATAGATGGGGGCCAGTCACAAGTTTTTAACAGCTATAACAACATTAATAGTAACAACAGCAGCATTCAAAAGCCAATGGAAGCGAAGAATGGAGGTGAATGCACTGCTAATGGTACCTCAGAACAATTGTTAATTATTGCGGGAAAGGAACGGCAATCTGACAATGCTCAATGCGGTATGTAAAGGAAGGAAAGAAGGGGAGGGATGTTGGTGTTAATAGAACGAACGGCTTTTGATTTTTTAATAAAAAATTAAAATTAACGGCAACATCCCTCCCAACTTTTTTTTCTCTTTAATAACCTTAACTAAATATTTAAAACTTTTTTGTTTGCGTTTAAACAGCGGTGGTCTTTTTTCAACAAAATTTTTTGTCCCTTTAGCAACTAACCCATCCTCCCATTTTTTTATAATATTTTATATGCTTTTTCCTCTTTTTTCGTTAAAAAAATTTTTTCGTTACATCCTCCCCTCGTACACGTGAAACTGAGACTATTGTAAAAATCCGAGAGGAAAAGGGATAAAAAGATAGCGGCGAAGTTTTGCGACAAACCCTTTATAAAACAGTATCGGGAATATAAAATGAAAAAAAAGCGCAATAGGACTTTTTTAAGTACAAAAATATGCAAAATGAATAGAGAGGAAAAGGAGAGGGTGGTGTTGGTGTTCACCCTTTAATAAAAAAAACTTTTTTTGGTTAATATCGTTTCGCTGACTGAGAGGTGCTATATAACTTTAACGGAACATATTTATCATTTTTACGGCTTTTTTGAGAGGAAAAAGGAGGAGGACTGTTTTAAATCAGGAAAATAAACCTTTCTAGGATTAAGGGGACATATCAGGGACGGACATATCTGGATTACGGTTACAAAAAAACTTTTTGCGTATTTAAGTTGGTTCTAGGATGGATATCGGATCGAAAATAAATCTTTGTATAGTGTTTCGGGCAACTCGTAGTCTCCCTGATCCCGTTATGTCTTGATTCATTCCCTTTCTTTATTCCCTTTCCCTATTCCCTTTCTCGATCTTTTTTTATCTCTAAAGTTCTAAATTAATGTTTGTCAGTCTTTTCTATAATTATTTTGTGTTTCGATTTACATCAAACACACACACACAACTTTATTTTTTATTTCTAAAAAAATTTTCTTAAATTTTTAACAATTTTGCTTGTTTAGCTTTTATCAAACAAAACAAACAAAAATTTCTGTTTAAATTTGTTTGAGTTAAAAAAATAGTTGTGTGTTTGTTTTAAAAAAAAAGCTGAAAATTCCATATATCGAGGGGGAGTCTAAGGAATAATAAAATTATAGAGAATTCCTGATACATTTTTATTATTTAAAAAAATTAGGAAATTAAAATTTTTAAACATTTTTAAGACAATTTTTATTTTTGCTGCTATTCTATCTAACTTTTATTTTTACTAAAAATTTTTCTTTTGTTACTTCCTTCTAAAAATTTAAAAGTATATTTTATTTTTTTTTAATTTTTTTATTGCCCAGTCATTTATTTAGACCAAACACTTTCCTTACTAAACATTAATGTTGAAAATTTAAAAAAAATTTGAGGCTTTATAAATGACAGATCTTAGTATAAGTCTTATCCAAACTAGAGCTTCGTATCTAGTAGTAGCTTGGTCTGAATCTTGACTTAAAACTTTTTTTGGATTTATTCATTCTTTCTCTTGGGGTGAAGTCCTGGTCTTTTGTGGTCCAGCCTGGTCTTGGAAAATGTTTGGTCTTGAATATCCCTAATATAGTGTTAATAGTTAACCAATAAGACAATTTGTTAATCAAACATTTTTAAGTAGAAATCCATTTTTGCAAATATTTTTACATTCCCTCAAAAATTTTTCCTCTCTATTTAACTTTTAAAAGGGCATTTTGTCGGCGAAGAATTGAGTAAATCGAGAGAGGGGGGAGAGATATATATCTCCTTAAACATATATCCCCCTAAAAAATCTTCTCCCTTCAAGTTATTTGATGTTATGTTGAGTTTCGCCCTCTTTGTATTCTAATTAAATACTAAATATCTTTTTTCTCCCAATTTTTACCCTGAAAATTAGCGCAAAAATAAAAAAAAATTTTTGTAATTGAAATTAAATAAAAAATTGTTTTAAAAATCTTTTCCTAGACCAAAGAAAAATTACATAAAAATTCTTTTCATCTAAAGAAATTTTTCTTTCAGACAAGGAAGGAATAAACGGAAGCAGCAATACTGTTACAAACAACATTAACAACAACAGCAATAGTTCAACAAACAAGTCATTTCCTCAATCATTAACTGAAAATCCAAAGCAGCAGCAACAACAAAATCAACAGCAACAACAACAATTTCTACCTCCACCAATTTCTGTTATAGTTACCCATCAACAGCAACAACAACAAAGAACTAATAACGAAAATAATAAAAATAAACAAATGGATGATGATTGTTGGAATATTGGAGGAGTTAATTCTGAAATTGGGGGGAATGTATCCTCAATGCTTATTCGAGATGAATTTATTTTTCAACCTTCACATTGTGCTGTTTCACCTCCTCCGCCTACAACAACAAGTGTTATTGGAGGAGGAGCAGGAAGGAATGATGGGGGTGTTAATGGTGTTGGTGGGAGTGCTACCGACTTTCTTTATGATTTGTCAGCTCCTTTACTGGAAGGTATTAAATGGGGAAACGGAGGGGAGAAAGACAGGCTAAAGTATCGTGAGCCCAACGTACCGCCAAGCTATAACTTCGTTTAAAGCTATCGAATCCGGTATGCTCTGGTTTGATGTACCTCGCCATGCTGAAGCGAACCATATCTGAGCTTCCTGGATTTGATTATTTTGAACTAATAGCTCGGCGGTATTTAAGAGGTATACCTGAAGGGTAGGAAGGAAAAAATTTTTAGTGGCCAAAAAATTAATGCCATTGATGGCTGAGATATATCCTTCAATAAATCTAATTTTCCAGATACATTCCTAACATCAATGCATAACAATATTAACAACCATTCTCCTTTGGATAACATTCCTTGTAGCAGTACTTCTTTGATTAATTGCCCTTCTTCAGCTTCTGTCTCTTCATCATCTGCTTTTCTTGAATTGCAACATCATCATGATGGGTCTGTTGGTGTATCCCCTTGTTCATCTTCTACACATAATTCATCTTCTCCGGATGATTATACTTTATTTCTTGCTCAACAACAACATCAACAACAACAACATTTGTTTCATCAAAACAATATTAAACAACAATTTCCTGTAAACTTTTTTTTTAAAATGCTCGTTCCTGGGCCATATTATTATATATCTCATTGATCCACTGCCTCTTTTCGAGTTGTAACTTTTTACGGGAGATCATACTTGATCTGTCCCTACTACTTATCGAGGGCTTTACTTATCGAGGGCTTTCGACTACTTACTTATCAAGGGCTTTCGAATGATATAAAAGTTAAATTCGATCAAATTCGGAAAAAAGGAGTAAAGAAAAAATACGCCCCATAGTACCAAACATAGTTAATTATCTTTATTTTTTATTATTTTTTCAGCATTTATTGGCACCAGCGATCGAGAATGTTGAAATACTTCGTCCAATCCCTCAACTAATTGAAGATCATTCTATAGCTGGGCAAACAACAATTGATATGCATCAACAACAGCAATATGCTTTTTTAGTTCAACAACATGCACAGAATAGTCTTCAAGCAATGTTTTCAAATAATGGTGAACAACAACAACATTTACAACACCAGTTACAGCAACAACAACAAACATTAAATATAACACAACAAAGAAGAAGAAAAGATGAGAATCGAAATGAGATGTTTGAACAACGAAGAAATAGCAACCATAGTGAAGATGATGACGAGGAAGAGGATGATGAAGGTGATGAGGATATGGAGGAGGAAAGAGGTGGAAGAAACAATCATCAGGTTGAGGTGGGTACAAAATTGATAATTTTTGGGGCCTTCTTGGATGACCCTATCTTTTTTAATAATTTTTTTAAATTTAGATGGCTGATGTCAAACCATCATTCATTTTGGGTGGCAATCATTCACTCAAATCCCCAACTTCTGGTGGGCCACATTTTAATCCCTCTGCAGCATTCCTTGGAGAAGAAAGCTGTATTGGTGACTACACGTTATCTCCCCCACCCCCTCCATTAACGCCTCCTTCAAAAACACGATCAAAAATGCATGATTTGGCATTGAAGCATCGACTAATTTCCAGTCAGGTGGTAAAAGTTTGATACATATTCTTTAAAATTTTATAAAAAATTTTATTTTTTCTAGAATTTGAGAGGGAACGGAACAATCCAATTGTCAATGGAAGAAAAGAAAACTTTAGTTCAAGAAGGATTTCCAGTCCCAACAAAATTGCCGTTAATGCGTGAAGAAGAGGAAGCGTTGAAGATTGTTAGGCGCAAAATTAAAAATAAGGTTTCCTTGAATTTTTTGTTTTTGGGGTGACATTAGGTGTCAAACCCTAGAGGTCAACTCCCTAGTGTCAAATGTCTTTAAAGGCCAACTCCTATTGGTAACTAACCCTAGAAGCCAATTCTCTAGTGGTAAAATTAATCAAATTACCATGGAGCTCAATTCCAATATCGTTGGATCTAGGCGGATTAAGATGAATTTGTTGGGACTAAGGGAGATTAAGTGACTGAGATACTTTTGTCCTTTATCTGCCCAAATATTTTTAAACATTAAATTTTCTTTTTTCTTTTAAAGTTGAGTGCACAAGAAAGTCGTCGCAAAAGAAAGGAATATATGGATATGCTAGAAAAAAGAGTGCACGCCTATTTTGCAGATAATAATGCTTTGCGTCAAAAATTGCGACAATTGGAAGCTTCTAATCGTTTTTTACTTGTTCAATTGCAACAAAAAACATCAGCAGAAGTTGGTGTAACTACTTCTACTAGTGCTAATGAAGAACAAGAACAATCATCTATGAATTGTTAAAAGTTTTATTCATGTAGTTTATTATTAAGTAGAGATTGGAAGCTTCTTCCCTTTTTTTCGGCCAAGAGAACGTGTTCAATATACATACCTTTACACGTTAAAAACAATCAACTCCTTATGCGTCCAATCAATTGCGATAGTTACCCGATTCTGCACTTTACTACCAAAAAATCTATGGGAATAGAAGTCTCTTTACTCAACCGGTACACGGACTATACCAGATCATAGGTTGATTAGGTATCCAAAAGCTCGATTGTTGTTACATTCCAATCTCTATTTTTAATTTTTTAGAGATTTGCTTAGTTTTTTACATAAAACAAATTTGGGAGGGATATCTATAAATTTATATACTTCATAAGGACTTCCTCATCATTTTCGTTTATTCCATTTTATCTTTCTGTTGTATACAAACCGTTAAAAAATGTTTGCCTTATACATTCTTTTTAAAATTTATCAAAAATTCTATAAATATTTTTTCTATTAATCCCCGGTCCTTTGAAATTTTATACCTTTTTTCACTTCACTTTTCTTTTTTACTGTGATATATCATTAAACTTTAATCTGTATAACTTTATAAATTTATTGGTTTTATTTTTTTGATTAATTAGTTCAACTATCAAGCTTTTCATAGTAGTACAAAAAGTTTAACAAATAAAGGAATTACCCGCCATTATGTTCAACGATGTCATTTCATGCCGTCAAGACTCTACTATTCTTTTTTCTATGAGAACTACCTCCCCTTTTAGTAGAGAAAGAAATTGTATTGACTCAAACGACCTATTCAGCAGTGTCTATATTTTTCGATTTTGCCCCCATCTATCTTTTATTGCATCTATCTTTTGGTTCATCTATCTTTTAATAGATTTTGCTCCTATCTATCTTTTAGTGCATCTATCTTTTAATTCATTAATCTTTTGTATAGGAGCCAAATAGGCTACCCTACAACTCATCGAATCCTTAACTCATCGAATCCTCAACTCATCGAATCGGCCAAAAACCCTCAACTCATCGAATCCTTAACTCATCGAATCCTCAACTCATCGAATCGGCCAAAAACGATCAACTCATCGAATCCTCCCAAACGGGGACGTTTGAGTCCCTGTGTTTATTTTTTTTAGATTTTTTATTGTTTTGTTTATTTTTTTTTGTTTTCTTCTGGGGGTCCAACTAATTTTGTTAATTAGTTGATCGGGCACTCATCCAAGTCTATCCGGCCAGTGAAAAGATTATCAAATAATCAGAATGTTTTCTCACATTCCTGGTAAATTATGATGGAGATTTTACCGGGTAAAACCGGACCAAATTAGTCCAGTAGACCCTGATTATGCCCAAAAGGCCTTTTTCCTAGCCTCCATAGCAGCAAAAAATTTTTTCACCGAAGATTCAGTTAGCCCTTTCAGGAGCGTATCCCCTCAAAATCTCTATTCCTTAAAATCTCTACTGGGCTAAAATGCCTTATAATCTCTACACAGCTAAAATGCATTAAAATCTCTACTCGGCTAAAAATTATTAAAATAACTATTCCTTAAAATCTCTATTCCTCATAATCTCTACACGGGTAAAACGCCTTAAAATCTCTACACGGCCAAAAATAGGATAAAATGTCTATTTTTTCATTCGGAAGCCTTTTGAGTGCCAACGTTCAGTGCGGAAACGTTGTTCTGATTTCTGGCTTATCTTTTGATATTATTTTGCTTGTATTGTTTTTGCCGCTGCGGATGAACCCAGGCATGTCCAGCGGAACGACAGCAGCCGCTTCGATACGATCACCGCAAGCAAAATGAACACGACCGCAGCGAAGCAGTCGTGTATTATATCTTCGATATTTACGGCTGATACAAGCAGATATCCGCAGCCATTTTTAAATCAATTGTATCCATATCCGTATCCATTACCAAGTCTGGGTTTTCCAATGAAAAGTTCATATTTTACATTTTTGTTGAGACTCTACCATCCATTTGCACGGTGTAGAGATTTTAATTATTTTTACCCCAGTAGAGATTTTAAGGAATAGTTATTTTAAGGAATAGAGATTTTAAGCATTTTTAGATTAGTAGAGATTTTAAGGAATAGCGATTTTAAGGAATAGAGATTTTGTATGGGAGCCTTCAGGAGAAAATTAAACACGGCCTTTTGGAAGGATTCGATGAGTTGATCGTTTTTGGCCAATTCGATGAGTTGAGGATTCGATGAGTTAAGGATTCGATGAGTTGAGTATTTTTGGCCGATTCGATGAGTTAAGGAATTTTAGCCGATTCGATGAGTTGAGCGTTTTTGGCCGATTCGATGAGTTAAGGATTCGATGAGTTGAGCGGGCACGGCCAAATAAATGACATTTCATCTCAAAAGTTAGAGATATTCTTAAATAAAAATAGTGTAGCTAGAGAAAAAAAATAAATATAGGTGTTTCGGTGCTAAATTCTGAGAGTGCGAAGTTACTGTATTTGAACTTGTTGTATTTATATAGGATGTTTAGATTGGATTGATCTAATTATAAAAAAGATGTGGCATCCCGAGACCTTTCGAATGATATATAAATTTCTTTCATTATTAATATTTAAAAAAGATATGGCCTTAAAACGCTATTCCGTTAACGATACTCAAACGTCTCTTCTACCATTTAAAGCAAATGACACCTACAAAGATAGAGAAAAATAAGGGGAAAAATAGTGAGTTAGACAACAAAATTAAATAGTAAAAATAGTGGTTAGAGAACATAACTAATTGCGGACTGTTGGGCCGTTTTAGTGCCCCAGTTCAGTGCGAAATGGTTACTGTACCAGAAGGGGAAACTCAATTAGCAGGATTTAAAAATCAGAATTAATAAAACAGAACTAACTTTTTAATAAATATATTCTGTTTTTAAGTCAGTATCAGAATATCGCTCTTCAATGCATTTCCCTCGTGGTAAAAGAAGTTCACTAGCAACAATATTGCCTTCTTTCGTTACTTCATCCTCTTCCAATAATTCTTTAAATACTTCATTTCTGGGTTCTTCATCAACTTCAGGAACATCAACAACAACACATTTATGAAGTTTAAGTAATCCTAGAGCATATTTCAGTTGATAATTATTAATCTTGTTATTTTGTAAAATTTCCAGTTTTTTTAAATCACTATAAATACTTTATAGTTTTTTAGTTCATTAAATTTTACTCTTTAAAATCATGATAAACACCCAAAAAATTGTTTGGTTTAATCACAAAAAATTTCACCAAAAAAAGTTCATTTTGTGGGGAAATTTGAAATTTTATTCAATTTAAAAATTTGCCAAAATTTGGCGTAATGTCTCTTGTGCCAAATAAATGACAGTTTATCCCAAAAATTAATTCTGTTGAGTACCGGACACTTGAGTCTGACGGCTGAAAATAGATGAATTAAATAAGTCGGTTGGGTGCAGAAGTTGAGTGTGTTGAAGAAAATTCTTTAAAATTTTATATTTTTTAAAAATCAATAATAATCGATAAAATCGATATCAATCGATAATTATTTTTAAAATTAATTCTTAAATATTTATATTTTCAAGAAAATCAATACTAATCCATAATTTACTTTTAAAAAGTTAAATTTTCAAAAAAATCAATACTAATCGATAACTATTTTTAAACATCTACTCGAGTTCTTAAGAATTCTTAATTTTCCAAAGAATAGGTTTTTAATTTTTTTGCCATTCCGCTCTCAAAATGAGCACCGAACTGGCCATAAATACTCATATTTATTTTTTCTCTAACTACACTATTTCGTTTTTAAAATTTCTCTAAACTAAAGGAATTCATCTACTCGAGTTTGTTTGTTAAGGAACGTCGTAGTTAAGTCAGGACAATTGAGTCTGTAAAAATTTATACAAAACACAATAAAAACAAAGTCAAAACATTTTATAGAACAAAAATAAAAACCAAAAAAACAAAAAGAAAAACAAAAAAAAGATAAAAAAATCAAAAAAGAATTGTTGTAGAAGCACCACTCGCTTGTAATCCATCAAATGTCCATCTTGTTGTTGCTTTTCCTGTTGATGTTGTTGGCGGGAATTGTTCAAGTCTGAAAGAAAAAAGAATTTTGCGTGATTTTGGATTCATTTCAAGCTTAATATTTCCGTAAATTTCGATACAATGGGTAGATTGGAAGGGTGGAGGGATTACACCAATTTTCCACCCTATTTTTACCGAAAGTATAAAGAGGCATCAACCTACAAAGTCCAAAGAAAACAGTGTTATAAATAGAACAAGGTTTCAAATGTTCTTTGGGGAATACGAGTATGTTCCCGAGGAGTGTGGACATATGTTGGAACAATGAAAAGAAAAAACAGATAGAGTCAATTGTACCGAAAATTGAAACTCCCAATTCAGAAATCCACCCAAAAAACCCCTCAACTAAAATAAATAAACTAACATTGTCTTAATCACACTTCTTCCTTCCTTTCCAAAAATTCACAACCAAAAGCTGCCAATGCTTGACTGTTCTCGCGAGGAACGCCCAACCAAGGAGTGTGTTCATCCGTGTTGAACATGTTAAAAAAATCTTTTTAAAAGAATTCTAAAAATTATTAAATAACCTTTCAAGCCAGGTTTTCAGTCGCATGTGTTGTAAGCCAAAGCAACATCAAAAAAATTGTCCAGATGGCCGTCGTCATCAATTGGGTTTAAATCTAAAAGAAAATAATTATTTGGTGAAAAATAAAAATAATTACACCTAACGAGTATTGAACTCGTGCCCTATCCTTATACAACCAATAACGCTACCAACTTAACAAAATGTCAATACGAAAAACTTTCAAATTTTTTCTCCATATACAGACGTGAACTTTGAATTTGGGGACCAATACTAGATATTAAACTTAAAAGGCCCGTAAAATAATTAAAAACCTTTCAACTCCATAATCTGCATATCTACAAGTCAAATAAATGCAACCAAGCAATTCTGTCTTCTTGTTGAAGCGAATGCAGCTTTGCCAGTTGTCCTCTGGGTACTTGTGAGTTATCCCAAACCAGTTTTTGCGGAAATATTTTGCGGACTCTTTTGTATACACAGAATGGTCAGATCTCCTCCTTTCCTCAATTTCCTCCTTTCCTCGTATTTTTATACGTATAAATTGAATTGAATTGAATTTCACTCTATTTCACTATGGCATTATTTAATGAGAGGCAATAAAGAAAGGATTATTTTTAAATATAAATGACCGAGTTTTAAATCATTTCGCCTCTCATTGAACAATGCCATAGTGAAATAGAGTGAAATTGAGGAAAGGAGGAAGACTGACCATTCTGTATATACAAAAGAGTCCGCAAAATACGTCCACAAAAACCGTGACAAATCACAGTCTTACCAAATCACGGAACGACCAAAATACGGAATAAACAAAATTTGGACCGATCTGCTTTCAGTGCAGCTTTTCGGCAATAGTAGTTTATTCCCACCCCTTTTTTACGGAATCCTTGACCATTTTGAGCTGGATTGATACAATAATTGGTTAGATTTGTCAAAAATATGAAGCTGTTCTGGGCCGTGTTTGGTTAATTTGGTAAGACTCTGTTAAGGTACGTACGCGAAGTAACGGACCATTAGTGAAAAATGCGGAGTTTGGTGCTTATCATCTTAGAAAAATATTTCTAAATGACTGAAATGTGTAAATAAAAATGAAAAGATTGATCTGTTATTTTCATATTTGATGGCATTGCAGAAAAATAATCCATTTTTGTTGCCTCTCTTTATTGCCTCTATTAACACAGTGAAATGGAGGAAAGAGTTCACTATCAATGAGAGGCGAAATGATTTAAAACTCGGTCATTTATATTTAAAAATAATCCTTTCTTTATTGCCTCTCATTAAATAATGCCATAGTGAAATAGAGTGAAATTGAGGAAAGGAGGAGGACTGACCATTCTGTGTATACAAAAGAGTCCGCAAAATATGTCCGCAAAAACTGGTTTGGGATAACTCACAAGTACCGTCCTCTGTGTTGTAGAATGTTGTGGTTCACCCGTTCAGCCATTTCCTAGAAAAACAAAATTTTGTTTCATCCAGGCAAAAAAGGAAAACCTGAATAAACTCTGCAGCCTCTCTCCTATATTTAAGTTCAGCAGCCGAATTCATAAACATTCTATATATCAGCTGAGAAAGCTCATCATCTGCAAAATACCATTTTGGTTTCCTTCCAAGTTTGCTAGATGATGGAACGGGTTTTGCCATCTTTCAAATAAGATCCATACTGAAAGCTCTAAAATGTTTAAAACCCCCTCCCTTTACCAGACAATTGGTAAACACACTTTGTAATCAAATTTGGAAGAGGATTAATTACGGACTAACTCATGGATTATTTGCGGACAAAACTTGCTTGTGTAAAAAAAGGGCAAAAAACAAACCTTTTAATTTTTAAAAAGATTCCATGGACGTCCAAAGTGCTTTGATGCTTTTTGATTTTTTTCTTCTTCTTCTGTTGATTTTGGTTCTTCTTTTTGTTTTTTCTTCTTTGTTCTTTTTGATTTGTTGTTCTTCTTTTTGTTGATTTTTGAGTTTGTTCTTCTTTTTGTGTTGCTGCTGGACAATTCTTAGAGGCATGGCACTAAATAATTTAAATAAGTTTGTTTAGGCACAATTATAAACTAACCATAAAACTGAAGAGCAGTTATCAAAGTACCATAGAGGCAACAAGTCCCATGAAGATGCCAGCTAGACGCCGCAAATGCCAGACAGAACCCCACACAGAAGGAAGAACTCCAAACAGTTGCCAGGAGAATTCCATACAACAGCCGTTAGAACTCCAACAAAGCCAGACTCCAAACAAATGCCAGAAGAACTCCTACAGATGCCGAAGCAAATGCTAGAACATTCCCCCGAACATCTGACGGAACGTTCGCACATTGTCGCAATTCTTTCGCACAGTTGCTGGGTTATTCCCCCGCACATTAGCCGGAACATTCCCCCACATAAACAGATGAAGAACTCCAAACACTGCCAGAAGAATATCATACATTGCCGTTAGAACTCCAACAAAGCCAGACTCCAAACAAATGCCAGAAGAACTCCTACAGATGCCGAAGCAAATGCTAGAACATTCCCCCGAACATCTGACGGAACGTTCGCACATTGTCGCAATTCTTTCGCACAGATGCATGGTATTCCCCCGCACATTGCCGGAACATTCCTCCACGAAACTAAAACCCACGCAACACGCCTAAAGGACGCACGCAAATGCCAAAGGGGACTTGTGCTTTTGATGTTGGAGAAGAGAGCTCCACATCCGCCTCTACTGCTAAAAATATGATTTCATTTCAAAGTTAAAGGAAACTGAAACTAACGTTTTGAGACAAAACCAGATTGATGAAGTCCAGATGCAGCTTCTTTGGTTGCAAAGCATACAAAGCACTGAATGAAAAAAAAATAATGTTGTTGGATTAAAACACAGCAAGCTTTGTCCGCAAAATGGGAAGAAAGGGGGGGGGGGAGTGAAGGGCAACTGAAATTGCTCCAAATACAAGCCAACAGTGTCTGAAGACCACCATCATCATCGGTCATCTAACAGTTCTAAAAAAGAAAAATAAACATGAGGCAAATTAATTAGTTTAATAAAAATTTAGGACATTTTTCACGCGTGGCGTAACTAGTAGAGCGTTAGGCCCACTTGTTAAGAGGGTTCGAACCCTAAAGGAAAACCAAAACAATAACCGAAAATTTTTCTCGTACCCAGATGAAAGCTTTGAGCACTAGATATGCCCTTTTGAAAATTTCAGTCAAGAGCGTATTCCCGCTGAAATGATAAAACACACTCGAAGGTAAAAAATCCCCAATATAATCTAACCAAATTAAAAGAAACTAACTTGTTCAACCTCAATAACCAATCCCTTTTCTTTCAAAGCATTAGCCAAATTGCAATAAGCATCAGGAAAATCTGGTTGTAGTTCAATCGCTCTTTTGTATGTTTCAATTGCCAAATCCAAATGTCCTTGTTCATAATAAACACAAGCCACGTACAATTGCATGATTGGGATTTAGAGCCAATGCACGAAGATAACAAGAGTTCTAAAAATAAAAAAAATGAAACAGAGTAAAGGTGGAGGGAAAGGTCATGCGTTATTTCATTTCTTGGCTAACTATCCAACTTATAAAACAGCGGGAAAATTAAGGCCTACCCCAAATTGCCATAACATTAAGGATTTTCTCTTATAGCAAGGTCAGACATTACAACGATCGAAAAGTATCTGGGTAACCAATATAGAACCCAATGCTCCGAAAACTATGTTAACAAGGTTTCTTGGAGCTAAGGGAATATGGTCTAACACAAACTTTTACAAACCTGACGATCAACAGCTCCAACATCATTTGAAGAGACAATTATGTCTTGTGGGTTCAGGCTTTGTCCTTCCGTCAAAATGGCTGAAGTTGTTCCTTGTTGAATTTGAAGTTGGAGGATGATTTGATGAGAACCTGATGTGGTGTTTTGTAGTTACCTTAAAGAAAATTTGGTAAAATTAAAGTATTTCACAAAAATCCATACCTTATCAAATGTACTAGTTGAAAGATTGTAGAGTTGTTTAGAAGAATAGGATAATGTTGAGACGATTGAAGACAGGCCTTGAATATTGAAATGTTGAGCATGGACAATTAACTGCTGTCCTTCGAATAAATTACATTTTTTGTCTAAAAATAAAAAATATTGTTTACCCACTTTATGGAAAAAAAATGTAAAAGAAAATGTGAAAGAAAAGTCGAGGAAAACAATGAATGGTTAAAAAAGTTTCCCTCTTCAACTATTGATCGTTGTTGTGAACTTTGCTCAGACAAACAAAAACATGTACTGGTCAGAGAAAAAGAATCGATATTTTCCCTAACTCTCCCGTGGGGGCTCCTATACAACTCATCTAATCGTTAACTCATCTATTCGTTAACTCATCTACACGTCCAAAAAGGGTCAACTCATCTAATCGTTAACTCATCTATTCGTTAACTCATCTACACGGCCAAAATGGGTCAACTCATCCAATCGTTAACTCATCTAATCCTTAACTCATCTACACGGCCAAAAACGCTCAACTCATCCAATCCTTGAAATATCGGCCGGTTGAGTCCCTGGTCAGTTGAGTCTCAACCGGCCCAAGACTCAACCGGCGGTAATCAACCACTCAAACGGCCGGGACTCAACTGGCCAGGGACTTAACCGGCTAGAGACTCAACTGGCCATGGACTCAACTGGTCATGGACTCAACTGGTCATGGACTCAACAGGCCATGGACTCAACTGGCCATGGACCCTACTTACCAGAGACTCAACTGGCCATGGACCCTACTTACCAGAGACTCAAACGGCCATGGACCCTACTTACCAGAGACTCAGACGGCAAGAGACTCAAACGACTGGTACTCAATAGTCTCGTTCCAAAGGATTGGATGAGTTGAGCGTTTTTGGCCGTGTAGATGAGTTAAGGATTAGATGAGTTGATGATTGGATGAGTTGACCCTTTTTGGCCGTGTAGATGAGTTAACGAATAGATGAGTTAACGATTAGATGAGTTGACCCTTTTTGGACGTGTAGATGAGTTAAGGAATTTTAGCCGTTTAGATGAGTTGAACGTTTTTGGCCGTGTAGATGAGTTAACGAATAGATGAGTTAACCGGACACGCCCGTGGGAAAACAAATTTGTTTTCTCTAACCTACACATGGTTTTGCTTGCTAAGAAAATATCGACAACAAAAATCGATAAATGAAGAAAATGCGATAACAAGAAAAGATGGATAAAAAGAGATGAGATAAAGAGACGTGAGAAGAGACGATAGATGATAAAGAGCCACTAGTCTCTAGCCACTAGTGGTCAAATCTAAAATCGATACTGGTCGATAATTAAATAAAAAATATAAATCGATATCAATCGATAAAATAAAAAATAATGAAATCAATAATAGTCGACACATTTATTCTTGTGAAATTATAAAAATAGGTCCGAGAAATTAATCTTTTTGACATCAAAATTCACTTCTTAGGTGCTGCACGAGTATCTAAATAAATATTTTTTAATTCAAAATTTAATCACTTAATGATAACCTGGCATACGCTCAATTATATAACGATGATCACGTATATACAATATTGGAACATCGGGAATTTTGCGTATACGCTTGCGCAAATCTCTATCACAAGTAGCAACGATGTAGTTTTTGTGCTAGAAAAGTAAAAAAATAAATGGAAATTAAGCTCGAATTAATTATATGGAGATCAACCCTGAAAAACTACACTCCAAGAACTTTGAAAGGGAATATTGAAGGATTAAGACGGATAAATACCCAACTGAAATAAGGACATCGTTCCTTATTTTAGAACCAATAATGAGGTATTGAGTGTGCCATAACTCTGTGAGTATATCTATCTCCTTTAAGCACACTGAATTCATAGGTATTCCCTTAATCCCTGATTATTCCCTTTCAAAAGTTGTAGGTCTTCAAGGATGGACTCGATCATATATATTTAAAATCGAAACGGTCACATTAATTTTAAAAATTTTATTTAGTTAAATTGAACAAACCTGCGTAATTCTATGAAGAATACACTCGTCAGTATATATGCTTTTTTTGTGCGCACAATGTAATCTTTGAAAACGATGATCATTGATAATTTTCAAAACTGATTTGAAACGACTTTGCTTCTCCAATTCAACAACAACACATTCGGGTATACATGGAATTACTGAAAAAATTTTTTTAATTTCAATTATTTAAATACTAAAGAAAACCTTTATCATGAAGACAATCCTTAAATCCTTTCATTATATCCAATCGATTTTTGATGCTATAACTGAGAAAAGTTGAATCAACCATAACATTAAATGGAGGTCCGATGTGTTTTGTGATGCTTTTTGATATACGAGGCCTTAATAATTAAATATAGAAAATAGGAATTTGAGACGAAAACATTGATAAGATATTATTTATTTTGATATAATAAACTATTAGGTCGGTTCATAAATCCACCTGATAGCCCTCCCTCCCGAAGCAGAAGAAAGGGGGAAAATAGAGAGAAGGGCGATCGAAAAGGTGAAGTTTTTTGCTTACGACCTTACAAATTTAAAAAATTTTCTTCTGCGGGACTGAAAATGGAAGACCTGGTAGAAGGGGTTATACAAAGCAGTTAGTAAAAAAAGCAGTTAGTTTTGAGTGAAATCTTAAAGACCCGTGAATGGGTTAGCTATTTTAATTGTTTCGTTAGATCAAGATAACTAAAATTTAATTCTTACGCTTCAACTTTCACTGCTTTTTCGTCATCTTTTTTAGTTTGTTGAACATTTGAAGTTGATTTTGTACTTGTTACAGCTTTAATCGCTTCCTGTATATCAGCATAAGCTTTTGCCTTCTCTGCCAACTCTTTAGCTTTATCAGAGTCTGAAAGTCGTTTTTGATGTTTCTCCAATTGCGAATGAATAAAATCAAGACTTGGTGCTTTTGTTCTTGTATAAAGACACATTAACATTTGAGAAATGAGACGAATGTCCCGGTCGGATGCGTCGAAGAGTTCAAACCTTTGCAAAAAAATAAAATTATAAAAAATTTTTAAAAAATCAAAAACCATGGGAAAGGCGATTTAGGGAGAATCACAGGTTGTTCAACAGTTTTAGCTGCCAATTGAATACAAGCACAAGCAATTGTTTCGGGAGTATAACGCAAAAACATATCCGTTCGAAGGCCGTCGTTCATATAACTCCTTAAAAACCAAATTTTGATTTAATTTCTAAAAAATTATAAACAAATACCAAGCTTTTTGAAGCAATTCCTTACTCCTATTAATTTGTTCCTTAGTCGCGTTTGGATCACTTTCCTTGCGTAATAAGCCAAGAATATGCAAGTAGATGTAGATGAGTTTGTGAGGGTGGTGTACCTAAAATATTGATTCACAAAAAATTTTTTTGAAGATTATTTTTTACGTGAACAACAAATCCCAAAACATTGAGTAGACGCCGCTCAGATTTGATTACATTATTCTTCATGTCCATGTATTTGCTTCCGCCCAATTCCAAATGATCAAATCTGTGGAAATTAAAAATTAATTTTAAGGTAAAAATATTTAGTAAAAAATCATTGGATATGCCCCCGCACAATTTTCGAGTTTGAACTGGCCATTGAAACGACAAAAGACAATAACTAAAATTTGAATAAAAATAATAATGATAAAAATGGGGAAGAATAGCCGCAAACGTAGGATACTCGCAGAAATTTAAAATTCAACTTATCACTGATCAAACGAAAAAATAAACTAATAAAATACTTTTACGAATCTATCGTTCTCTTATGCATTCTTTTCAGAAAATTAAAAAATTAATCTGCTTAATCTTATGGAAATCAAATTAAAAAATAAAACCATCCTTTTTAAGGGCGTGCGAGTTTCCAACGTTTACAGCTAACAGCGATTTCAAACAATGAAAACAGAGAGTTCATAAGAAGACAATCCACTAACTGAATTAAAAAGTATATAAGAAATACTTTCAAAAATAGAAAATTAAAAACCTGACATAAATCTTTTTTGACAATTCTTATTGTCTTAACCTCACAACGACATCTAAAATTTGTCAAAATTTCAAAAACATTACCTTTAATCCTGCAATTAAACAAACAAATTTTCTAACCTTTAACAATAAATCTGTCTTTGGTTCAACAACTAATAATAGGAAGATAATTGAAATTGAATGTAAAGTTGTGGTAAGTGCCTGTGAGTGCACCTAATAAAAATTGGATTATTATCAGGTTGAATAAACACCCCAAAACCAACCCCAAACAAAAAAATAAAGAAGTATTAGAAAGTAGAAAGAGATAAAATATTAAAAATATGAAATAATGTTCATAGAAAAATCAACGAGAAAAACATTGAAAAAAAATTAATTGAAAAACTCAGGCCCATGCCTAAAGTAATACCTATTCTGACGTAACGTAAGGAAATCAATATTAAAGAGTCGAAAACCGGCATAGGAAAAGAAATTCCGATTTCCAAGCTAAAAGCTAAAGGTAACATAATTCTGATTTCGAGGTAGGGAGACATAATATCGAGGTAGGGGGACACTCAGTCCCGAGGGCTGATGCCACGGAAATTGGCTCCCAGAAAACCCCTCCTAGAAAAACGTCATATGTAGTCCGATCTTTTTGTCGTTTCAACAGCCAAGTTTTACTTATAAATTATTAATTTTTAAGCAATATAAAGCTCAAAAATAATAATGTTTTAATAGAAACAATAATTTCCTTACTTCTTTGGTCGAAGTTGTTGAAGACTGACACTACAGCTTTCGCCCCCGCCGCTGATTTTTCTTCTATGTTGGTGCAATTGCTTGAGTCGATGATAAACGTTTATAACCTCCCTAGGTTTTCTTGGTTGCTCTTCAATTTTGCTGGCCAACAAAAGACACGCGCAGACCATATGCTGTGAAAAAAGATTAAAATGAAATTGCATTAATATTAGACCTCAAAATTGTGACGAACAAATGATTTTTGATAATAAAAACGTTGAAATAAAATTTGCGCTGTTGCGGCTGCTGTTTGGCTTAATTTTAATAAAATAGCACCGGATTGAATTAATTCACAGCCCAAGTACCGGATGTCCTAGAAATGAGTTTTAAGTTAGTAAAAAAGCAAACGGGTAAACCAAGTTTTATGGCACCTTTTTTCTTCCCCACGTATTTTCTTTTATATATAAAAATGGCCAGACTTTCCTAGATTAGATTCACTCTACTTCCCAGTGTGATAAATATGCCACAAGGAAAAGAATGAAATTGAGGCAGGAAGAAAGTATAAGAAAATAATTGGAGAAGAAAAAGAGGTCCTAACTCGGTTCACCCTACCAAATTAATAAACAAACCCTTTCCAATTCCATACTAATTCCATCAGCCAGAGACGGCGGATTTTCTAATTTCGCTAAAGAAGCTTCGTCATATGCCATTAACCATTTTTCAGCAGAAATATCAATTCTTGAATAATTACGCCTCTGGCCAAAACTGCTCGGTTTTATCTTTGACAGCAAATCCTTAAATTCAAGCACTTAAAAGAAAATCAAACCTGATTAAAATAAACCTTTAAGGCAGCCTTTCCGTCCTGTTGTAATTCCATATCAACAACTTTAATCTCAGAATGTTTGTCATTGGAAGTGTCCACAACTTGAGAATTGTTACTAGTAGAAACGTCTGTTTGCATAACGGCAGCCATTTTTAAAGAAGAGTATTTAATTTAACTGAAAAATCTGATAAAAAATAAAACAAAAAATTAAAAAATTGGAAAAGAGCCAACTAGTACGATTTCTTAAAATGTTAAAAATGAGACTCAAGAGACCGCTCGGGCCAATCGATTAAATTTCTTGGGTAAGGACGCTTCAGAACAAACCGACATTCGTCCAAAAGTTAGGACTTTTGTAGAACATTCTACACTTTTTGTTGAATGTGCAGATCAAATCAGTGTAATTTGAAAAAGATGTCGGCATCTCGAAACCTTCGACTTATTCGAATCGAACGAAAATCAAGAAAGTTGTAGCCCAATCAGCCACATTCTTTTCGTCGCTGCATCTAACCGGGCTGTTTCCTTTATAACCTCGACATTTGAGTACGAGCCTTTAGAGTCCTCCCATAACTTTTCAATATTTCAATCAACTCAGTCTAGCGGTACTCAACAGCCCTCTTATTTATTTTTAAAATAATCGAATGTCAAATTTCGAAAAACACGATTAAAAATCACGTCAGCAAATTTACTTTATTTTTAATTTCTTTTTAGTATTTTATTTTCCTAAAATATGGTGATTGATGCGAATAAAGATGCAGCCAAAGAATGTGTTCTACGTGCCAAAGAAGCTATGAAGAATAATGATATGCCTAGAATGCAAAAGCTTTTGAGAAAAGCCAAACAACTGGATCCAAGTTGCGATGTTAGCTCAATTCTGAGAAATGGCCAAGTTTTTAACAATTGTTCTTCAAATTCACAACAAGACGAAGAAAACGACGACAACAGTTATTCTCATGACGATCAGTACAACTCGTTTGATGAGGCAGAAGCTTTGAGAAATAGAAAGGCAAAAGCAAAGAGTGACTCACCCGGACCGAGTCACACAGGTTTTTCTTAAGTTTTTGCTAAATTAATTTAAACCTTGGTAAAAGTGTTGTTTTTTCATCTCTTCCAAAATGTCCACCAAATATTTGCCTCCGTCATAGAATCAATTGAAAAGGTTATTGCGATACCCATCTCTGTTTTCAGAGCGAATGGCCCGACGTTGTGCGTGTGTTCATTAGCTTCGGGTGAGTTGAGGGGGGTTTTTAGTCGATTTTTCGGAGGCAAATATAGGAGCGTTTTGGCAGAGATGAAAAAGTGCGACAATTTTACCTAAATCTTTCCTAATTAAACCTCTTCCCTATCTTTTAAGGAAAAAGACCAACTCGTTCACCCAATCGAAATTCGTCCTTTAAAGAAGCTCAAAGAACAAAATCACGTTCCAAAAGTTCCTCGAGAAATGCTTCAAATAATGTTAATTATACAACAGAAGAAGCTTCACATGTTGATAGAATACGGCATTGCAAAGATTATTATGAAATACTTCAAATAAGTAGTGTAGAATTTAGTGAAACTTTGCTCAAGAAAAAATACAAGGAATTAGCGCTAAAATTACACCCAGACAAATGTAAAGCACCTGGTGCTACTGAGGCTTTTAAAGGTTTAATTATTCGAGTAATCTTTAATTTAATTTTGTTCAGCCCTTGGTAATGCTTACGCTGTCCTTTCCGACTCAAAAAAGAGAGAAGACTACGATCGCTTTGGATCGGAGGATCAGGGGATTACACATAGAAATCACCGACATCACCACCGTCATCACCATTCAGAATTTTACGAATTTGATGTTAATCGAGGATTTGAAGGTTCTCATTTTTTTAACCCTTTTTCTAATTAAATTTTAAGCTGAAATGTCACCAGAGGATATATTTGAAATGTTTTTTGGAGGTGCATTTTCAAACACGACAATGAATAGACGCAGAACCCAATTTCATTTTAGACAAAATTATGGGCAGCAGCAAGAAGAACCTGTAAGAAACTAATTTTGTAAACAAAACCATTTGTATTTTTAAGTCTCTCCTTCACCAGTTGCTTCAAATCTTGCCAATCCTTGTTATTCTTATTGGTGGCCTTCTTGTCCAATTCTTTTCCAGTGAACCCCCATACTCTTTAAATCGTGACAGGTTTTATTCTAGATCATTTTTGTAATTTTGTTATTTTCAAGCACCTACATTGTACAGCGTTTTACTAGAGACTTACAAGTTCCCTACTTTGTGAAACAAGATTTTGAGCAAAAATACCGAGAACAGGCCCAGGTCCAACATGTCGAAAACAATGTTGAAAAAGACTATATATCAGTGCTTCGAAACAGATGCCAACAGGAAAAGATCAATCGTTAGTTCTTTTTCAGCTGAAACAAACCCCAAGTTTTTATTTTTAATTAGGTGAGAGTCTCTTGTGGACAGCCAAGATTCGTGGCGATGCATCTTTGTGGAAGCGTGCACAAGAAATGGAATTAGTTTATTGTCAGAAATTGGAAGAGCTGTATCATTAAATGTTACTAATGTAAAAATACAAAATTATTCTGTGGCTATTAACTAGCCAAGTCAAAAGTGTTTCAATTTTTAATAGGCTTTCCCGGGGTTTATACGCGTATTATACATTTTTAATAACCACAGGATTGGCCGTTACTTTCCTTTAGGAATCAATTGATGCCTGAAACTTTTCTCTGTAATATTTCTAATGCGCGTTATGCCCCCTGACCAAAAATGTGAAATATTGCAGCCTAATAACCAAAGCCCTTACACAATTAGCTCTGGTTCGCAGAAATTATGTAAAATTTCACATCTGTGATTTGATTATTTCCTTAACTTTTTAAATGCTCTGACCTAGTCTGGTGTAAAATCTGAATAAAGTGGCTCTGATATTGAAACTTATGCTTAATTCTAAAACTCTTTCTCCCTTTGAGGTTATCATTTAAATGTATTTCATAGATAGAAATAAAAAAAATATTACATATAAAAGACTCAATATCAATTTTAGACGATAAAAATATTATGTATAACCCGTTTTCTAATAAATTTTTAAACACTCTTTAATTCGTCTTCTGGTGTATTTTCATTTTTAATATCACTTTTAATAATATCGGTCTTGAAGACATCACTGGTCGTTGGCAGATCCTTATTCTTTAAATTATAGTTTAATTTATGAATTTTATCACCGAAATTAGTTAAGGATGATGAAATTACCTCAATATCCTCCGGGATATTATTTGTTGCTTCGGCTTTCTTGCTTTTCCGAAATTCTTGTGCCTTTTTCTTAAATTCCTTCCTTTTCTCTTTCATCAATTTATTTCCAAGCGTGAACAATTCTTTCTAAAAAATGAATAAAAAAATATTTCATAGTTATGGAATTAAAAAAATAACCTTCTGTTCCTCCTTAATGTCCTCCCTTTCACTGAAAAGTTGCATAAACACTCCTCCTGGCGTTCTACGGCGATCTTCTTTCTTTGTAAGCATTCCACCTTGTTTCTCGACATCTTGACACTTTTTGAAAATTTCAACAGAAACTTGTTTTCCAGCTAATTCAACAGCTTTACGTATAAGAACCTTAAAATAAAATCAATTAGAAACGAAACTAGAATTCAGGCGTTACTTACCGGTTCTTTCTCACCCAACGCTTCAGCAAGTTGATTTGCCAGTTGCTCAATCTCCATATTTTCAGGATCCAACATAGTGCCAAACAATTTGTCTTTCTCATAGTCTTCCGTCACTAAACGACGCGGCAGAAACTTTGCCGGTGGAACGAACTTCTTTTGTTGTTTTTGTTGTTGATTTCCAAATTTACGAGAATGTTTAAACCGTTTATGATGCGTTCTTCCTGTGCTCCATCTATATTGCTTTTCGAGTGGAATATCTTTTGAAGTAGTGTCCACATCACCCCAAAGTTGCTTCTCATCAACCGGCTTTAGAATAATCAATTGTAATTTATTTTTTATATTAGAAAGGAGCTAAAATATTGTGGCTGGACAAATTCAGCAAAATCACCGTTAGTAAAAAATTTCCGGTCAAAATTTATCCTAGTAAAACGAGCATAGGAACTCCTATATTAAATTCCTATTCTTACAATTAGATAAAAACCTCAAATTTTGCTTCCTTGTCATTCTGTTCCTCACCTTCTTGTTTCATAAGCGTGTCGTAGATGTCGTCTGTACAACGCCTCTTTCTATTTTTAATATTAAAGTTTTTCTTTCCCAAATCTACAGCATAAGTTTCCACTCCACGGTCGCGTAATTGAGCAATAGAACTTGCATTTCCAGAAACCAACTTTTCTTCCAACGAGCGCATTACTGCTGTCTCTTCCCACAATTTTCCAGCATTTTCGGGTTTCTTATCCTGAAATCCTTTTAACATTAATGAAACAGTAAAAAACAAAACCTCAATAACATTGTCAAAAGAATCGGTCTTTGTAGGCGAATTAGAATTTATACCTTTAAGTCTTCGTTTGGCAATTATTTTAGGACGCAAATTCAAAATGTGATCCACCGAATCTTCACCGCTTTCTTCACTTTCAGACTTTTGATCACTTAAATTGCTCATCATATAATCAATACTTAAAACATAATGCTTTAAAAAATGCTTAAAATTTTAAAAAATAAATAGAATGAATAACAAATGTAATCAAAAATGTATTAAAATAAAAATTTTTTTTATTGATTTTAAAATGGAAGGTCATTATCTAAATATTGTAGCAATAAGATTATTTAGAAGTTTACAAGGGAACGTCTTGGGCTGCTTGTGAAAATTTTTTTATATTTTTTGCACCATCGTGCAGAGCAGGGTCGAAAACTTATTGAAAAAAATTTTTTGTTTTTCAGGCCCTGACCCCGAAAATTAAAAATTGTAGGGCTTCAAAGTTTTTGACTTTTGGAAATGCCTCATGATGTGCAAAAATATACAAAAATATATTTTATATTTTTGTATATTTTCCAAAAAATTTTTCACATACAGTTCAAGATGTTCCCTTATTAATAAAATTTCAACCTTTATTTAAAGTATTTCCCCATCCCCTAGGATTAATATCTTTCCATTCATCCATCCGAATTTTTGATTGTCTTTTGGTTTCATCATCTTCATCACTTTGCTCATCATTATTAGATTCAATAATTTGTCGTTTATTAGAACCAATATTTCCAAAACCTCCAGTTTTTTTCATTTCGTCAAACCATTCATCAACGCTGACAGTGGGAATACTTGGATAGCCTAAGCCAAAAACTTTCTTCTGCTGTTCTGTTCGGGTAAGTATGAATGGAGTAAATTTTGCAGGTTCTAAATTTAAGATTGAAAATAAACTTCAAAATAAAAAAAATACTTTCAACGTGGGACATATTAGAAGTTGATTCCTCAGCAACACAAGAACTAGCTTGTTCCAATAATCTCAACTCATCTAAATAAAGAAAAAAAAAATAAATTAAATTAGCCCAAAAAACTTACCATCAATGGTGTCCAATTCCTTAATTGCCCTAATTGACCAAAGACGAAGAAGAACGAAAATAACTTCGCGCTAAATTTTTAACTTTATTTTAACTATACAAGCTTAAAACCTTGGCAGCGTCATCATCGTCTCTTCTTTCCTCAATTCGGAGCTTTTCCAATGTACTTTCAAGTTGTTCCATTTGACGCAATCGAGAAATTTTTTGTTGTCGTTTTGCAGATAAATCCTCAAAACTTTCCTTTTTCAATTCAATTTTTGATGTATTTTCATCACCATTAATCCATGGAAGTTTAAAGTTGATAAGCCCGTAAGTAAGCAAATTTTGAAGGAATTCCCTGTAGCTAGCCTAAAATATATTCTGATTTGAAAATAATTGTGGAGCAGACCAAACCAATTTTTGCGGATATATTTATGCGGACTCATAATCATACTGGTCTCATAATGGTCAGAGCATCCGAACTTTCAATTTATCTATTTAATGTATTAATTGAAAGTGATAATTACCCATTATGAGTCTTTTTTTATATCTGTCCATTATGAGACCGAATATAAACATGCCTGCAAAAACTGATTTGGAATGACCCAAAAGTAGTTAAAAAAGTAGAATAATTAAAAATTACTTTTGCGGATTTCAAGTAGACGGGTCGTTTTCCAATTTCAACATTAATTTCCTGAAGAACATAAGCAAAATAGGCTGGCACAAGCAAATAACGAAGTGAAATAGTCGGCAGCTCTTCAACCTGATCATTGGTGCTGAACAATGAGAGGCTCTCTACTGTTCGGCTCATTAATTGTAATCGTTCAATACAATTTTTGAGTTTATCCTTGAATAAAATTAAACGAAACTTGTTCAGAAAAATAATTTGAAAACCTTACATTTCTTTGTTGTGATTTAGAATCTCCTAAACGGTCATGTAACAAATCTTCCACAATATTCTCACAAAATACAAATTGTTGTTGCAATGAAGGCTCGTCGTTTTCTATCATTTTGTCTTAAAATTCAAAGTTCAATTCCTAAAAATCTGTTAAAAATAGGTTTCATGACGGATTAAGCTCTTTATATTCGTTAGCTATTTTGAAATAAACATTATGACAAAAATAAAATGTAAGCTCAAAAGGCTAAAATTAAACTTGATTTGGAATGGGAAGCACCTTGCCCCAGGCAATTTTCGGCAAAACCCCGACCCGAACCGCTGCAAACCCCGAAAGTGTTTGTTGCGGCACCTTTATTTAAAAAGTACACTTGCAATGGTATAGTCACCAAATTAAAAAAGAAACAATTTTAAAAAATTTTGGTTTATTTCAACAACGAGTAAAAGGTTATAATGAGAATGAATAAGGCCAGAAAAAAGGTTATTTACATTATAGATGGCAATCTTTTTTAATAAATTTTTCATTTCTTATATTTTGTGTTAGAACTTCAATCCATTTTTTTGTTATTGGCCTGTTACTGAAGCCCTCGTACCTCCAGTAGTACCGCCCAAGAAGACGTGCGACTCAACTCCACCATGACCGTAGCTACAAAAAATTGGTTTTAAAATATTTTTGAAATTCCTCACCCGCGAGGTCCGAACAATGCTCCATAGCAGCGATTGCAATAAGGCTTGCCTTCGTGCTAAAATTAAAAAAAGAAACTTAAAGTAAGAAGAGTTTCGCTCACTTCAGAATGACCACCAGCGGAGAGCGTCTTCTTACATGCTTGATTGTAGCAGCGAAGGCATGGTCGATGCCAGTCCTTCCCAATGGAAGTAACACGTTCGGCTAAATAAAATTGAATAAAATATTAACTTAAAAGCTTTAAGCAAACCAAAATAGACTGGGCGGTTACAAGTAGGACAATCTGGCATATTGTTATTGTTTAGAACACGAGTGAGTGTTAACGAGTTGCTTAATTAGAAAAATTTAGAAATTTGAAAAACTCATTATCTCGCAAAATTAAATAAATCAATAAATGAAAAATTAGGACCGAAGACAGATAAGTTTCAAATGAAAAAGTTTAATCTCTTTTATAGTAAAATTTTTGGCATTGTGAACGAAAAGAAATCGAATGCCAAACGAATTGATTTATTTGAAAATTTCAATTTTTCTTCAGAAATGCCCCGAAAAGTCTACTTATTGTTCATTTCTCTTGTTATAGGACCAAAAACTAATTTAAAATTTTAGGGAACAAAGATAAGCAAAGGAAAGCATTGTATTCGTTTTGTACGAGAAAAAAGAGCCAATTCTTTCCACACGTATTTTATTTAAAAAAGAATAATCGTGGCGATCAATGGCAATAAAATTTTTTTAGGTGAAACAGGGTCATAAGTATGTGAATAATATTTACATGGGTGTCAAAAATGGGGATTTTTAGGTTGATAATGGGTGTCAATCCTAAAGACCTACAACTTTTGAAAGAGAATATCAAAAGGAAATATCGAGGGATTTGGAGGGATTAAGCGGATATCGATGGATTTAGTGTGATTGAAGGGGATAGAGAACCCACCCATAGTTATGATAGCGGTAACATTGGTTCTAAAATGCAGACCGGGTACTTAACTTCATTGAATAGTGTATTTATCCCCCATAATCCCTCTAAATCCTTCGATATTCGCTTTAAAAATTTGTAGGTATTTTGGGGTGACTCTGATAATGAGGAAACGGAAAAAAATAATTAGCAAGAAAGCAAAATTTTGGAATGAAGTGTCAATTATGATGCAAGAATTAGAACGCAGAATAAAAAAACTTATGGATATCGGATTTGTGGGGAATGCTTTTCCCTTTTCACTTAATGCTTTTTTGTTTTCTTTATTATTTGCCAGCGAGTTTCTTCTACTAAATGGGCGCGGGATTTGTTAGAAAAACAACGGGTACTAGCTAACTGCAATATTCAAAAGATCAACTCCTAGAAAAATATTTGTTTAACACACGCAGTGAACTGGAGAGATAGTTGAGTATATCCTGAACTAATAATATATGATGATAATTATAAAAATGATAAAAAAATGACAAGAATGATTGAGCGAATGATAGTGAAAGCGAAAATAAAAAAGGAACTTTGTTAAAGTCGTTGAGAATAGAGAATTTTGAGATAAAACTGCTTATTTCTACGCTTTTTGTTAAAAGAAAGACCCCAATATTATGTTAGATATTTGGGGAGTTTAATAAAGTGTAATAAAAACCATCAAGGAATTTGTGGCCAATGACCACATAACATATGGCTTTATTTAAAAGGTTCAATCTAAATAAAATTTATGACCAAATGCTTTTAAACCAAAAAATTTAACAAAATAAAACTAAATGTATACAAAACCAAATAAAAAATAGAAAAATAGTTTTAAAAAAGTTAAAAAAAACTATACAAAAAACGTGGGAAAGTGTGGAGTCGTGGAGAGATTAGGCGGGAAACAATGAACAATAACAACAATGATGTGTAGAAAGTCCTCGATAGGAAAGTAAAAAACCAGTATTTTTGGGACTGTCACATCTTTACGCATATAAAATTTTTTTGTTTGTTTGAAGATGAGGAAAGCTGTAAAAAATTGATGAAAAAAAAGAGGACAAAATAGTAAAAAAATCAGGGATTAAGAACTGGAGAAAAAAAGGAAAATTCAAAAATTATAGGAAGACCTCTACTGAGTTCCGATTAAACTGAGTTCCGGCCCTATTGACTTATGAAGGAATGTGTACCTCTTAATGTTCTTGGTATCATTGTATAGAGAATTAAATACACTACAAGATAACAAAAAATCAAAATTTTTGACTGATCGGTAAAAAAGTTAAGATCGATAAAGTGCCGAAGAATCACATTTTTTGAGAAAGTTAGTTTTTAAATCTTAACTTTTTTATCAATCAGTCGGAAATTTTGATCTTTTTGTATCTTGTAGTGCATTTAATCCTCTATCTGTTGGTACCAAGAATACGAAGAAGTGACCATCCCTTCATGAGTTATAGGGTCTAGACTGAACTGAACTGCTCCGAAAAAATATAAAAATTAATTTGGCATTTTCTTCTTTTATTCTGTCTTAGTTAATTATCGCCAATTTAATTTTTCTTAATTAATTAATTTTTAAATTTTATTATTTACTAGTGTACAATTTTATTACGTAATTCAATAACAAACAGTTTATTAATATTTTTGATTAATTATTTTACGCAAATTTTTGCAAAATTAAATACTTTTTTAATTTTTCTCAAAATATTTAAATAAATTTATCAAATTTTTTTATTCAGAAATTTTATTTTTGAGATTTTTTTTGTTTTTTCGGAGATACATTAACACAAAATGTTTACTACATATTTCACTTTTCTTTAAATTAAAAAAAGTTTAACGTTCTCGATCAGTCACTTTATAATTTTAATTTAATTTGACACTTTTCTGTTATTATTTACAGTCTTGGCTTTCACATACGTATTTGTTCCTCTCTCAGAACATTTAAAACTTCTCATTTTTAGTGGCAACTCCTCAACTATTTAAATTTCGCGCATTATGCAGCTTAAATCTCAAAAAATTTTTTAAATTAAATTTCAATGACCCAAAAATATATGGACACTTTATTTATGGCATAACTTTATTCAAATTAAAGTTAATGAGATAAAATAACATTTAAATGATAGAAAATTAAATAAGGAACAGATAAAGCAAAAAATGTTTAAAATGCCATCCTTTGCCTGAATACAAAGTTGAAGGCGCGCGGAAAATTTTTTTAGCAAAAGTTTGTACTACCTTGGGTGTGATTTTCTCCCCTTCCCGAACGAGTGATTGCCGGAGCGACTCCAAACTTTCGGGTTATTAAGTCCTTACCCTCATCTCCAAAATAGACCAAAAAGGGAAACCCAAGGATTCAACCCAGGTGAGTACGGTGGCCATGTTTAAAACGCGTTATTGAGCCCGGTATTTTAAATTAATTTTTATTAATTGTTGCGATTTATCAATTATCGTTCTAGTGCTCTTTTTAGACACACCTGTTTGATTATTTTTTATACACACAACTTCTTGCGCAAGTTTTACGTGTAATTTTTTTACCCTTTCCCCATTGATTTTCTTATTATTGGAAGTACATATAAAACAAAATTAATAAATTAAACACTAAAAAATAAAATAATTTGGCTAACATTTTTTATCAGTTTGTTAATATTTATTATCAATTTGTCTAAATTTCAAGATTATTATCATAAATTTGAGTAAAAAACTAATTTAATATTTTTCATATTGTCAGTATGTGTTTGTCAGTTCAAGACAGAATAGCAGAATTAAGAAAATGCCTGGGGGAGCAATTACTGCAAGATACTCCTCTTTTCAACGATAATTTTTCTTTATTGAGATGGCTACATGGATGGAACAATCGTTTTGGTAGGGTATTTATCATTGATATATGGATAGGGATTTTGTTCTCTTTTACTTCATGTTATACATTAAGATGAAATTGTGCCACGATTTAAAAGGGCTAGTCAAGTGTTTCGTTCTATGCGGATTAATGAAATGTCCTTTGATGACATTGACACTTTAAACGGCTTTACTCGCCAACTGACCAGGTTCTTAGTAACCTATATTTATACAAAAATCAAGTTTAGCGCAGCAGATTACTATCCTGGTGGTGCCCTAGGCTACGATAAAGAAGGAAATCTACTTGCATTGCAAACAATGGGTTCATAAACACCAACTTATTTATAACGAATAACGTTCTCAGGTAGATCACACCCTAAACAGTTGGCTAGATGTGGCCGTGTCAGCGACGTTTATCGCCTTTGTGTTGTAGAGACGGCATTGTTTTATAAGGCAAAAAAGATTTTTTTAATTTTTTGAAACTTGAATCTTAGCTCATTCAACTCCAAGAACGCAAACTTCAACGAAAACTTGGGCTTTGCGTGATTATAGACTTGGAAGGGTTCAATTCTGATCATTTAACTACAATCGGTTTAAAAGTCTATGCCGCCTTGTTAAAAGAATTACAAGATTTGTTTCCTGATATGTTGCGACAAGTATGATTTATCCGATACACCTCAGTTCAGTCCCGGTCTCTATAACTTCTGAAGGAATCTGTACCACTTAATGTTCTTGGTATCAGTGGATAGAAAATTAAATACATACAGAAACTAAAAAATAAACATGGGTTTATAATACATGAGTTATATAATCGGGACTGAACTGAACTGCTCCGTGTTTTCCTTCATAAATAATTTTTTACAATAATCTTAACATCATATTTTTGTATAGATTTATGTTATTAATGCTCATTATCTTGTCAAAACTGCTTATGCAATTATCAAACCAGTATTGTCGGAACAAAGTAGAGAGAAAGTTATTTTTCTCGATTCTTCTTATTATGAACAATTAGCCGAGGGTGTTGGAAGAGAAAATTTATTTCGACGTTGGGGAGGAATTAGACAGCCACTTATTGGTGATCCTGAATGGGGTACTTTACGTATTGGTGGCTTGCCTCCAAAAGGAATGAGGTAAATGTGTTTTAAAAATTAATACCAGGGGTGTTGTTTTTAAAAAGCGAAAGTCAAAAGCGAAACGCAAAGGGCGAAACTGGCACTTTCCTGATTAATACCTCATCTTAAAGATATTCTGCTGCCACAAACCCTCAACACGTACCAGAAGGTCATCTTACAAAATTAATTGTGCCAGCAAGGCAGAGACGAATTGTTGATATTTCTGTTCCTGCGCAACCCGGGTTCCCTCAACAAATGCTCCATTGGTTTTGGATAAGTTCCTCTGATGTTGATTTCGGTGTAATTAATGAAGAGGAACAAGAGGTAGAAAAAAGGTGTTAAAACCATTTACCTATTTTGTTTCTCAAGTTATGGCCAATATATCGGATATTGACAGATTATGTGCCAGAATTCGGCTCTCTTTTAGTTGAAACTGGACGTAACTACAAACTTTGTTTTGACAACACTTTTAGTCTATTTACAAAAAAAGAAATAAAATATTCTTACAAATTGGTACCAATTGAAGATACAAAAAGAAAGGAAGATAATGAAGTAAAAATTAAAAATGTTGTAAAATTAGAGGAAGAAAAGGAGAATAAACGACAAATTATAGGATGAACTGACAGGTGTGGATTGAAAATCTTGAACTGCCAAATGAAATTGAAAATTTTAAAAATTTCTACGATATATTGTCAAATAATTATCAAATAAAGGATTAGCATCATTTTTAAGATACACCCCTTCATGAGTTATAAGGCCGGGACTAAGTTGAACTGCTCCTTATTTTTTTTAGCTAACTAATCACGCCTTTCCGGTCAAGCTTAAATTTCTTTTTAAATATCCCTTTTCTTTTTTCAATCTTTGTTCACCCTTCCCTTAAGGCACAAAGTCTTTCCTTTTAGCATTTTCCCTTTTAATCCTTATTTTGCCAAAAGCTCTCTCCCCACCCCAAGAAAGAAATACCACCAAGGAAGTCCTAAAATGTGGCCATTAGCAACAACAAAAAGTCTGCTAATCGACCCAAATGGGAGCAAAAAAGTTAAAAAAGCATTGGTGTTATTTTTAAATAAAAAATTATTTATTCCTTATTTTTCGTTAAAATTCTTTTCAAAAATATTTTTCAATTTCAAACTTTTTTTAAACCTTCCTTTTGTTTTTTTAGCAAAATATAATTTCCGCTAGTTGACCATTTGCTTGAAACAAGGGCAACCTTTTAAAATGGCAAAATTGCTCAAAGTAGTTTTGCAAGCATTTTAAGACTTTTTCACACCTTCACCGCTTTACTTTCTCTAAAAAATTCCAATTTTTGAAGATTTTTTTGTTTTAATTTTTTCTGTTTTTTCTGTTTTAATTGTTAAAATTTTGTTCCACCTGCTTATTTATTCCCTTCTACTTTTTTTATTTAATTAATTTTTTTAAAGATTCGCTGTTTTCTTTCACCGATTTCTTTATTAACAAACTGATTATACTATCTATAATTTAATTATAATTAGTTTTGGAAAGAAGAAAAATTCGGAAAATTCGGAGAATCAAAAATTTTTACACTTTTGGAACAAGCATTTTTAAAAACATTTTCACACTTTCTTTGTACATTTCAAATCTATATTTTAATTTAATCCTTTAAAAACTCTTTTTTACTCACTTTATTACCAGTTTATAATGTTTGTTATTTGTTGCACGACCGACAGTCATTTTCTGTTGCGCGGAGATTATGCCATCAAAAATGCAATGATGCATGCAGCCAAAAAGGCTGTCTATCAAAACAGCAACGAGGATGCTGACCTCGCTATTTAGGGGAGTTAAAAAAGTACCGACTGACTATATTTGCTTGAATTACAAAACATCCTCGCTGGATAAACCTGCGCCACTGAATGGGCTATAACTAAGTTCATTTAAGTCAGATTTTGTTGATTTTAGTGCCATTCGACTCAGCTCGAAGAGCTCTTTCTAATGGTATATAATTTGCCATAAAAATAGGAAAAAGTAGGAAAACTGGAAAGGAAAAAAGGAGGGCGTAAACCGAATTACTACCGTTTGATTTGCCAAATTGTAGCTTTTTTTCTTTATCTTTTAAGATTTATTTTAGAAAAGCTGTGAAAACAATTCTTTAATATTTACATAATATTTTTTCATTTTTATCTAATACATTTCCTTCATATAAGCATACATTTACTCTTCTAAATAATTACCTTTTCGTTAAAGCCATTCTAAAAATAATTCTTCTACAAATGATGAGTAAATGAAGGTTAATGCTTTACGATTTTTATTTGTAATGTCCACTCTCTTAATTATTTTTCTTTCCACAAATGAAAATGTGATATTTAATTGCTATCATCTCTCATTATTAAAGGCCCAAGAATAAAGGCTATATTTATTATAGAAAGGAAAAATAATAATCCCGAAAACAACAAAACAAAGCGAGAGCGAGAGAGACGGTGACCGCTATTATTATTATCTGCACTTTGTAAATATTTCCCTCCAATAACAATCCAAATAGGGCAATGAGGATAAAGCAAAGCAAGCAAAAATGTAAATTAAGTCGGATAAAGACAAAGGGAGAGAATATTTTTAAATATATTTGCCCTAGTTTCTTTATTTTTTTATTAAAAATTTCAGTACACCTCAGTTCAGTCTCGATCCTATAACTTATGAAGGGGCTGATAATTTTTACTGTTCTTGGTACCATTCAATAGAGAATTAAATAAGCTACAAGATAACAAAAAATCAAAATTTTCGGTTGATTTACAAAAAAGTTATGATCGATAAAGTGCCGAAAAATGACATTTTTTGAAAAGTTAGTTTTTAAATCATAACTTTTTTATCAATTAGTCGAGAATTTTGATTTTTTAAAATCTTGTAGAGTATTCAATTCTCTATCCAATAGTACCAAGAATATGAAAAATTGACCATCCCTTCATAAGTTATAGGGTCGAGACTGAACTGCATCAGGAATAAACTGAACTGCTCCGTAAAGATTTGCCTAATTAATTTCCAAAAAAAACTTTTTTAACACCTTTCTATCAAATTTCTATACTCATTTCCTTCAATTTTTTATTTTCACCTAATTCATTCATGCATAGGTCATTGCCCATCTGCCATCAAATTTTCGCATTTTATCCTTGCAAAAATCCCTTCTATTCCCTTCCTCTTCTTCCAGTAAAATCTGTCTAGTTGTGTGAAATTTGACACTTTTGCACGTCTCAAGGCGCATCTGTGCTGTCACTATTTAATGTGATGAAAATACTTTTAAAGAAAATATTTGGAAAAAAATTATTTTTCGGTGAAAAAATTTAGTAGTTATTTAAAAAATAAAATGACTGGTTAATGGATATGCAGCTTTTCGGGGTTTATAAACTTTTAAGGTTAATATAAGTTTAACAATAAGGGTGAAGAAGAATGAAATTTATGGCTATAGTTTTTGTGCTATTTAAAATTTTTGGTGTTGTATTTTTCCAAAAATATCTCTCGTACGTTAATAAGTTTAAAAAGAAAGGCACAATATGTTTTTTAAATGACCACCTCCAAATAAAATTTGCTTGCGAAAGGAGGAAGGATTTTGAGCATTTATTCCAGTTTTAACACAAACTGGGATAAATGGCCTAGGGAGCAAACGAAAGGAAAAGCAGTATCTAAATTTGGACACTAATTCTGTTTGTATTTGCAAAATAAAATAAATTTTCAGTATTTCACATTCTAAAATCAAAGCTAAAATACATATCTTCCTTCTTTTCATTCGTGTTAAAAAGATATACAGGGTGTTTCGACTAAGAAGCACTATTTGAAAAATCTATAACTTTTTACTAAGTTGACAGATTTTAATGATTTTTGGTATTTTATATCCATAATTTATAAGGTTTTTTTGACATAAAAATTATGTCTAAATTCGAACCCTAACCCGAGATAATTTTGTACTCTACCGTTCTGTTTTTCCCTTTTTCCGCACAAACATTCTTACTCCCTTTTGTTTGTTACTAGCGGCGATAGACACTAGAGTAAACACTAGGCGATAGACACTACATTTTCAATACAGTATCCACTCTTCGCCATACGCAGGAAAATAAATGAAGTAAGATAGCACACAATGAAAAGAGGGAAAAAAGAGAACAGTAGAGTACGAAATTGAAACGAAATTGAAATACAGGGTTAGGGTTCGAATTTAGACATAATTTTTATGTCAAAAAAAACCTTATAAATTATGGATATAAAATACCAAAAATCATTAAAATCTGTCAACTTAGTAAAAAGTTATAGATTTTTCAAATAGTGCTTCTTAGTTGAAACACCCTGTACAATTTGTATTATTCTTTATTACTTTAAATTAACAATAAATTCCTTATTGTACTTGTACAATCCTCTTAACTATATTCTCTCCTAATTTGCAAAATCGGCTGTCACAAACCAGATCCGCTCTTTTTTTTCTCATCGTTTTGCATAGCAAAGTATGCTCTTTCAGATCTAATAAAGCCATGTCAAGAGCGTTCTCTTCCCTTTAGCTTTCCATAAAGCATATGTATTTTAAAAAAAATCAAAAGAATTTTTTTTATTTATTTCTTCATCACTTTTCTCCCTAGAACATGTAAAATTATTGTAAAAATAGTGTGACTAAAGGAATGTTTTTTACAATTTTTATTTCTGTAAAGATTTTTCCGGAGCAGTTTAGTCCAGTCCCGTCGCAGTTCAGTCGCAACCCTATAACTCATGAAAGGATCGTCACTTCCTTGTGTTCTTGGTACCGTTGGATAGAGAATAGGATCAGGACTGAAGTGAGTCGGGACTGTCCTGAGGACTACCGTATTTTATAATTATACTCTCTTAATAATTTAATCTATGTTGCTAATCATTAGCATTTCTAAATGAATTGTTTAGCTTAAAACTTGTGTTAAAAGAGCATTTATTCTCTCTTTATTTTGCCTCTCCTAATTGCGTGTTCCGCAAATACTTTTCCTTATTTTCCGGCTTCCATTTAAGACAGATTTAAAAATGATACAACAAATAAACAACAAATGGCAACGAGGCAGCATAGTTTTGCCTAAATTTAAAATTTGGACAGGAAACTGATGAGCGAAATGAAAAAGGCACATAAAAGAATTCCCTCTCCAAAAAAGGAGGAGGATTCTTTTCTCGATGGAATTTGGCTTGTTAAAAATTTTTCGGATTTCTTCTAATTTATACATATTTTATCCACAAGAAGTCGTTCATTTTTTATTACAAATTTTTTTGGAATAAACAAAAATGGATGAGTTCGAAATTTGAAATATGCCGAATCTGTTTCCGGATTTCAAAAAAAAATTTTTCCGGAAAATCAGATTCCGGACTACCAGATCAGAAAAATCCGAATCCTGTCCTGTTTTGAACTCTAATTATTGGACTGATTTTGTCTTCATTCTTCTCGATAAATTTTCAAAAACCGTTTATTAATTGGCAACTAATTATTCCATAATTCTAATTGTTTTTCTTAAACATTTTTAATAATTAATCCTTCCTATAACCTTTAATCCTTTTCAGCAACCAGTTCTGCATTTAATGCCTCAATGAATACTTAAAAAACTGAATACTAGGTGGATAAATATGCGAAAATAGTGTAGTAATAAGTAAGGGCAAATTTAGTGAATGGATGATCCTAAAATTGCTGCTCGCGCATTCAGCAGATTTTCAAGCGAAGAGCGGATTAAGGCCAGGAAATGGGGAGCGATTATGTTACAGCAGATGGGTGAATACTTAAAAATACATTACATATTTTCATCTATCTGTTATTTTCTAATTTAGAAATTCTACTTTTTAGGGTCAAAAATTTTTTAAACGCTCCTATTTAGACCTTAAATTTGGTTTTTAATATTTTTTCATTCACATTTTTGTAATCCCAATATTTTATCCTTTTTTTGTCCCAATCTTTCACATTCCTTCCATTGATTGGACAGCGCAACATGGTCAAAATCCTTTCATATTACACCAACTACCCATCTTTTTTTTGTCACCGCCCCATTATTCTTTCCTATCCATTGTTCGTTAAATGAAGTGTTTGTCTTGGTTTTAAGGGCTTGGTGGTGGTTGTGGTCTTGCGGCGATGAGCCGATTGGAGTGCTTTTAAGATAACGAATGTTTAGCAAAAGGGAAAATAAAGAGATCAATACAATACGGGCCATAAATAAATTTGTCATGGAAGTACAGTTGGAATAGTCTTGGGCAAAATTTCAAAGATAAGCAATCATCACTAGCAACGACAAAAAAATTTTAATTTGAGAGGGTCTCATTTGCATCCTCCTTCAAACATTTCCTTAGTGAATGACCCCCCTTTGTTCCCCAGCCAAACTTTTTTTATTCGGAGGGTGAAGGGTGTCTCTTCCGTCCAGCTAATCAATTCATCGCCGAGTGGGGGATACACTGAACGATTGCCCTTCTCTCTATCCGTTGTCCTCTGTTCTTCCATTCCCTTTATTCAACAAAAATTCTTCCCCATTTGCGCCCTCCTTTCTACCCCTTCCCCCAAAAAATATGGGGGGTGTTTGCGATAGTATATACGAACTTCCCTTTTTCTTCTCATCCAAATGTAGTAAATTCTTCCTTCCAAATTGATATTTTATAAGCTTATAAAGTAGCTAACCGAAAATAGCAGATCGATTCACTTGATTGGGTTTGAAGGTCAGTTAGGAAGGGGCAACTAGTATCATGCTCAGATGAATCATCTTATTCTTTCATTTAAATTTATATTAAATTGCATTCTAACTTTGTTTTTTTTCAAATTTCAAACTCTCCTTTTCACTGACCATTTTGAGCTTTTTTGCTTATCAGTATTTTTAAATTTCAGTCTAAACGGGCTTTCATAACTTCATTCCTATTATAATGAGTTTTTGAACTTTCAATCTTTTTCTTCATCAATATCCGAATGTTTAAACACATCAAGATTTTTGACGTGCCTTGTTTCAGTGGACAAGATCTCCCAAATTTTAACAACAATAAATGCCAATACCGCAATCGCCAAAAACAACGACAAACTCTGGCAACAAAGGGCAACCCTCAGCAAAATTCCCGGACGGTTCACAGCCTTGAATTGAGTGCTAACCAAAGAAGGGAACCATCCTTTAAACTAGATCGATGGAGCATCAAAGTTGAAAATTTTCAAAAAAAATTTCCTCGGAATTTGTCTACTTCCGATAGATTAACAACAAAAACTATATTTATTTTATTATTTTTGCTAATTTTAATTATTTCATCAGTACAAATTAATGGAGAAGATCAACAACGAAAACAACAAGATGAAGCGATTTTAGCTGTTTTTCGAGATAGCTATGAAGGACATGAAGTGGAATTACAGAGGATGGTCAGTTTTTCTGTTACTTGTGTATTTTACCCCCCATAAACTCCAACCTTTTTTCTTCCCTCTTTTGTTTGGGTCAATATTTTAATTGTTTATTTCAGAAAGTAATTCCCTTTATAAGAAAGGAGGAGGGAAGAAAAAACGACGAGGACTATGGGGGGTAAACTACATAAGTACCGCTTTTTATTTAAAAATCAGCTTCTTTAATCAAAAAGTGTCTCATTTAGGTCATGGATAGATCTACAGGACGCCTTTATGTTGGAGCTGTTAATCACTTGTATGATTTATCACCAGAAGGATTGGCTATCCGAGAACATGCTCTAACTGGACCTCGTGCTGATTCTGTTCTTTGTGCAGGTGAATTTAATTTTAAAAATTTTTTTCAATTTTTGAATTTAATTTTATGAAAAATTCTAACTTTGTCTATCGCCGTCATTTGCAAAAAAAAATTAAAAGGGAAGGAAACTAATCGGTTTTTTAAAATAAAAGAGACAAAGCAGAATGAAAGAGGATAGATTTATAGCCAAGATAAGCAAAGTTTAGGGCGCAAAGGTAAATCAGATGGAATGAGATCATAAGCATTTGAAGATATTGATATTTTAGTCAAAAATAGGGGAAACCGAAGGAAATTTTTAATCGAAGTTAATTTTAGAGAGTTTTTGAATGGGTCTATCCCAGAAGGTCAACTTACCCAGAAGAGTTAAAGCCAAATATTTGAGAGATAACGACAGATTTGTGCAGATTAAGACGGATTTGTGGGTATTAAGGGGGATATCGAGGATTTGGGAGGATTTTTGGACTTGAATTTTTGGGTCATTTGACTTCCTGGATCACCTCCTAGCCTGTTTAAATAAAAATTTTTTAATTTTTTAAATAATAGCAAGTCTATTTATTTATTTTTGCATAATTTTTGTCTCTTTTAAATTTGCATAATCGCAATATAAACAAATAAAAAATTTCAAGGGCCCATATAATTTGAAAGAAAAAACAAGCGCAGTGTCAGGCGGAGATTGACAATAAGAAAAAATTGAGAGAGAAAATAGAAAAAAATAAGAAAAATGCCGACTAAAAATAAAATTTTTTAATTGTTTTTTAATTTCAGATGCCTTAAATATATGCAAAGAACCATTAGTACCAACAGATTCACATATAAAGGCGTTGGCAATATATCCGGATTCTAACAAATTGATTGAATGCACCTCTCTTTATCAGGTAACTTGAGAGAATTTTATTTGATTTTTCTACCTATTTTGGTAATGCCGAGTTTCGTACCTATTTCTTCTATTTCGGCGAAAACGTAAATCTAATAGAACTGAGGAAATCTGACTCTTAAGCACTTTTTAAGAAAGAAATGAAGGGGGCACGAAACTCTGTATTACACCTATTTTACCTATTTGTAGGGCCGTTGCCGCACCAGAAACTTGTCAAACATTCGCAGAGAGAGTGATGTTCGATTCTCTAGACCTGGAATTGTACCTAATGATGATCATTCTTCTGCTCAAATATTTGTTGGTTCTGGTCCATCGACAGGAGGGTCTTCATCTCAACCACGTGTTCTTTATGTTGGATCCACCTACGTTCCTATTAGCTTAGGTTAGTTTAGCCATAAATTTTACTTAATTTGTATTCCTCTAGGACCCCGAGATGCTTTAGACGTGCCTTCAGTCTCCTCCATTTCACTGGAAAATGGCCGCCTTTTTGAGTTTACAGAGCAGTCAATCAGTTCTGGAACCTATATGAAACTGGATTATAGAAGGATGCCGTTTTTTAGGTACTTATTGTTAGTTTTCTCATTTTAGTTAATTTTAATTTTAGAATTGACTATGTTGGTGGTTTTGAGGCAAATGGTTTCGCTTATTTTGCCACAAGACAGCCTAAATATACACCGCAACCTGATGCCAAACCGATTATTCCAAAGGTTTTTTAAAACAAAAATTTTATTTATAATCATTAATTTTTCTAATAGTTGGTTCGAGTCTGTACTCAAGATCCAAATTTCTACTCATATACTGAAGCTCCATTAGAGTGTGAATGGGCGGGCCAGAGTTACAATCTTCTCCAAGCAATTTATTTGGCCAATGCTGGGTTTGATCTTGGTAACAATTTTTTCATATTTTAATCTAGTATTAAATTCCAAATTATTTAGCGGCAACAATGCGATTAAAACCAACTGATCTTGTTCTGTTTGGAGCATTTGCAAGAGGGGAAGGCCCAGAGAGGAACCTAACAACTCGAGATTCTGCGTTATGTGCTTTTTCTCTTCGACATATCGAAGCCAAATTTTTTGAGAATGTTCGTGTCTGTTACAACGGAAATACACGTACAAACCTTCCTTGGTTCAATTCTGATAAAATGTGTACGGCAACACGATATCCTGACTCTGAAATTATGTGTGGCAAAGATGTGAATAGCTATATCGGTGGAGAGATACCAATTTCGGCTAGAGCCTTCCTCGTGGATCGAACTTCACTTTTTACTTCCTTAGCCATTTCATCCGTTCAAACAGCTACTGTTGCATTTATTGGCACGAGTGATGGTGTTCTTCATAAGGTATTGCTTTTTTCTTCTTAAGGATTTAAAATGTTTGCTTTTGAATATTTAGGCGTTACTAGAAGGTGATGATGGACAATCACACATCTTTAAGTCAATCCAAGTTAGTAGCGATGGAACTCCTATCTTGCAGGACATGGAATTGGACGAAAAGAAGGGATTTCTATACGTACTACAAAAGCGGGCGCTATACAAGGTTTTCATTAATAACAATATTTACCATTTCTGAAATTTCTTCAGATAAACATTCGTCTTTGCGCTCAATCACAAGATTGTCACTCTTGTTTGAATGCTGGTGATCCTTACTGTGGTTGGTGTTTAAAACCATCGGCATGTACAACACAAGAAGTTTGTGAGGCGGATGCTTTAAATCCACGTGCAGACTGGCTTAATTACAAATCAGGGCGTTGTCCTGCTATTCGTTCAGTGGAACCACGAGAGCAACAAATTACATTTTCACGTCCTATTCATGTTCGTATTGAAAATGCGCCACCAGCACTTGCTAGTCATGATGGATCAACTAAAGCAACGCTCTACTGTTCTTTTTATTTTCCAAATCATTTGCTAGTCAATGTTTCAGCTATTTCTAGAGAAGGAGATCAGTAAGTTCAAATTTATTATGGTTTAATAAGTCCTGTTTATTTCAGAGTTGTTTGCGCAACACCAATTCGTTCAAACCTCAAGACTCTTTTGGCTCGAACTCAGACAATAAACGACGTAGCACGGGATGGACTTGTTGCTCGTCTATCAATAGTTCAAATTGCTGATTCCGCCGTGCTTGCTTCAACTAATTTTACTTTCTTTGATTGTCATCAATTAATCAGTTGTCAAGAATGTGCTTCTGTTCGTTTTAGGTATATTAATTTTATCAAGTGGGTCGTAGTTATTATTTCCAGTTTATGCGATTGGTGCACACTAACTGCTAAATGTGTCCCAAATGCTGAGGACGTTTGTCAAGGAGAATCACTTGTTAACTCCGTCAGTGTAAGTAATAAATGTTTGTCATTTTAAAAATGTAATTTTAGAGAATTGGTCCTTCTTCGCGACGGGGCCCTGAATTCTGTCCTCAATTTTCATCTCCAGATGGCGATTTGTTTGTTTCATCAGGTCAGCGTCGCAGAGTTAAAGTTCAGGTTGTTTTGCTGTTGATTATATTCGGTTATGATTTTTTAAACAATTTAGGCTACCAATTTACATGAACAAATGGGGGCCTTCAAATGCCAATATACTCTAATTGAGCAAAATAGTGTTACGCATGAAAAATTGGCACAGCGAGAAGGAAATGAGATTGTGTTTGTTTTATAATATTCTGTATCTGTATAATATTTATATTTCAGTTGTGAGGAGATGCTTTTTGAATTTAACGGTTCTGGTGATGGTAATGGGACTGGTACAGCTCTATTTAATATTGTTTGGGCACCACCTGGTTTAACAACTTCTACTATTTTTCACCCGCTTGATAACAGTCAAAAAATGAAAGTGGTCTGTTTTAATTGTTTTACTGATTTGACTATTAATTATTAGATAATTTATCGGTGTCAACAATTGGCCACAAACTGTGGCCTTTGTTTAGGACTGGATTCGAGAAAGTTTGAATGTGGATGGTGTGAAAATGAGGGAATTTGTTCTCCAAAAAATGACTGCAAAGAAGGTTTTGTTTAGCATAATTTTTGTTGTTTTATTTTTGTATTCGTGTCAGGATGGCTTTCACGTGGAAGCAACAACTTAGTTTGCCCTAATCCTCGAATTGATGATTTTCAACCGCAGAAAGGTTAATTACTCTACTATATTTAGATCTAATAACATTGGTAAATAGGTCCAATCAATGGAGGAACAAAAATAACTATTCATGGCACTAATTTGGGTTTAAGTTTTGCTGATGTTCGTGATACTGTGCGGGTTGCGAGTGCTAAATGTGATGTCAGTGAGGCAGAGTATTTGCCTTCTCGACGCATTGTTTGCTACACAAGAGCACCTAGCACACGTCAAAAGCAGGGACAGGTTTAAAATTTTATTTTAGTAAAGCCTTAAAAACTATTTCAGCACGTGATTGTACGTTTGCGTGATGATCGTAAATACACGGCTGTTTCTACGCAGACTTTCACTTACACAAACCCTCAAATATCATCTTTTCAGCCATTTAGAGGACCAAAAAGTGGTGGAACAGATTTGACAGTAATTTAAAAATTCTAAATACAAATAAAAAAATTTTTCACAGATTCTTGGTATGGATCTCGACTCTGGTATTACTTTTAACCTCAGTATTGGTAATTCACCCTGTGAGCTGCGTCAAAGGTCTTCTTCTATGGTCGTATGTAGAACGGGTCCAGCTTCATCTGAAAAGCCTGAGTATTTGGTTTTGAATGCAGATGGTACTCAAATACGGGTCGATAATGTTCAATTTCAATACACGTTAGAATTTATATCTATTCTGATATTAAGCTTTTTTTAGTGCCAATCCTTCAATTGATCGTGTTCCAAAACCTGTTTCCACTATTTCTGGTGGAATTCTAATTGATGTACATGGCAATGGTTTGGATCTATTGCAGCGGCCTCGAATGATGATCAACTGGGAAGGACAGACCTTTTGGGGCGCTAAATGTGAAATAATTGACGAGCATCTAATGGTTTCTTTTTAATATAAATTTATTGTTCTATTTTAAAAAATCTTCAGATATGTAGAACTCCACCTTTAGAATTATCTTTGGATCGCCGTATTCAATTGAGCATTGAACGGCCTTTGCGAGTAGATTATGGATTCGATTTGGATGGCGCACTCACTGGGTATGTTTCTAATTTACATGACGAATTTCTTTAATAATTTTAGCAACTTGACTTCATCAGCAGACCGAACACTTCCTAAACTATTGGTTTTTTTTGATCCACGTCTTCAACCTCTCCCTGAAGTGCTAACTGTCCGACCAGTAATTTTATTATGAGTCTTTATTCACTGTTTTTCTCATTTAGGGAGGAGATTTAGTTCTAAAGGGGCACAATCTAAATTTGGCAGCGTCTGCACGCGATGTTCGTGTCACTGTTGGAGGTATGCCATGTAATGTAACTGCATTGGCTATTAATACACTCACATGTGTTTTACCTCAACACTTGGATGAAGGACAACGCGATGAACAAATGGATGTGCTAGTTTATATCGGAGACAAAATGTAACATTACGAATTTTTTAAATTAAAATTTTTGAAAATTTAAACCTCTAATTTTTTTAATATTTAGAGAGAAGGTCGGAGAGGCGTCTCAACACTTTCGGGTTCCAGATCCTTCACAATGGCTTATTTTAACTGTTGCTGTTGCCTTCCTTGGAGTATTTTTGGCATTGATGCTTTTCGTTTTTTATCGTCGCAAAGCTACTTGTCACAATAGACAATTGCATTATTTAAAGGCTCAAATGAATTCAATCGAGATGCGCGTTGCACAAGAGTGCAAAGAAGCTTTTCACGAATTACAAACAAAGTATTTTTAATTTAAACCTTATTTTATGATTTTAATTCATCTCTCAAATTTTTAGTATGAATGCTTTGGCTGGTAGTGTGCCACAGGGTGCGTCTTTCATCCCTTTTCTGCCATATTCAGTTTATGCCGCTCGTATTCTTTTTCCACATTTTTCTGGTACTTCACCGGCATCATTGCATCCTGTCCTAAGAGAATTGACTGTTGAACAAGATAGAGCTTTACAAGTAGAAAGTAGCTTAAGGCAATTGCACTGCCTTCTCCAGAATCGTATTTTTCTTCTATGCTTTGTTCGTTCTATTGATGCTAACAAATATTTGCTGGTAAAGGATCGTGTTTATGTTGGTTCTCTTTTAATGGTTGTTCTACAGGTTTACAATTTTTACAAAAATTGTATAACCTTATTTTATAGCGTGACTTTAATGTGCTCACTGACGTGCTCAAACAATTGCTCAGGGATTTAATTAGACGGAATGTTGAGAGTAAATTTCAACCAAAAATTCTTTTTCGTAGGGCAGAATCTGTGGCTGAAAGAATGGTCTGATTAATGTCTACAATAAGATATTGAGTTTTCTTTTTTAGTTATCTGCCTGGTTTGCATTTCTCATGTATAAACATTTGAGGAGAAGTGCTGGCAAACAACTTTATCAACTTTACTGGGCTACAAAACAACAAACTGAAAAAGGACCGCAAGATGCTATAACAATGGATGCCCGTTATTCCCTTTCAGAGGAAAAACTTTTGCGTGCTTCTGTTGACTTTAGGGAGCTAACAATTTTTATTTTGTCTGACTCAAATTCTACAGTTTGTGATACACAAGTTCGTGTACTTGATTGTGATTCTATTGGACAGGTTTTGTTTATTTTAATTTCTAAAATTAAAAAAAAGATCAATTTAAGGTTAAAGAGCGTTGTTTGGATGCTAAATATAAAACAACACCTTTTTCTGAACGTCCACTATCTTCAGAAATTGATCTTGAATTGCGTACACCAAAACATAGGATGGTTTTGCAAGATCTAGATGGAAGTTCTCGATTTGAAGCAGGCGGTTTTTGGCGGTATAACACTCTTGCTCATTACAAGGTTGAGGATAAAGCAACATTTGCACTTGTTCCTAGAAATGCCACCTCATCTTCTTACAATCTTTCTCTGGTTATTAAAACTTCTCTTAATACTAATACTCTGTATTATTTTTTAGATTTCTGATAAATCTGACAAATCTTCTGGTGGTTCTTTTGCATTTTCTTCTACCCATTTTCATCAATACACTGCTACAGCCAATAGTCCAGTTCTTCAAAAAACTTCTGCTGTTGGTGGTGGAGGTTCTTTTTTCACTACTGGCTCTATTGGCGGTCATTCTATAGCTGGCGGTGGAAGGTCGGCCGCAGATACTTTTGCAGCTGGCGGCACTGGAACAATGCGTGTTTTTCATTTGGTCAGGCCACCAAACTCAAATGTTTCTCATGGAACAGAAGGTCAAGAACAGAAAATGGTCACTGAAATTTATTTAACAAGGCTGCTGACAATGAAAGGGACATTACAAAAGTTTTAATATATTTTTTAAGCTCTAGATAAATCCATATTTTAGGTTCATTGAGGATATGCTTGAAACTATTTTCTCTTCAACCTCATCACCTCAATCTCCTTTCCCATATTGTGTAAAGTATATGTTTGATTTCCTTGATGATCAAGCTCGTGAACATGGAATTGTCGACCCTGAAGTGGTGAGTTTTTGATATTGGTTCTAAATCAGATAAATTTTTTCCTATTTGTTATTCAGGTGCATGTATGGAAGAGCAATTCACTACCACTTCGTTTTTGGGTTAACCTTATTAAGAACCCTGATTTCATTTTTGACATCCAAAAGCCGACACGCATTGAAGGATCTCTAAATGTTGTGGCCCAAACTCTTATGGATGCATGTTCTACTCATGAACAACATTTAACGAAAGACTCACCAAGTAGTAAACTTCTTTTTGCAAATGAGATGGACAAATATCGTCAATGGGTTCAGCGTTTTTATACTCAAATTGCAGAGGCAGAGCCAATTCCTGATAGAGTAAATACTTAAAATTATCTAAACAATTTATAATCTTCCTAGGAGATGGCTATGCTTTTGGCTGAAGAGAGTCAAGAACATGGACAAGAATTTATGATTTACTCGGCTCTTAACGAAATTTATTCTTATGTGAATCAAAATAAGGTTGTCTTTTAATAACCACGTTGAGATATTTTATTTTAATTTTCATAGGAAATGCTTTTTGAAGAATTGAGCCAAAATGAATTTGCTTTGCAACAACAACTACCTGAGGCTCTTCAAAAATTATTAGATACAATGGAAGTTCCTCCCGATGCTCAATTCAACGGTTCAATGTTACTATCGGATACTTATGCCGATTCGAAGACCAAACTTGTAACACACAACGGTAACTTTTATTAGCCATCATTATAGCTTTTCTCATCCTTTTTTTCATCATATAAATTTAATTATAATCTTTATTCTCCCTTCTTTTACTATAACTTTGTTATCTGATCATTGTGACTTCAGGATTACTCGATTCTAGCTACTTTTTTCGTTAACTGCTTTAAGATATGTTTTTTTCGAGATTTCCTTCTGCCCTAAACTCATGGGGCCAGTAAATCGTAGAGATGACTTATCAAACAATTTTACGGCTTGTTACACTCTTCATCGCTACGTCATCATAATCCTTAAGTCACTCGTATATCCCCAAGCCATTTTAAACGGGTCCAAATAATTTTTTTTAATTTTTTCATTCCAACATTTTTTGTATTTTATTTATATACATTATATTTTAGACATTTTAATAAATTGTATTTAATAAAAATTGTATTATGCATATTTATAAAAATTTGATAAAAAGTTCTATTACCTTAATATTTGTAGTTTCTACTCATTTAATAATTTTTATTTGAAATTTAAATAATATAAACAATTAAATTTACCATTAAAAATGCCGAAACCAGAATTCTAATTATCTCGAATTTTAATATGGATGGTAATGAGGATGATGAATTTTGTTCATTTTCATCTTGTACGTCCTTTTCTCGTTCAATTGATGAAATATCATCATCTTCGTTTTGTCTTTCAACTTCAAGACTGTTTGAGGCAACTACGGCAGTTGGAATATCTACAATAAGATGTTCATTGGCAACAAATGAAGAGAAATTTGAAGAAGAGGTTAGATTTTTCATTAATATTTTTTCATTTTTTTGTAGATGCTTTTCCATTGGATGATTGGTCGTTATGTTTGGATCCTTTCCATCGTTATTATGCCTATTTTCTGTTGAATGATCAAAATGGATTAGAGGAACGCGGATTTGGTTCATTTGGCTTTGGTTGACAAATTCTATTTCTATGTGGCCTCGATTTGTGGCTTAGAATTGAAAGGTTAATTGAAAATTTAAAAAAAATTATACATTCACTCCCATGATATTTCCATTGATAATCATTTTCCGATTTATATTTTTCATCACGCCCAATTTTTGACTCCCCTTTTGCGTATAGCAAAAATATTTTTCCCGGACCAAGTGGATGATCAGTCGGTTCGATTTCTGTAAAATAATTTAAGATTTCTAACATCTTTTTATATTTTGGTCTTTTCAATATGACCCCCCAGAAAACCTGATATAAGTCTTCGAAGCATTAATAAACTTCTATTTCCAGTTTGTAATCCGTATGCGGCACTCAACGATTCCTCTCCATCCAGCAATGAATCGCGAAGAGGACTACTCATATCTCGTGAATATAAATCTTCAATATGCAGCAAATTCCCTTCTCGAATTGAGCCCATTATCATATCAACACATTCCATTGGATGCAATGGTTGTTCGAGCCATTCACGGGCTGTGTTTTGAAGTAAGTTTACTATTTAAAAAATTTATTTTCTTACAAAATCCGCTTGTTTGGACATTTTTCTGCTCTAATGACGAAATCATTTGAGGGAAAAGTCGACAAGAAGGAGGTATTTGGAGGGGTCTCCATCCAAGTCCAATCCATTTGTGTAAATGTGTAGTCCAAAAATCCAGAATTATTTCTAGTTGATTTCCCACTAAGCGCCAATGTAAACGATCTCCCTCATCCGTTTCCTCTGTATTTAGCGTCTTGCTTGAATAGCAATCTGGATTGAAAAGTCCGTAGCGAAGATTGCCATTGGCCTCGGCATTAGGACTAGGACCAACATGTCGGAAGCAATTTTGGTCCTCGGGATCAGGATCAGATCCAAGAATAAACAAAATTAAATTATTTTTGAAATGATTTCACTCCTTTCAAAAATTTTTTCTTTTAACTCACTTCGTTCACAGTTTGTTCCAAAAAATCCAAATTGACAAAAACAAGATTTATGGCCTTGCCTAATGGCGTCTGCTACGCATTTTCCATTAGGGCCGCATTCTAAATCATCTGCGCAATCATCTAACCATCAATGAAATATATTTATCTTTCATATTAATAATTAATTTCACACCTTTATATTGACAGTATTGACCCGAGAATCCATGTGAACATTGGCAACTGCCACTACTTCCTTCATCCTCCCATATACCATTACCAAAACAATTCTATTAAAAATTAATAAATGTTAATAATTTTGGTGCTGTATCGGTATAACCATTGGTGCTGTATTGGATATATCCACCTCGGCACAACTCCTCTCAAAACTAGAATTATCATTGTTAGTTTGTGCTTTAATCTTCTCAATAAGTAATGTACAATTTCGACATTCAACGGGAAAACGAATTTCTACAGATTGCTGAACAGCACTAAAATTATAAATTCTTAACATAAGTTACCTATTTTTAATTTTATATCATCTATTCTACCTTGCCATTTGTCTTGCTGTTACTCCATGTCCTAAAAGTAATGGCACTCTCTCACTTTCTAACTCATTTCCTTTATAATCAAGCAATCGTATCTTAACCTGCTATTTAAAAATTATTTAAAAGATAATTCTTATCATTTATCACATTTTCGTTCCTCTGAGGCGTCTTTGCTAAATGCCAGCTTATATTATAATTTCTGCCGACTTGGAAGCTTGTTAATTGGCCTAAATTAAACATTTTAAAAGTAAATCCTATTAAATTACTTCTTTCCGATTTTGGAACCCCGCAAGGTCCAAGCGTTCTTCTGTTGTCTAAAAAGTCGAATGGTGGATATCGTGCTTCCGGAAATGTTAAGATGATGTGACCTTCCACGAATTTAAAAATTAAAAATAAGAAAATAATTAGACGATTAAGCATCTTAAATAGAAATATTAAAAAATATTTTCGAAGAATCGTTCCGAATTTGACCAATATTTTTTCATCTGTTGAAATCCTGAATGATTTTTTTCTGGAAGACAAAAGAGGAAAATGAATGCTTCTATTTAATCTTTTTAAGGAGATTTTTGAACAAATCTTATAATGTACGGCCATCTTTACGGAAATTTTTTTGTCTTTTCTCTCTCTCACTCATGCTAAAAACAGCCAAAGGCAATTACGGACGAATGGTTTTGAGATTGAACAAATGAGTTTGGTCGTTGTTGTTGTTGACTTTGGATAAATTAAGATTTGAAGAGGAGGGAAAAAGTTGCTAGTTTTTCGGACATTATGTATTTGAAAAGGATTGATTTTTAAGGACCTAGTTCCCCAAAAGTTAACATGGTATGGAACTAAAAAATCTTTTAAAAAATTGCATTGTGCGTGCGATTAATGAAAAATAAACTGCTTAATCGAAGAGTCGTTTCTGCGGAATATCACAAAGCTATTTTTATTAATCATTTCTCAATCAAAATTGTGAAGAGTTCTCATGATAATATATTAAAGCGCGAGAATATATTCAATCATTTTATGAGCCTTTTTTTACTTATCTTTTGCTATATTTTTGGCTTATCCTTTTCAAATCTTTAATTTATAGTTAAACATCGTTAATTTTTGAATTTTTTTTCAAAAAATTTTTTTTTAATTTCTCATAGTCTAATTCTCATGCTATTCATTTCCGGCGACATAAATTTTATATTATTTCGCTTATATTTTCAATGAGAAAGTTGGAAAAATTGAATAAATACCCGTATGCCGCCCCACGCTTTTTATTTTATTACCAGCACTTTTATTAGATAATTCAATTACTTTTCTCTTTTTTTTATTTGCCGCCTTATTTTTCAATTGTTTTTTTTTCTTATTCTTTCTTTCAGTTTTATGGACTGGGGTGGTTCAATAAATAATCAAATTAAATTTATTATCGACACAATCCTAACTGCTTCCTATAAATATTTTTTAAACATGTTTACATTTTTCTGGAATATTTTTTTGTAATTTTATTTTGGAATCAAATTAATACATGCATATTTTATAGGGTACACCTCCACTGAGTCTCGATGCAACTGACTCCCGGCCCCTATAATTTTAACTATCCTTAAAGTTTTTTTTTATTTCTCGTTCAATTTAACTACAAAATTTTTTCCAACGAAAGAATTTAAATTAATTTTCGATTTCTTTAAGCCTCCTTTCAAGTATTCAATTCTGAAGTTTTTTTATTTAAATATAGCTTTTCAAGTTATGTTTTCATTTCATGAGAGAGAAACTCTCAAAATGATTGATGAGTATAAGCTGCTTGCTGCTGCCTTTTTTAAAATTATTTTATAAAAAACATAAATTAACTTTTTAAATATTCTACTCAATTTCCTTTTTTAACCTTGTGCTTTTACTAACAAAATAATTCTTTAAATAATTTATGTTTATAAAAATTCTTTTTTTCATTCATTGTTTAGAGACCAGCCTTTCTTTTCTTTCAAACACTTTTCAAGGCAATTCGTTTTATCTTCTTTTCTACACAAAGTTCTTAAATTTCTTAGAACTATAGATTCACAGACTAGCGCAAAAAAAACTAGGTGAATTTAAATAGATAAGAGGAGCAACTCAATATCCTAACGAGAACACTTCTTTTTGTCTTCAAGTATAATTTTGATTTCTCTCTCATTTAAACTGAAATAAAAGCTTTATTTTATTAAATTAAAATGAAAAGCTAAATTTGAAAATTACTAATTTTAAAGTTTAAACGAAAACCCTTTAACTGCTCTAATTAAAGCCTGGCTTTTTTAGAAGCTCATATCGAATACAAGCCCACCCAAGGAAGCACAGTGAAAAATAAACGCTTCTTCTCTAATTGAACCCCACTCAAAATGGCCCTTTGATAAATAAGAATTTTAATGGTTTGATTAGTGCATTTACGATAATTCCGGAATTTTATATATTTTCAGTTGCGCATCTCTCCAATAATTTTTAACTTTAATTTTATCAACTTGTTTATATAAACTTAAATTTTAAATGATTTATTTTTATGCTTGTTCATTCTATAAACAATAACGCCAACTGTTTGCTTAACTCTCTTTTGTTAATTCACCACTAATTACCCTCATTCTAACTAACAATTGTTAGAGGCAACTTTCTTTTGGTTTCCAGCTTCTATTTCCGTTCTTTTTTTAAGTGGCCCTCTTCAAAAAAATTACTCAATTAACTCTATAAATCATTTTTGGTGATTAACGTCATTTATTTGGTTAATCACTTGATTTTTTAAATTTATTTGGTGGTAGATGGCAGAGGTAGATCAGAATTCCAGTTCTATTTTCCTTCCGATTTCCGAAATTTACGCTGATCTCCTATTTCAGAGTTCCGACTTTTGAGCTATTTCCTATTTCCGACAGTTCCAATTTCCGAGATTTTCGATTTCCGATAGCTCCGATTTCCGACATTTCTGATTTCTTACAGTTGATTTCCAACAGGTACGATTTCCTACAGTTTCGATTTCCGACAGTCTCGATTTACAGCATCTTCTTTATGGGAGATGAAACAAATCTTTAAAATATTTTTTTGTTCAAGCTGGCGCTTTAACATTTAATTTTCATATCCTCATGCCATTATATTTTTTACTACCTTTTTTTGAAAAGCACTTCTCTTTTTAGCACAAAATAAATTGAATTTGGCAGAATCGCGCTTTTCAATTGCTATTACTTTTAAAAAAATAAACTTTTCGACCTTTTAGCTTCTTTTTCTCTCAATCTTAAAAAATTTATTTTTAAAATTTTACTAGATTTTTTCGAAATTTTTAAAAATAAAAGATAATTTCGAAATATTAATATAGCAAATGGAAATGCTACATCATTATTTTTTATTGTTTGTTGAATTTTAAATTTGCCCCAAAATTTATAATTTATTCTTTCTCATACACAATATCCGCATTTTTGAAATATAAATTTTGGAATGCCCAATTACCCATATACTAGTTTAAAATTTTTTAGCATTGTAAAAAATAGGGGCAGATGACAGACATAATCAAACAAAGTGCCAAAAACCTCTTCTTTCCACACCACACCTCTTTCCATATACCTCTTTTCTATCCTAACTACTCATTTGAGTGTGAAATCTGTTGTTTTGTAGAGAAATAATTTTTCTAAAAATTATTTATTTTACTATTTTGAATTGGGAGATACTTATTGAAACTTTTCTATTTATCGTTAAATAATCTTATCCTTTTTTATATTCTTACAAGCATGCTTAAATCATATTTAGTGCCCCTTTGGGATTTTCATCCAAAAGTCACTTTCCTACCCAAAATATTATTGTTTGCTAAATTTTGTTTATAAATTTTTCGTTTATTTGTTAGAAACTTAATTTTCCCTTAATTATTATAGTTTATGTATTTGGCATCCGTTTCTATTACTAATAGTACAACTGTTGCCAATACAGAAAAGACCAGAAATGCCTCTTTATTTGATATTTCTACTTATTCAATGATTGAGTTAAACCCCTCAAACGATCCTTCTATCTCACTAGAAAACAATTTGTTTTTGCTTCCGACTGCAAAAGAAATACAACATGGACCCGAAATCTTTCTTTATGGCTTCATTCTTGTTTGTACATATTTGAATAGGTTAAAATCTGAAACTCTTTTCAGATACTTATTCCCACAGCAACAATTCTTGGCAATTTTCTTGTAATTATTTCTGTTCTACGCTTTAAGTCTCTACATTCAGCTATCAATTTTCTTATCCTTGGTTTAGCTGTTGCTGATTTTATGGTTGCTCTTTTTGTGATGCCTTATGCTGTTTATGTATATGTAAATTCTTTTAAAATTTTTAAGGAGATAAAGTTAAAAATTAATAAAATTTGTTTAGGTACAAGGTGGCCTTTGGATGTTGGGTATGTGTTGATTGGACGTAAACTTATGTATACATATTTTGATAGGTCCTCTTATGTGCAATATCTATCTAAGCTCAGATGTTGCATGTAGCACTGCTTCAATTATTCTTCTAGCTTTAATTAGTTTTGATAGGTATTAAAAAAATTTGTTTTTAATTAAAATTTTAATTTTTAAGATACAAAGCAATAAGCAAACCAATCCAGTATTCCCGTCAAGCACAAAATATTTACAGAGTTGTTAAACTTTTTGTTTTTGTATGGATATACTCTTTCTGTGTTGCCAGCCCCATCGTTCTTGGTTTGTTATTGGAATGTCACGGATTATGAAACTTGATGCCCGAAACCTAACTGACCCGACCCGAAACCCGGACTTCTTTTTGATCCGAACTCCAATCCAAAGAAAATTTTAAAGACCCGCCTTTTTTCTCAATCCGTAACATCCCTTGTTTATTATGTATTAAAAACTTTTTTTAATAAACCAATTTTAAGGAATTAATGACCCCCCAGATAATGACGGAGGATTATTGTTTGAATGTCGATTTTATAATGCTTATTTTTCTTTATTGTCATCATTTGTTAGCTTTGTATTTCCCTGTTGCGTGGTTATCTTTGTGTATGTACGTATTATCCGCGCATTAAGAAGTCGAGAAAAATCAGCAAAATTACGAAAAGCTCAACAACATTTATCTTTAAAAAAGAAGCATGAATGTCAAGCAACAACTAATAATAATAAACCTAAAGCTGAATGTGATGATGAAGCTGGTGAAATTGTTGCTGGGCCTGGTAAGACAAAGGAAACATATTTTCAAATTAATTTTTTCCCCAGCTGTGAATATGATGATGATTGCGTTACCTTCTTTGAACCGGCAAATTAAACGTTATGAAAGGCATAAACAAGCATTGGAAGAAGCAGAAGTTATATTGGATGATGAAGAATTTTCTTCTATTGAATCGCTAAATGAAGATGTGCGTATCCTTACTAATGATTTTATCTCTGAGGTGCCAACATCTAAGTAAAACTTTTAATTCAATAAATATAGACTCGCTGAGCTGACTTTTGAATAATTTTTTTAGAAAACATTCAAGTGACTTAAGGGCATGCGGAGATATCGGGGCGGACATAAGGGAGATTTCAATGTACAAACAAAAAGCTCAACAAACTTTCTTTAAAAAAGAGGCAAGAATGCCTTGCCATAGATTTCGGGAAACCGGGGTTTTTTATATTTTAGAGCCAACGTCAACAACGTGACCGGTTATTTTTCTTAACCGCTTACTTGTGTTTCCCATCCTCTCAAGTTATTTCTTATTTTCCTAGAACTTCATCACAACCAACAACAACATTCGAACCAACAAAACGTTCAATCGACTCAAGTTTGATCAATCGTTTCCGTCTATCATTTTCTGGTGTGCTTGAAACTAGTAAGGGAGGGGGATCTTCAATTTCAGTCAAAGCGGATGAAGTTGTTCCTTCCATCTTTCAAGCTCGAAAACGTTCATCCTGTGATGTTGGAACAATTTTTTCTGTTAATGAATCTGAGCGACGAAAATCAGGAACTGCTTTAACTTCATTGGGTGTTAGAAATTATCCTTTACGAACGAAAAGCAATCGAGGCAATTTTATAAATTTTTTTTATCTTAAAAAAATTTTTTTAAGAGATTAGGCGTGAAGATGAATGCCAACGGCGACCTCTATTACCTTTAAAAGAGGAGGAAAGAATAACCAAAAACTCTTTGGAAAGCATTCAAAAAAACAATGTAAACCCTAACAGCATACTACATTCACCTTGTAGACCAACTCTTTCCTTTCCACTTGTCAGGCGTATTACGTTGGGAAAGAATTTTCTAGGTATTAAATTAAGTTTTAAATTTTATACAGTTAAAACTTTCAGTGGATCATTATCTACTTTCTGAAAAAGGCCTTAATGATGCTAACATTTCAATAAATATTAGTAGGTGTTCCACAGAACAAATTTTAAATGGTGGAAATCGTGTTGTGAGAGAGATAAGAAGTCCATCAATTCAAGAAACAATTGTAAGGAGCCTAACTTAAAGACCTATCCCTTGAAGATTTAAAACCTTAGAAAGCGTATATAGAGGAATTTAGAGTGATCAAGAGGATAAGTGCCCAGCTCTTTGTGATAAGTACCCAGTTCTGTATTGATAACCACTGGTGCGATATTGTGAGTGTGCATTCTATATTCCCTTTTATGTATTATTTGTAGGTCTTCAGGGTCAATAGGTCTTCAGGGATCGACTCAATTGTAGTATCAATCTAGTTTTTCCAAATAAATTTTATTTTTTTTCTAGAAAAGCCGAAAGAGTTCCGCCAGGCGTAGTTCTTCCGCCATAGAGTTGTTTACTTCTCCACAAATATGTACAGAAGACAAAAACTCGAAGATTTCTAACAATTTAATCCAAAATATAAAAAGCAAGAATGTCAAACAAGAAAAATGGAAGTTGAATGATGAAGATGATCAAACATCACCCCTAACTAGCGGTGCCGAAAAAGAGATTGTAGTTTACTTAATTTCTAACTTAACTGAACATAAAATTTAAGGAAAAACAAAAGTTACAATTAGGAGGGAATACTCCCGTTACTCAAGGTTCACGGCGAGATCGTCATGCTAGTTTGCGACGTAAAGTTTACAAATCTCAGAGGAAGGAGAAACGAGCAACTAAAACACTTGGAATTGTTGTTGGTCAGTATAGAGAATTTTTTTTAATTTGGACATTTTAACCTAGCTTTTAAATTGATTTTCTAGGCACTTTTCTTTGTTGCTGGGTGCCTTTCTTTTCGTTGAATATAATTAATGCTGTTTGTTTTCAATTAAATCTGGGATGGTGCCAGATTGGTTTTGGACCTTTCTTTTACACAACTTGGATTGGTTTGATAAATTGCTATTAAATATAAAATCAAAACTTATATTTTTAGGTTATATGAATTCATTTATGAATCCAGTAATTTATACAATTTTTAATGCAGAATTTCGTCGTGCCTTTAAAAGCCTTCTTTTGGGTAGAAGACCAGCTAATATAATGCGTCGAATCTAATTTGGATTTTTTATTGTTTTTATAAACAATTAATTTATAAAAAAATTTTATGTACTACGTAAATAATTTTTTAATATTTGAATTTTTTGAAAATTGAAAATTTTAAAAATTGATATTTATTAATTTTAAAAATGGCTGTTCTATGTGTATATTAAAAGGCAGTTAATTTATCTCCTTTGTTTATCTTCTATCTTCAAATCAACTCATTTCTTGCCACAACCATAGCCATAGCCTCCACACCCGCCACAGCCATAACATCCACCGCATCCCCCAAATCCGCAACTTGGCACATAGCTGACTGGTGCCGGTACAGGGACTGGCACTTGCACTGTGTAGGTGACTGGAGCGGGCACAGGAACTGGTGCTGGAGCCGGCACAGGTGGCAAAGCTGGTGCTGGAACAACACCACTGAAAAATATATAAATTGATTTATATATCTCAATTTAACAATCAAACCAAGTGACGCAGCAACCCCCACAGCTTGCTTCGGTACAATGACCAAGCAAGGTTACAACAAGTGCTGAAAGGATGAAAACAGCTGGCAAAATATTAAAATTCATTGTTTTTTGTACGAGTGAACTTAATAATATAAGATTCAAAAAAGTATAAGTGGATATACTTTAGCTATTTTATCATCCAAAAATAAGCTTGCACCACGTTTCCGATATGGGAGAGTGGTCTAAGCTTGCTGAGACTAATAGACAGCCTGCCGGGATGATTCGTATGGCTTTCGAACGCTCATCGGCTAAAATCCAGCCGTATAATTAAATAGGATTGGAACCTCATATTTATGAAATTATAATTAAATTAGAGAATCAGTGATTTCGCAAACCAACTTTTCTGCAAAATCAGCTGTTGAAGTTTTTAAAAAATATTTCAATTAACATAACTTATATACTGCTGATTTAACTTGATAAACAACCCATGTCCTTATCTATTTCGTTGCCTTGTTGATTTATTAGCCTTCAATTAATTTAAAATAACGACACATTTTAATAAACTAATTCGGTGAATTTCAATTTTCTTCAACCAAAGTTTACACGTTAATATTTAAATTTAAAAAAGTTGATGGGTTACTTTGACTGATTGATAAAGGTTTTTTCCGAATAATATCTTTTGAAGGGATGCAAAATTTAAATTTCCATAAAATAAGTCGTAAATACATACGTCATCTTGCAAAAAATTACAAAAAAATATTTTTTTCCAAAATGCTTTGCATATTAAAGGATAAGTAAATATGCCGGAGCAGTTCAGTTAATTTCTGACCCTATAACTCATTAAGGGATGGTCACTTCTTCATGTTCTTGGTACCATTGGATTAAGAATTAAATACACTATAAGATTTCAAAAAATCAAAATTCTAGAATGATTGATAAAAACGTTATGATTTAAAAACTAGCTTTATCAGAAAATTGTGATTCTTCGGCACTTTATCGATCATAACTTTTTTATCAATCAGTTAAGAATTATGTTCTTTCTGTTATCTTGTAGTGTATTTATTTTCTATCTAATAGTATCAAGAACAGTAAGAAACGACTATTTCCTCATGAGTTATAGGGTAGGGACTGAACTGAGGTATACCGACAGGATACATCTATTTACCTAATTTATTTGACTAGAATCAAGTTTTCTTAACAACTAATCCCTGGGTTAAATTAGTAATCTTCTGCCACTTTACAAATTGCCATTATTATAGACAATATATAATATTGCATTATTTATCTGTTAAATAATGTAAACATAAAATAGAAATCTATCATCATTTTATCGAAGTATTAAATAAAATTTTCATTTTTTGACACTAAAAATTTCTGGAGACTTATAGGACTATATTATAACTTCGATAAAATGATTAAGTATAATTGAACAAAGCACAAAATATTCCTGATAAATTGTATCATATAACATTTTTGATTGCTGAAAAATTTCGTAAAGGTTCTATTTCTTTCCGCAACCGTAGCATCCACCACCGCAACCAAAACCTCCTCCACATCCTCCATAACCACCGCCAAAACCTCCAACAGCGAAACCGCCACCGTAACCACCGCCGAAACCTGGACCACCAAAGCCTGGACCACCAAAACCTGGACCACCAAAACCTCCACCAAAGCCACCGATTCCGCTGAAAAAATTTCTTTATTAGATTGACAATAATGTTAAAAGAACTCTTACCATGTTGCACAACAACCGCAACATCCTCCTCCACAAGCAACTGTGGAGCTTGGTAAGAAAACGAATATCGCTAACGCGAACATTGCGACAAAAATAATTGTTGCTTGTGAGAAATGAGCTTGCATTTTAATTTTTTAGGAAAGGTGAAACTTAAATCTGCAACTAAAAAACTTTTCGATTTGCCAAAAAAATTATATGGAAAATTATTTTTTAAATTCTAATCACAAAAAAGAAAACTGTTTCAGTAAGTGTGTGAATTTGTGCGTTTTTTAAATGCTTTATAGGTCTCAAAATTACCCAGCAGGCATAAACAGTTTTTCGCCCGTCAGCACTGACCCATGTTTTAAAGTAACTGCTTTTTATTGTTAGTTTAATTTTTCTCTCCCGTCCTTCGTGACGCCGTTCCAATTTTTGTTTTTTGGCCTCTAACCAGCCATCTTCTCTTGACTTTTTCTAGTAGAACGGCATAGGAAGGTTAAAAATCCCACCGACAGGAATGTTCTTCCACCTGTCGAATTAATTAGTCTTTCCCCTCCATTATTATTGTAATATTGATGCGACCGAACATCAAAAATGGCCGGAAAATAATTACGTAAATTAGTAAATGAAATATAGCGAACAGATTTTTTAAGAAAAATTATGCTGACGTTTAATTCAACAGAAAAATATTGCCTATACAAACAGTCTATCCTCTTCTACACTAGTGCCATTAACGTGGAACATTCTTCAATTAATATACTTATTCATAATAGAGCAAGGCTACTTTTGCAATATTGTTCGAGAATTGAACATCTTCGAAATTTAAGCCACAATGTTATATTTCTCAATCACTTTCCAAAAGGGTTATTCTGTTAGAGGGGGCAATCAAATAGTGGGGGTATTCGATTAGAAGTAATACGGTAATTCTGCAACAAACAATTTTAAAAATTTTATGCAGTAAATTCAATCATTTAGTAATTATGGCCTTTAATCAATGTTGTGTAAAAGTTTCATTTCCGTTCCCGTTCTTAAGCACGCCCCTAGGAAAAAATATTAACTAAACAAACAGGCATAAAATATGTATTACCTCGGCGTTCCATCCTCATTAAAACGAACGCGTCCTCGACTTGCACCGCTAAGTGATGATCCTCCATACATTTCATCTCCTCTAAACTGAGGTGGATGTGTACTGAAGACAACTAAAAAATTAAGGAAAGGTAACTGATATGAATGAATGTAAAACTACCCGTCCCCATAGGTATCCCAAAACCACAACAGATGGGATAAAATCCATCATCATTCACATTTTCGTACATGTGTGGATTCCTGCGCCTTTTTAAAATACATTTTTAAATTTTTATTAAAAATATTTAGCAGGAACACACCTATGAAGCCAACAACCATTACATAGCAAGCAACAGAAGAACGACAATAATACTGATAGTATAATAGAAATAATCAGACCCAACACCAACAGTGTATAATCAATCCTAAGTGAAAATTAATGGACTTGTGAAGAAAGTAGTCCGGAATTATATTCCGTATCGTACTACGGTACAGAATATCGAAACTCCGAAAATCCGGCCCTCCGGGCTCTAGAAAGAATTAATCTCTAAAACAAACTGAAAGGTGCCCGGAGAATATGCTGCCACAAAGCGTTCAACACGAGTAGTCGGCGACATCCCATTTGGACTGTCGCAGCAGTAATAACCCTTGGTTAAATTTTAAAAATATTTAAGATGGTATAGCTCACATGCCCAATTCCCTCGTTGCTAATGCAACAAGCAGTTGCACAATACAAACTGAAAGATAATTATTTTCAAAACAATTAAATTAGAAAACTCACTCAACTCCAGATGGCATTTTTGGACAATGAATATCACCCTTTGCTATGCCAAAAAAGCAAAAATGAAGCAAAAATATGGGTAGTACTGTGATTAAGTCACTTAGACTGATCATTATCGGATTATGACAAGAAATCTAAGACGATAGGACAACTAAAATGCTTGAGAAATTATCAAAAATAATGGAGATTAAAGAAAAAATAGACAAAATTAACCACGTTATACTTTTAACATGATTCACAATATATTTCTAATCACCAGATATCAATTGATTTTAGTGGGAAGAAATGAAAAGATATAGGTAGGTAGTATATTTGTTTAAGGGGCAAAATCAAAAAAGTTTATGACTTGAGAAAACAATTATTCTCGCGCGCGAACACAGCAAAAACGTTCTCTTTTATCTATTTATATTCAGTTCACTTTTAGAAAATCATTACAAAGTGTATCGAATGTACATTTTTAACCTCTCTAGATCTAAAAAATATTTACGCAAACACCATTTTTATTCGATTAAGAATTTGGCCATTTTAACAAAATACTTAATGATCGATTTATATTTGAAGGCCGTGCAGTCTTCAAGGCTACCAAAATTTTAAAACAAGTTTTTATGAGTAAACTATCGATTTTTGAAATATTGATAGACAAGTATTTGTTGTTTATTTGCTTTTGATCAACATATGATAGGTTGCTTTTTACATATTCTTCAAAAGCAAATATTCAAGAGTAAATAAATAAAATACTTTGCAAGATTAAGTAATTTATTTTTTGAGATAATTAAAATAAATTAGGTAGGTTGATTAGTTCCGTATTTACTCCTTTTTATATTGCATCTTTTCTTGCTTAGCATTCTTTATAATTCCACTATAATCAAACAAAATACAAATCAACAACATTATTAATCCAAGGAGATGTCCAAACAGTTTAAATTCGTTAATCCAAGTATCCCATTGAAACTGATCATAATTGTGAATAAGAGCGCCTGAAATTATATTGTAATAATCTTTAAAATCGGTTATCCCCAAAAGGTCTATCCCCAAAAGGTTAAATTAAACAATTGAGTGGATAATGGAATTTGAGATTATGTACTTTTGCCTCTCCTTGATGCCTTTCCTGGTTATTTTACTTGAGGAGTTCTGTCATATCCCTTAATCCGTCTTAATCTCAACAAATTGATTTTAATCCGCCCAAATCCATTGATCTCCCCTTAGTCATTCTAAATGCGTACAAATCCTTTCTTATCCGCCCAAATATTTGGAGTTGTCTTTTCGTGGACGAACTTCTAGGATTTAATCCTCTGGGTTTTCCCATAATTTCTTAATATCATTTCGATATATTAGCTTACAGATTAGATAATAGTATATTAAATAATCAAACCGAGATAGACAAGCTGGTAGCCATTTATCAAAAGAAAAATCACACATGGCAAAATCACCAATGGATTTAAATTCTATTTTAACGAACAGTTATTCAAAAAATAAATCATTTCTTACAGATTTATATCGGTGCAAACATCCTCCATCTTTCGGACAAGGCCTTGTGCGAATACAAGCTGATAGAGAAATGGCCAAACGTTCTCTAAGACCTTAAATTGTTAAGTAATGTTAGTGGAACAGCAGGGAAAATAAAATGTTTTATAATAAATCATTTTTAACCTGTTTCAGCAAACGCAAATAAACCAAACGATAAGAGAACTGTACACATTCGTAAATCAAGTCCCTTAATGGAAATTAAAAAAAAACATTTTAGAATTTACGTGTAATAAAGAAGAGACTGCAAAAGTAATTAGAATAGCTGACAAAGTAGCAAAACAATTGGAAAGAAGTTTTCGATAAAAATCTAAAGAATTTTAAGATTCATTAAAATTAAGTATATTTACTAATCAAAAAATCAAGCCCTATCTATCTGAAAGATAGTCTAAATGGTCAATTTTTCCTTAGTATTTGACTTTTACTTGAATTTTCCAAAATTCGATTGGGGCTGGTAAATCTCTCTATTCATTCAGTAAAAATTGTAAAAATATTTCTCAAGTGATCTAGTGGAATTTGATAAATAAATCCCACAGAAAAAATATAAAATACTAAAGAATGGCCATTTCGAGTTACTCCAAGAAATACGACCCAAATATTTTAAACTATATTGTTCTTATTAATTAAAGAGTAACGTGCATTTGTGAAGAAATGAATGCATTGGTATATTCCAAACCGAGGCTACTTGTGCCAGAGATCTAGGCCATTCAACAGATGTCCATCTAACAATCTCAAATGAAAAGGATGCTCCACCAATAAAAACAATAGATGTAGCGAAATATGATACAAAATAATGCGAATATCGGAAGGCAAGAGCTTTTGTAAATTGAATAAACCAAGAAGGTAAAATGTAGAAGGAAGATAAAATATCAGTATCGACAAAACACGTTGAAAGGAGAAGAAAAAACATTGCGATGATCAAGTGCCAAAAGGAATGTAGTACCCTCAAAAGCAAATTCTAAAAAATAAAACAAAAGAAAAATAAGGCCGCTCAATATTTATAAACCACTAATTCAAGATGATATAAGATAAAGCCCAGGAAAACTAAGGTAATATCCTCGCTTATGTGCGACATATTCTTACTATTCCCCAAGTTTGTTTTTAATTAAAGGATCTATTGAATCAACGTTCATAACAGGGTGTGAGTTTAACTCAATTGGAATAGATTAATTGGAATAGGCCCCATTCAATTGAAAGAACAAACCTACATAGTAGTTACATTCACGCAATTCTTGTTCTAAAGTATATTTCATCTCCAAAAATTGTGTATAAGTAATAAACGGTCCAAAAATTAATGTTGAAGGGTCAAAAATAAAAGCAAATCGATTGAAGAAATTTGGAATCTGGAGATGAGAATCATCTTTGATTTTGGTAAAATCCTCTGAGGTTAATTCGTCTATATCAATAGATAATGAAATTTGTTTCATAGCAGCAATCATTAAACTTCCTCTAATCTAAATGAAATTTAAAAATCAATTGAATATTTTTATTTAATTATATGGGGTCAACCCTGAAACTCACACTTATATCTGTTTGAAGACCTACACTCTAATCCCGACAATCTTTATTTCCTTTAATCCCTCCATATCCCCCGATTAAACATGTAAAAAAGGGTGTTGACAAACCTAGCGTAGATCTTCAGGGTAATCGAAATTCCTGGGTGTAGGTCTCCAGAGATAGACTTAAGAAATAGTTTAATATAAAATTTACCATCAAAAAATCCTCAATATCCATAAAGAATTGACTATAATTTGGATATTTAAAGCATATTTAAAAATCAAGAACTTACCATAAAGCAATATATAAAATTGTGAATAGCGTACAAAAAGGTCCTTTGCTATTATTTTGAATAAGATCAAAGCTCATTAAAGCAAAACTCAGCAGGAAATAAAGAATGAAGGGTAACATCAGTGCCAAACGCTCAGAATTCGAACATAGGAGGGTAAACCCTATAAAGCCATTCAGAAAGTCATTTAAAGTTTGCTGGCAGTGGAAATTCACTTAAATTTCTGTGTAAAATGAAACAATGGGTACCCCCAGAAGGTCAAATCCAAATACTTGGGATGATACAAAGGGAACTTAAGATCAGGCTGGCAGTCGAACTAGATAACCTGAATCGTGTTTCTTAATCCCAGCAAATCTGTCTTAATCCGCCAGATCCATTTATTTCACTTAATCCGCACAAATCCTTCCTTATCCCCCAAATATTTGGATTTAACCTTCTGGGCTGATCCCATTAAAATTAAAAATAGTAAAATTAAAATACCAATAAATGCCAAGACTATCAACTTTAGAAACGAAGCAGCCAAAGATCTGAACACGAATGGAAATATAGAGTTGATCGTTTGCCAAACACAAACACCAACACTTGAGTAATCATCAAGAAAAAGATCCTCTGATGAAATTTCGCTATCCTCAAATTGAAAATAAGAGTCAGGATAATTTCCAATTTGATGTGAAGCTGTCTGCATTAATCTTTTGAATCAAGTAGTCAGAAGACTTGATGAGTTTAAAATAATATGAGTTTTCATGGAAAAACATGCATTCGCCAGAATATTTTCTCCTGAAAAATTATTTTTAAAAAACATAAAAATTCAGTAGGCCTTGAATGGATCCGTGAATGGATCAAGCGACTTGACGAAAATATCATTTATTTTCCTGACAGAAAGAATAAATGTCGCATTTTCGCAAATGTCGTTTATTCGCAAATGTCGCAGTTCCGAAACGTCGTTGTCAAAAAATGACGTATTTTCCCTTAAGTTTTATTGCGGAATTATAGGGCGGTAAAATCGCATTCCCGAGATTCCGTAAAGGGATTTTCTTCAGAAATTTTTGCGGAGCAGGATCCCGCGGATTTAATCCCGTTCATCGCGTTTTTGCTGAATCCCGTTCCGGTCTCTAGTTTCATTTATTAAATTTATCAGCGATTAAAGATTTTTCTAGAGGTGTTGAAAAAAAGAGAGACTGATATGAGAGGCTTGACGAGAAAAACTAATTTCATATTGTCAACTATGAGACTGTTAGAGTGTTATTGATTTTGATGTTTTCTCAATTTATTTATTGTTCTGATTTCCTACGTTCATTTCTTTCAATGACTTAATGTCGCTTATCAAAAATGTTTTTCATGTTTTTCCAAACTTATTAGTTTGCCGAAAAACTTATTTTCCTTAGGCTTTTTAAAGTTGTTTTTGGTTTATTATTTTTCATTGTTTCGTTTTCACCCTCATCTCACGCCTCCTAATCTTCTAAACTTTTCTAATTTTTCAGTTTTCATTTTTTTGCGTTGGTGTATTCCAGCATGGAAAAGTCGAAATCATTACTAATGATCAAGGTTTGTTTCTGGAATGAGTTTACTAGTTCTAACTTTATTTCTTCAGGAAATCCTTGCCTACTTCAACGACAGTCAACGCGAAGCCACAAAGGATGCTGGAACGATTTCTGGACTTAATGTTTTGCGTATCATCAACGAGACAACTGCTGCGGCTATTGCTTGAACAAGAAAGGCCAAGGCTAGTGCAAGGTCCTGATTTTTGACTTGGGCGGTGGAACTTTTGATGTGTCTATTTTGACTATTGAAGACGGAATTTTTGAGGTTAAGTCGACTGTTGGAGATACTCACCTTGGAGGCGAAGATTTCGACAATCGAATGGTTTGGAATTTTTTGAGGTTTTCTAAAATCAAAAAATTGTCTTTTTAAGGTCAACCATTTTGTGGCTGAATTCAAGCGTAAGCACAAGAAGGATCTTGCCACCAATCCTCGTGCTCTCGTCGTTTTCTACTGCTTGTGAACGCGCTAAGAGGATTTGTCTAGCTCCACTCAAGCGAGGTTATTTTTGGGTTTTTTGGGCTTAACTTGAATCCATTTTAGCATTGAAATTGATTTGCTCTTTGATGGAATTGACTTATACACCAACATCACGCGTGCTCGTTTCGAAGAACTCTGTGCCGATTTGTTCCGCAGTACTATGGATCCAGTTGAGATGGACTTTTGTCTTACTGCTCTAACATCAAGCAGACAATGGAGGATGATAAGGTTTGATTATTTTGAGAGATAAAGCAGGGCTTTGGTGTCTTGGGGATGGGCTTTCTTGTTTAAGGGATTGGATGTTTTGTTTGGGGATAGAGTGGGTTGTTTTGTTGGGGATTGGAGCAGGGATGAGCTGGAGCTGGATTGACTGTTTTGGGGTGACTTGGGAGGACTACTGGGTTGTCTCTTGTTAGGGGATTGATTGTATTTGGGTTTTGTTGGGTTGGATTGACTGTTAGTATTGCTGTGGGCAGGGATTGGTTGTCTTCCATCTTTTTTGACCTTTACGTCTTGAGGAAGGGCCCTTCTTTTTAGAAAAAGGTTTTCAAAAAAAATTCAAAAATTTTTTAGCTCAAGGATAAGATTAGTGAGGACATAAGAAGGTTTTGGACAAATGTCAGGAAACGCTCTCTTGGTTAGACGCCACCCAGACTACTGAGAAGGATGAATTTGAGCATCATCACAACTCTAAGGTTTGGTATTTTCTCTTTTTTATTCTTTGGGATGGAAGACTGTCTTTGGGTAGGCTGGGGAGTGGAGAGACTGTTTTGTTGGGGGGATTAACTCTCTTTGAGTAAGCTGTGGGCAGAAACGTGTTTTCTTTTTTATTTTTTTGAAGACGACAATTTTCGTATCTTTAATTTTAAAGGTATTTTTCAGATGTGTGCTGCAACAACAAAACTAGTACATTGAGGCTGACGGCTCTGTAACATCAACAGCTACACCGAGACTTATTATTGCAAGAAGTGTTCAAAATGAGCATTGGATTGCAACGAATTGATGATGGACTACAAAGATGAGAGAAGCTAAAAATGTGGCAAAGATGCTTCCGCCACATTTAAAGGTCTAAAGATATTTGAATGAAATATGCTTTATTATTTTTGGTGCTTTTCCGTTTGCGTCGATTTTTTTTGTTTTTTTTTTTCAAGCACAAAATGTTATCAAAACAGCAAAATTCTTAGCTGCAAAACGGAAAAGCACAATTAAGCCACTTGTAAAAAAAAGGGTTTTTGCTGATTCGTTTAGAAGAAAGCAAAAAGTCCTTTTCTTTACAAGTGGTATTTTTTTATCATATTATTTTTTTGTTGGTTAAAAATGGGTTCGGGCCCCTCCCCCGACCCCGGGTTTACTCTTCTCTAAACACCCAACTCTTCCAAGCTCCGAGAGCTTCAGGCACTCCTAAACTCCAGAAACGATCCAGCTTGACGACCTCTTTTTATAGTGAAACACCCAGATGGATTGCACAAGGCACATTTAATACGCTCCTATTGAATTGCAAAAACTCTACTAGGTTCAGGCTTTCATACCTCCGAGTTATATCCAAAGGCACGGGTTCTTATTCAATAGGTGTAGACAGTAGGGCACTAGACGTAGGCTTCCTTAGACGTTGACTAGACTTTGACCTTTGATTTACCCCCCCCCTTCCTGATCAAATGAACAATGATCAATTGTCCCAACGATCAATTGACCAGTGATCAAATGTCAAGTGATCAATTGTCCCAATGATCAATTGTCCAGTGATCAAATGTCCAGTGATCAAATGTCCAGTGATCAATTGTCCAGTGATCAATTGTCCCTGGACCAAATGTCCAGTGATCAATTGTCCCTGACTGTCCCACAGTAAAAAACCCGCACTGAAAATCTGGCACCAAAAATGACCGACCCCCCTTTTTTAAAAATCCTTTCCATAGGATCAGGCTTTCATACCTCCCAGTTATATCCAAAGGCACGGGTTCTTATTCAATAGGTGTAGACAGTAGGGCACTTAGAGCTTAGATTTGATTAGAACCCCCCCCCTTCCTGCACTTCAACGGCTCGTCTACAACTTCAACTGCTCCTGCCAGCCGTCTACAACTTCAACTGCTCCTGCCGGACTTCTACAACTTCAACTGCACCTGCCAGCCGTCTACAACTTCAACTGCTCCTGCCAGACGTCTACAACTTCTCCTGCACCGACTCTAGTGTCCCCTGGGCCCCGACACGGTACTCCAATGAACCCCCGGGTCCAAGATGGTGCTCTACTGTCTATACCCATTTTATAAGACTCCTGTCTTCCACCTATCCCAAGTCTGACCCAAATGTCACTCCCCAACATACCCCGGACAAAACGTCACTCCCCAACATGCCCCGGACAAAAGGTCACTCCCCAAAATGCCCCGGACAAAACGTCACTCCCCAATTCGCCCCGGACAAAACGTCACTCCCCAATTCGCCCCGTCACTCCCAAAATGCCCCACACTGAAAATAACCCGCACTGAAAATCCCGCACTGAACTGACCGACCCCCCTTCTCAAAAAATTTTCTCTCCATAGGTTCAGGCTTTCATACCTCCGAGTTATATCCAAAGGCACGGGTTCTTATTCAATAGGTGTAGACAGTAGGGCACTAGACGTAGGCTTCCTTAGACGTTGACTAGACTTTGACCTTTGATTTACCCCCCCCCCCTTCCTGATCAAATGAACAATGATCAATTGTCCCAACGATCAATTGACCAGTGATCAAATGTCAAGTGATCAATTGTCCCAATGATCAATTGTCCCAATGATCAATTGTCCAGTGATCAAATGTCCAGTGATCAAATGTCCAGTGATCAATTGTCCAGTGATCAATTGTCCCTGGACCAAATGTCCAGTGATCAATTGTCCCTGACTGTCCCACACTAAAAAACCCGCACTGAAAATCTGGCACCAAAAATGACCGACCCCCCTTTTTTAAAAATCCTTTCCATAGGATCAGGCTTTCATACCTCCCAGTTATATCCAAAGGCACGGGTTCTTATTCAATAGGTGTAGACAGTAGGGCACTTAGAGCTTAGATTTGATTAGAACCCCCCCCCTTCCTGCACTTCAACGGCTCGTCTACAACTTCAACTGCTCCTGCCAGCCGTCTACAACTTCAACTGCTCCTGCCGGACTTCTACAACTTCAACTGCACCTGCCAGCCGTCTACAACTTCAACTGCTCCTGCCAGACGTCTACAACTTCTCCTGCACCGACTCTAGTGTCCCCTGGGCCCCGACACGGTACTCCAATGAACCCCCGGGTCCAAGATGGTGCTCTACTGTCTATACCCATTTTATAAGACTCCTGTCTTCCACCTATCCCAAGTCTGACCCAAATGTCACTCCCCAACATACCCCGGACAAAACGTCACTCCCCAACATGCCCCGGACAAAAGGTCACTCCCCAAAATGCCCCGGACAAAACGTCACTCCCCAATTCGCCCCGGACAAAACGTCACTCCCCAATTCGCCCCGTCACTCCCAAAATGCCCCACACTGAAAATAACCCGCACTGAAAATCCCGCACTGAACTGACCGACCCCCCTTCTCAAAAAATTTTCTCTCCATAGGTTCAGGCTTTCATACCTCCGAGTTATATCCAAAGGCACGGGTTCTTATTCAATAGGTGTAGACAGTAGGGCACTAGACGTAGGCTTCCTTAGACGTTGACTAGACTTTGACCTTTGATTTACCCCCCCCCTTCCTGATCAAATGAACAATGATCAATTGTCCCAACGATCAATTGACCAGTGATCAAATGTCAAGTGATCAATTGTCCCAATGATCAATTGTCCCAATGATCAATTGTCCAGTGATCAAATGTCCAGTGATCAAATGTCCAGTGATCAATTGTCCAGTGATCAATTGTCCCTGGACCAAATGTCCAGTGATCAATTGTCCCTGACTGTCCCACACTAAAAAACCCGCACTGAAAATCTGGCACCAAAAATGACCGACCCCCCTTTTTTAAAAATCCTTTCCATAGGATCAGGCTTTCATACCTCCCAGTTATATCCAAAGGCACGGGTTCTTATTCAATAGGTGTAGACAGTAGGGCACTTAGAGCTTAGATTTGATTAGAACCCCCCCCCTTCCTGCACTTCAACGGCTCGTCTACAACTTCAACTGCTCCTGCCAGCCGTCTACAACTTCAACTGCTCCTGCCGGACTTCTACAACTTCAACTGCACCTGCCAGCCGTCTACAACTTCAACTGCTCCTGCCAGACGTCTACAACTTCTCCTGCACCGACTCTAGTGTCCCCTGGGCCCCGACACGGTACTCCAATGAACCCCCGGGTCCAAGATGGTGCTCTACTGTCTATACCCATTTTATAAGACTCCTGTCTTCCACCTATCCCAAGTCTGACCCAAATGTCACTCCCCAACATACCCCGGACAAAACGTCACTCCCCAACATGCCCCGGACAAAAGGTCACTCCCCAAAATGCCCCGGACAAAACGTCACTCCCCAATTCGCCCCGGACAAAACGTCACTCCCCAATTCGCCCCGTCACTCCCAAAATGCCCCACACTGAAAATAACCCGCACTGAAAATCCCGCACTGAACTGACCGACCCCCCTTCTCAAAAAATTTTCTCTCCATAGGTTCAGGCTTTCATACCTCCGAGTTATATCCAAAGGCACGGGTTCTTATTCAATAGGTGTAGACAGTAGGGCACTAGACGTAGGCTTCCTTAGACGTTGACTAGACTTTGACCTTTGATTTACCCCCCCCCTTCCTGATCAAATGAACAATGATCAATTGTCCCAACGATCAATTGACCAGTGATCAAATGTCAAGTGATCAATTGTCCCAATGATCAATTGTCCCAATGATCAATTGTCCAGTGATCAAATGTCCAGTGATCAAATGTCCAGTGATCAATTGTCCAGTGATCAATTGTCCCTGGACCAAATGTCCAGTGATCAATTGTCCCTGACTGTCCCACACTAAAAAACCCGCACTGAAAATCTGGCACCAAAAATGACCGACCCCCCTTTTTTAAAAATCCTTTCCATAGGATCAGGCTTTCATACCTCCCAGTTATATCCAAAGGCACGGGTTCTTATTCAATAGGTGTAGACAGTAGGGCACTTAGAGCTTAGATTTGATTAGAACCCCCCCCCTTCCTGCACTTCAACGGCTCGTCTACAACTTCAACTGCTCCTGCCAGCCGTCTACAACTTCAACTGCTCCTGCCGGACTTCTACAACTTCAACTGCACCTGCCAGCCGTCTACAACTTCAACTGCTCCTGCCAGACGTCTACAACTTCTCCTGCACCGACTCTAGTGTCCCCTGGGCCCCGACACGGTACTCCAATGAACCCCCGGGTCCAAGATGGTGCTCTACTGTCTATACCCATTTTATAAGACTCCTGTCTTCCACCTATCCCAAGTCTGACCCAAATGTCACTCCCCAACATACCCCGGACAAAACGTCACTCCCCAACATGCCCCGGACAAAAGGTCACTCCCCAAAATGCCCCGGACAAAACGTCACTCCCCAATTCGCCCCGGACAAAACGTCACTCCCCAATTCGCCCCG